GTTCTGTGGGAAGGGCCAATGTCCCGGCAGGAGGAAGGAGGTGAGGTGGGAAGGAAAGGGTTAATAAGGTAATGAGGTGTGTACCAGGGTACAGGTGAAACAGAGAAGTATTGAGGTATGTGTGACAGGGTACAGGTGATACAGAACAGTAATAAGGTGTGTGTACCAGGGTACAGTTGATACAGAGCAGTAATGAGGTGTGTGTATCAGTGTACAGGCAGTACATAGCAGTTATGAGGCTTGTGTGACAGGGTACAGGTGATACAGAGAAGTAATGAGGTATGTGTACCAGGGTACAGGTGAAACAGCAGTATTGAGGTATGTGTATCAGTGTACAAGCAGTACAGAGCAGTTATGAGGTGTGTGTGACAGGGTACAGATGATACAGGACAGTAATAAGGTGTGTATACCAGGGTACAGGTGATACAGAGCAGTAATGAGGTGGGTGTGTCAGTGTACAGTGTATATCATTACATCATGCAGTAAAGAGGGTTATTGAACAGTGGGGGGTACTGTACCCGTATCGATGCAGAGTGCTGACATGAGGTCCATCAAGTGCATGATCTGGTCTGGGGAAAGCAGCAAATGCAGACAGCCAACCTTTCCATCCAACTCCAGCTGAGGGTGGGAACAACAGAGAATGCGAGTAAGAGAGAAAACAGGAGACTTAGAAGACAGGAAGGGGGAATGGTTAAGAGGAAGAGATTAAGACAGTGAAACTGAACACTTCACAAAAAATTCAATCAAATATCCACGGTGAGGAAACACATAAATTATGAAACGGCAAACATGTAAGAAAAAAGGGACCCAGACAAATTGTTGCTGAGTGTTTGAGGACAGGGGAACAAAGGCAGGCACGGAAAACGGCACGGTCTCTGCACCTTGGGTCCAGGCAATGCCTCATTCTGTTTGATCTTCACAGTGGTCTCCATGAAGCCAGAGCAGCTCCCGATCAGCAGGGGGTGCTGCGGGGTCGCAGGGGTCTCCCGCTGCTCCGCTGGGGGGCGTCCCTCACTGTCACTGTCGGGCTCAAGGCCATCCTGGACAGTGGGAGAAGGCAGCGATTTAGAAATGCTTCCAGGTATAACCACGGGCCCCATGTTCATCATCAATTTCAGACAATAAACTCAACAAGAGTTAAACTGTCAAAACAAAACACAAAACATCAGAGGAAACCCCACAATGACACAGGGAGAACATGCAAAGTCCACACACAGGGAATCAGGGCGGAGACTCAATCCCTGGTCTCTGGAGGTGTAACACAACAGTGCTATCCACTGCACCACTGCACACCGTGTGCAAACAACCAATAAACCACCCACAAGAAAGAACAAATTAATAAATATTTTAGAGCGACTTACTAGCATCATCAAAAAATATTTTATTTCTTATATGTAAAATACAATGTAAAAATACAAAATTCTTGCCAATTTAATTTTGGAAATTGTCTGACACAACAAAAAGCTATACAGCTATACTGTCAGCATCACATAAAAATAACATGAGATGCTGAAAATATGGGATGGTTACGGAAAGGGTCCATGGTCTGTTTAACTGCGAAGGCCGTGTTCAAGGCCACACTCGTAGGGACACACATCATACACCTGAGGTAGGACAAGGTTCGTACCTGAGGCACACCAAAGGTCTCATAGAATAGCTGGATGGCACTGAGCTGGAGGATCTTGTGTAGGATGGCAGGGGGCTGGTGGATGTCCACGGGTACAGTTTGACTAGAGTCACGCACTGCCTCATCACAGTAATCAAGCCTGCAATACATCACCAAACCACAAGTAGGGGTACAAGTTAACCTTGCATTACTGATATCCCTCCAGTACCTCCCAGATAAATGTTGCAACCTTTGATGTGTTTTGTTACGGCATATGTTCCTAAATCACAAATTATAATCCTTAATCCATCTGGTAGAAACCAATACAAAACAAGAAGCTCAACTGTAAAAGCAGGACTAAACAAGAGTACTTCCTTGACTATATGAGAGATTTTTACAACTTCCAGATGTTGCAATAACTCATCAGCCGTTTCACAATAGAGTGTGAATCATGTACAGCAGTGCAGCCAGGCAATGTCCTGAGAACTGCCTCTCAGAAAACAATCTCGATACAGGAGCGGACTGGCAACAAAAAGCAGCCCGGGAATTTGCTGCAAAGCGCCCCCTGGGGGTTGGAGGGGTATATATTGTTGTAACTGAGGGGTGGGAGTCGCCCTTGGTATATTCTGCCGATCGTGTTCATGTAGGCTCAATAATGCCGCTGTTGGAGAAGGGGTCTTGAATATTAAGTGTTCTTGAATATCACGATTTTAAGAGGTATCTGTACCTTTCATTAACATAGCTATAATAAATACAAAATAAATGCCATGCACCACAGCTACACAAACACTACATTACCATAAGGGTCTGGGCTGATCTGCCCAACAAAAACAACACAAAAACATAAGTCAAAGGTCTTTCACATGTTCATTATGTAGAATCCCAGCAAAGACGCAATGCAATGCAGAGTAAATATATAAATACACACGACTCTTTTTACATACAAGTATTTATATGCACATAAAAATGCACACAGAAACTAACCGTTTAATATGCACCTCCAAGGCAACGCCAGTATTTAGGTCCAGAGGCTGGTGTTCAATACGGACAATGGTGTCCAGGAAAGTGACTTTAATCCGACGAAGCACTGCAAAAGATAAGGGGGAGTTTCCATCGATTGAGTATTCTGCTCTACACCCCTGACACAGGTGCTGCATCTACAGAAATCATATCCATTTTCTGATAACAGTGAAGTCGAACAACACAATACAGACAAATGGAAGAAAGTTAATCTCACCAGTCTCAATAGTCTGAGCAAACATCTCTAGCCCTTCCAGAGGTGCAGGCGGTTCCTCGGACGCCTCAGGGGGGTCCTTCAGGCACTCCTGTGCCAGCTGCATGCTGGAAGTCATGCATGAGGACCAGCCCTGAGAGTCCCAGACACCACCTAAACATAATCATACTCAGAGTCAAAGGCCACTTAAAAATTCACTTTAGCCAAAATAAAATGTACCATAAAAATAAAGAGAAAATCTCGAAAGGGACACTTCCAAAGCCTGCTAAAGAAAGGTTTTTTACGTTAAATTGCTTAAAAAAAAATTTAAAATGTGTAAAGTTCAAGAATTATTTGGCATACAAGCTTTGGACAAACGTGTCTTCTGCAGTAGCAATCAATAATATCTAATTAGTATTAACAGAATGCAAGTTAAAATCACATTGCTCCTTGTCTACATGGAGGAATTTTATTACTGTTAACTAGTTTTTAACGTTGATGACTAGTGACATGGTAATTTATTACTTCTAGACCATGAAGTATAACATTCATTACTTACTGGTCCTGTACTTGGGCCGGCATGTCAGCTGTAGACCAGTGACAACCAAGGTGCAGTGGTCAGTAACGAGAGCCGCCCACGGTATGGTCACAGCAATGCTGCTCAAGAAGCCTTCTACTATCTCCAGGGGAGCACCCACAGACTCCAAAAGCTCGTTCACCGACTGCCAAAGGGGATGAAGAACACGGGCTTCACCGGGACGTAGGGCAAAGGGTCTGCACGTTCTCACCCACGTAAATCACCGTTGATTATTTAAAATGGCTTGGAAGTTGGCTGTCGTGAGCAGCGTGGTCAGACATAATTAATATCCGGTTTTCACGCGTACATGTATAGCTCACGCATATATTTTTCTTCATACCAACGGCACAGCTACATCTATACTATAGCGACATTTACCTGCTAGTCAGTCACTTCTATACGAAAGATGCTGACCGGTGTTGTTTATTTTTAGACTGTCGTGCCAAGAATTTTATCTATTGTGAAAATTATGGGTCGCTTACCCAGACATCAAGGTTAATATCTCGGATGACCCCGCTGCCGTTGTACAAGTCCAAACTGAGCTGCTCCAAACTCAGTCGCTCCTGGAGGAAGTGACCGAGGTAGTGCTGTAGAAGGTACCGACAGGCCCGCTTTTTGATTGAGCCGGACCAAGGGAAGAGCCAGCGGGACATGGGGCCAGAGAGACTGGGTTAAGGGAGTGAAGAGGTGGTGGAGGAAGACGAGTAAGAAAGCGATTCTCCGGTAACTGCATAACAAACAGCAATGTGCTATTGAGGAAAGAGCAAAGGGAAGGGGGCTAAAGGGGCTAAGGAAGGGGTAGAGCGTCGACTTCTGACTTCGTTTGACACCTAAATTCAAAAATGCTTCGTGTCAAGGAAGACTGCGCCTCCAGTTTCGATGTACGCGTGCTTTTCGTCGTTTTCAGTTATTTTCCAATCCTCTTTCTGATTATATTTTGTCGAAACCAAAGGACGAGCTCAGTCGATTTGCTCCTGTTCTCTAGTTGTTTATTGTTTTCATACACGAACTGAGAACAGAGCGGCGCTGCGTCATGACGTAGGCAATGTTACACGGGGACCGAGAGCGACCGAGACGCCATTTTTGGAAGGTCAAAGAAACGACAGCGATTACACGCATCATTGCGTGTTTTAAGATATATTAACAGTAATTAACGTTATGTGTGTTTGTGTTCCACTTCCGAAGACGGATTTCTGAAATGTACTTTATGCAATATGTAGCTCAGCAGTTCAGGTAATGATTTTCAAACATTTCCACATATCACATTATCTTCAAGCCAAGAAACCATTGCCAAAAGTGACCTGATTATATTACTAACGCAATTTGTGCCCAATACCCATTAGTAAGGAAATATCAGGATTCTCTTGGTATTAGGACCTGTACCTATTGCTCATTAGTAAACTTCAATGCAAATAAACCACTTGTTGCTTTGCCATTTTAAACAAGTACCAGTTCATTTACTGAAATACATTTAAAAATGCAGACTGAAAGCCAAAAAACAAGAGACCAATCATTTATTCAAATTACTGTGTTACTTTAATAATCATGTTGTATTACTAGATTTTTATATATATATATATATATATATATATATATATATATATATATAAAAAAAAAACAAAGCTCCAGACTTGGGAGTAGTCAGGTTTCCTATGTTTGGACAATTAGACAAAAAGATAACTAGAATAAAAACAAAACAGTAAAGCAAATCCATATAAAAACAAATTGGTATGATTACATCTCACAGTTCAGTTATTTTACAATCGGTTTTATTTCTCCCTTTTCACTTTATGAAAGCAACATCTGGGATCTTCCCCTGAGCCTGGGAAAAAGAAGAGGTACAATAAGAATCAGCAAAGACTGAAGTACACAGTCAACAACAAAATTAAATAGTGGTTCACTTAGTTCACTCAAGATTCTGAGAACAAAATCAGATTAATTCACCTTCAACTGTGTGAAGATCTCAGCAGCTCTGTTGAAGTCCCAATCGTTATCTTGCAAACACCTTAAAAATAAATAAGTAAATAAATGATTTACTGCAGTATATTCTTGTACTGTTCAGATGCATAAGTGGAGGGGACTTTCCACTCTAGGATTTTAAGGGTAGCATAAGAGTGGGATGAAAAGGAAACTTTGATTTTGTTCAATGTTCAGTAAGTATATTTTGGAAACTACAGCTGACTTTCACCTATGAAAGCATATAGAAACACAGACTGAAATAAAATCAAGTGTTTTCTAGCTATATACTACAGTACCTAACCTGGCAGTGTAATGAGTCTGGCCAAAGCGCAAGTCACAAAGCATCCGACAAATGTAACAAACTAAATGGTTGTTTTACTGACTTCTGGGACCACTCCAGGTTCATGCCCGACTTCTGGGAGAAGGAACTGAGCATTTCCTGCTGAGGGGCAGAGAGGGTGGGCACAGGGCTGCTGGACGGTGTTGGGGCAGGGGCTGCAAATGCTTTCCGGATCTCCTCCGTTGTGGCGTTCCGCACAAACAGCTCATCATTCACGATACAAAGCCTGGGGGACAAAACATCGCAAAAGATGACAATCGAGCTGAATGCTTTCAAAAAAAGTGCAGAGATCACAGAAGCCTCCCAAATATGGAATCATTACCACAAAATAGTAATGAAAATCAGGGTTGCTGCACAATTTAAATGCTATTCTTTTAAATACCTTTTTCAAAACCACAAAAGAAAAAAAATATTCCACAACAGGACTAACCCACACAAACTGAAATGTCCAGTTTGTTTATTCAAATATCAGCACAGAAATTAAACATGGATACTTGTTTTCAATGGAAGCTCTATTTAAAACAATATAGCAATACCAATTTCACTAGATCTCATCTTCTATCTATAGTTCTTTCCCCCAAAGGTGCATACACGGAATCAGAGGAACCTCATTTAAAAAAAATAAAACAGTAATGCTAGCCTCCGAGATACTAATATGTTGAGATATTGTGCATCGACTGATGTGTTATAAGATCAAGATACCAGCATCAGTCTGGTTGGTCAATCTTGACCAGTATTGCTGGCTAATATTTTAACTTTATTAGTTAAATAGATCAATTTAAAAAGTTAGCAGCACCAGAGCTAAAGACAGGACTACAAAAATAATGGAGATGATTGCACTGGCTATTGAGCCATACATTCCATAGTGGAGGATGAGGGATTTCATCAGCTCATTCACCACTTATAAAGTGGCCGCAAATACTGGCCTGCAACATATAATTCATTATGAAAACTTTTCTCTTCCACAGAACAAAAAGGAATGTTGAGTCATTCCATTAATCTATATCAGCAAGTTCGGCAAGTTTCGCCACCAGCTAAATTCCTCATCAATGTACCACTAGTCAGCCTAGGTGAAAGCAACCAATCAGGCAGGACTTCCTTTGTGTGTTTGTTTTCTGTACAGTTCAGTAGTTGGCACTTTTGACCATTGTTCTCCCTGTTTAAGAATTACCATAAAATTCTATGTTCCAAGATTCTCCTATCTTATATTCCATTAATAATGTGTAATTCAGCTCCCATGGCCATATTTGTGAAAATTTTAGTGACATTAAAATGGTTTGAATTTAGGTTAGGTCAAAATAATTGAATAATCTATACATTGAAATGATTTGTGGTAGAAATGAAAGATTTTCTATGCATCAAGTGGTTCTCAAAATATTTGTAATCGAATCTCCTTGGGGGCAACGATTTACACTGCTAGCAGAGCCCACGGGACTGCAGCTTTCAGAGTCGCCATTAATACTGAATGCGGCCGAGCCGGTCTGACTGCTGCTGCTTTGCTGCACTTCATCCAGTAGGAGCAGCAAAGAGTAGCTCCTGCCATTTTAGTTGAAATTGGTCCACTTCTTACCAATGTTAGAGGACCCAGAGAGGAACACAAAATATAAAACCCAAGAAACACCAATCTACAACAATAATATTCTGGTTTTATTATTCAAATCAGTCAATAGACATCTCACAATGACAAATAGCACCATGATTTGGATATCATGACTTTTAATGATCCATGGGAGCCCTACAAATAGCACGAGCTGCCTCCGTGCAACAGAGGTCCGAGTCTCTATGGTGTTTACATAACCGAATGTCTCAAAGTCAAAAACAGTAGCAGTAGGTAACACGGCAGAGATGTGAGGCCGCTGTAGAAGTGAACAAGGTCACTTACCCTGCATTCCCTGCTGGTACTGCGATGAAGATCCGGGAAAATGCCCTGACAGCGTCTCTAGATCTACCATCCACTGAAAGACAAGAGGAGCAAATTTCAACCCTATCAGAGGTCAAAAAAAATAAAATGCTGACTAGTAGGGCACTACTAGAAAACAAGATAAGGTTTCACAGTAGAACATATGTAATCTTACCTTCTTTGAACACCCCACTGACCGTGAATGACAGTAACGTGTTCTGTAAATAGAATACAAAAAAATAAACCTTTGAACTGAGAGAGAGAGGGACACAAAGGAAGAGAGATCCAGCTACTCACAGTGTAAGTGCTGACATCAACAGTAAAGGATGCAGTATCGTGTTGGGTTTTCGGCAGCTCGTTCAGGAAGGCCACCACGTTTAAGCGCGTGTGCTTGAGCAGGCGAAACCGTGTAGCTGCAGGTTAAAAGGAAGGGAGTGCATTATACATACTGTACATGACAAGACAAAGACCCAGAGCTTCCTTTCATATCAGTATTCTGCTGTGCACATGTCCAGAGCTGAGCATTTTTACTAAGTGGGCTTTCTCCACCTATTACCTATACTAGTCACTGTCAGAAATCTGTCACTTCTACAAACGGTTCTCAACAGAAAGAATGCCGCGTCTCCATTTGTTCTCTACAAATTTGTTTTTACCTCTTCAAACGAGGAAGAGATGGTGTTTTTTGAGAAAGTACCAAAAGTACGGTACTGTGAGGTGTTGGTTTTCCACTGGCATAAAAACTGGTACCGGCGCAGAATGACAGGGTATTTTGTACTGAATTTGAAAAAATGGCTGTACTATATTACACAGCTTGGAAAGTGCAATACTAATAAACATATAAAATATATAATTAAAGCATGGAATTGTCTTCCTGTGTGTGTAGTGCAAGCTAAAATCTTGGGTTCCTTTAAATCAGAGCTAGATAAGATTTTAAAAACTTGGAGCTATTAGTTGAATTCTCCCCAAATTAATCTGATGGGCCAAATGGCCTCCTCTCATTTGTAAATTTCACATGTTCTTATTGCATGTTATGCACATGCAATTCTTACATCGCTGGTCAGCTATATTAAAAAAAGGCTTTTTCTTACTTTCAATTCTGTATGGACATTATAGCGCAGGGGTTTATAAAATAATAAAAAAAAAAATGTTGCTAAAATATTTTTACTCTGTTACTCTGTCATAGGAGAGGGAAAAAAAAAACAGCAAGCTTTGCAATTTTAATTATTCCTTTTATAGATTCATATGTTTAAATCAGTTTAAAGTTCACCTCCACCGCTTTTGCATTAGTGCTGCATGCGTTCCCTAAGACAATCATAATCATTTTCATCCATGCTGTTTAAAATCGCTCGAAGACGGGTTTTTCAGAAATTTAACTAATTTTTTTGTTTTAAATACCCCAATATTTATTACAACACGATCACTTTGCTCGGACAGCATGCTATATTAATATATTCAACGAAATACTTTAACTTGTCATGCCATCCGGATCTTATTGTTGTACACGTTCTACGGCCAAATTGCACTTTTTCTGTCTTTACTTTATCATTTTCTGAGTTCACAACTGTTTTCAAGGCACGTTTTGTATTGTATTTCAGCAGCAGGCTATTTATATAACCAATCGACAAAGAAAGCGTTTCACGTCCCACCCCAAAGTACCAAAGTAGCATCCCCAGCTGGCTTGGCACTTTCAGAACTGGAACTTTTTGGAACTGAACCAAGAGTCTATGGAAAAGGGAAAGTACCGTACTTGGTGCGGTGGAAAAGCACCCAGACTTACTAGGATCTTTGAGCTTTTTAATATTGCGGCTGTCCTTGTGGTAGTCCCCAAGGCTCGACCTGGGAAGGCAGGCAAAAAACGTGCATTAGAATGGTGCTACAGACAGATGGGGGCCCCCAGACAGACGAAGTCAACCTACCTAGAGGGGTTCTGAAGGGAGAAGGGGATGCTCAGGGAGAAGCACGCCCCATCGTGGTAGGCTTCCAGCAGGGGCTGTCTGTCAGCGGAGTCATAGCAATTATAATACCTGAGGAAACGAAAAAGATCAGGAAACGTCAACCACTGCAGCAGTTTATGGTCTGGCCCCCTAAAGGTCAAACCACCAGTGATATTGACTGCCACGCTCAGCCGTCTACATTAACTGTCGATTTTAATAGCAGCCTGAGCTTAATAGCGTGCCCATCTTTATATGACACCACTGGTAGAGAGACTCCTTCTCCCCCCTGAAATCTGAAGCTGAATGCCCACACGTCAGCAAGAGCAGCGGATGGGACTTCAGAGACACGCACTAGAGTCAGTGAAGCGGAATCCAGATGGCTATTAACAGAACAGGTGAATGCAGCCCCATGGTAGCATATGACAGAGAGGCAAGCAGTGCTTATGGTACTCAAGGTCTTACAAACAGCATCATATTGAGTTATCTAATGATGATTCAAAATGGTGACACCAGCCCAGTCCTACTAATCATCTGTTTCACAAGGGAAGCACTTACTGTTGTAGGAATCTCAAGATGAGGCTTTTGATTTCATCCGAAACAAAGTAGCTGCCCTAAATTTGCAAAGAAAGACAGTGGTTATTTTTCTCCGCCCCCAGCGATAGCCAGTCATGACAGGAGGACATAGGCACAGATTACCTTGCATGGGGGTAAAGTGGTGGGAGCTTCCACATCAAACCCTATGGGAGGCGGGAGGTCATGGCCATCCTAGAGGGATGCAATTCCAATAAGAAAGTGGATGAGAAACCCAACAGAACATCCACTACAGAGAGGGCAGCTGCCAACAGGGTTAATCAGATTCACTTAAAACCATGTACTATAGGGAAAGCAAGCAACAGGATTCCTGGGGCGAACCCACACAGCACACATTTCTGAAAAGCTCAATGTGAATGAGTGGGCGTCATTGGTAGCGTGCACACCATCACGGCTTACTGGAAAAGAAACACTCCCATTACATTGTCCTCCAGGGTTTAATGATTGACTAGCTCTCCTCTGACCAACAGGAACTAGGCAGCGAGCAGAGGCTGTATTTCCAAAGCAAAGCACAAACTGCCTGGCCCCAGAAATAACCCTATTTGCAGAATTGGGAAAATTTAATCTAAAACTTCACAATTCTTGCCCAACAATCTTAACCCATTTTCTGGCTACAATAGCAAAAAAAATATAAAATTCCGAGGGGATGTGACTCAAGGTCGGGCCTATGGCTCAGCATCCAGGGCCTCGCCTAGAACAAAACGCAAATGCCCCCATCTCACAGAGCTTTGCTAATCTGATGTAATTCATTGTGATAAACTCTTGCATTCCTCCTTTGTCATGAGCAGTTTCTCTTACCAGCTTAAGGACCCTGGGGAAGCGTTCTCGCACAGCACTGTCCAGCGTTAGCAGGAAAAGAACAGAGAGGAACAGAGTGACTTTCAGCTTCAAGACTGGGGACCACACAGTGCTGCTAAAGCCCTAAAGAATAGAGACTTACCTTTTGAATAAGGACAATATAGGCATAGTCTGATATTTCTCTATACAAGCTTCTCATCCAAGCAAAAACAAGACCTTACACTGCATAATTACTGTACTGTAATGCATCAAACTCAGTTCAGATAATGTGGATGTGGAGGTTAAAAAAAAAAAACCTGCAGAAGTTTACATATAACAGTGCAATGTGGTAGTAGGTTCCTCATCTCAAACGTCCCTCCCATCCCCAGGCTCAACCCCATTTTACTTACCCAGCCAACTTACCTGCCCCTCCCCCCCCAAACACGCAGAAACACAATGACTGCACTACGCACTGCTTCTGACAAAGGGAGATGCATGCACACTTGTGCGCAGACACACATATACACACACACACACACACACACACACACACACACACGTGGGTCGGAGTCTCAAGATCTGAGAAACACAGAGCTTTACGACAGATCCGAGATTAGGAAATATGGGAAGTGCCGTCTAATTACATAGCGACTGGTGTCTACACAAATGCAAGTCGCAGAAGAGAAAGGTTCCTCTTGAACTGGACTTAAACTCGAGATACAACAGAACACCACATTTAACCCCGTCATCTGTATTAGAGTATCGTCACAGAGAACGGAGGACCACAGCAAAGACGGGCGAGAATGTCGAGATGACAGCCAGGGCCCTTGATACCAGCAGCCTGGGCGCTGCACAACTGGGCAGGCTTGAACACACTGGCCCGGAAGTCCGCACACTCTCACTCGCATTCAAACAACGGCGACCACAGCATGATTGACAGCAGTGCTGAAATTGAGATCAAGACCAGCCTAGAACATACGTTTGGCTCAAAGAGAAGAGACAGATGTTAGCGGAAGAAACAGCACTATACGCCCTCTGCCCTTTTTACAAAAGAATAGTGACGCAACAGAAGGAAAAAGCAGCACAGTGCAGCTGCCACTCCAGAATGCTTCGCAGTAAAATGAGAAGTCCTCAGATGTAAATATTGATGATGTTCTAGTCAGTATCCTTCTATACCAATTAGAGTAGATTCGCTACAGAACATAGATCACAGGAGTATTCATAGACAAGATTTTTCACTAGCTCTAGCATCTGTTTTGGACCCAGACCCTGAGTTAAAAGGAGGGTTATAATTTCCTAAAAAAATTATTTCATTTAAGGCTACAAAAGTGGCTCAGTTTTGAAGGGAATTATTCAAGGGCTTGAGTTTGAAACCCATTTCAGGGGCAAGGTGTTCACACTGGCATAAAATGTCAGCTGTCTGCCACGTACGCGTGAACGGGGCATCTCACACCCCACTATGAAATGCTCTGAGATCCACAGAATAAAGGTGCTGAGGAAATGTCGGTTTCTCTTTTTTTTTGGGCAAAGCAAGGTGACAGTAAGGCCTCAGTCAGGGGAGGGGAGCCCCGGCTGAATCACAGCAAAGTCACCAGCTGTGGCAGGCAGCACCTCCCAGAACAATCTCCATTTTAAAAGCTTTCCCCACTTATCTGCTGTTAATGTTGGAGACGAGCTCCCCATTGGGGAAAAGTGGAGACGTTCAGGCTGTGATACTGAACGAGTCTGATGTTGTGTCGTCTGTGCTTGAAGGGTGTTGTGTGTCAAGCTGGAAACTTCCCCCTCCCTCTCCAGCTCAGGGACGTGTGATGTGATAGCATTGTCTTCTCCGGAGTTAACATCTTGTCATTGCTTGCCGTTTACGTTGTGGCCAGATGCACGACTGTGCCTGTCTTAGGTTGCCCCAAACTCACAGGGATCTTACCCGTCATTGGCTAACCAGCCTTCTTCACTGGCCAATTACAATGCCCCAAATTCTAGTAGTTGGGGAGGGGAGAAGATCTATAACTCAGTGACACAGGTGTATACAAAACTTGACATTTCAAAGATTTCATTCTTGCAATTTCCACATTTTAAGTCCACATCTTCATTTTTGTTCACTTTTCCAAAAGCTTAAAAGCTTAGAAAAGTGGGTTCTTCAGTAATCCTTAAGACTCTTGATAGATACAAAATATCAGCGTAAATATGCTGCACCAACTCATGACTAGACATCATCAATTTTTTTTATCCTACAATTGAGTGACATGTAAAGCATTATTAATGTGCTTTTTATGGCAACTGCACTGCAATCACTGAAAGAAAATAAATAAAAATCAACAGAAACCAATAAGCAGACAAAGAAAAACAAAACCAGTATGACAACCAGAGGCGCGCACACACACACACACGGGCAAACACCACCAGGTTAAAATGCTGGAAAAAAACAAAATCAGTTTAGGCAGTCAATGGTTTTCATTCAAATGCTACTATTGGTGCAGAGTAAAACCGAAACATTGGTTAATAAATATGCTTAATATACTATTACCGTTTTGAACAGTTCGTGAGTGATGCCTCTCGGACCAAATAGTGCTGTTTTCAGTGCAATTAAAATGGAGGCATAGCGTGCATTTATGTGTACATATACGTGCATTAATGTAACGCACACCTTCAGTTTACAATGAGATGAATAAGCTTGTGTGGATCTGGAGGCTAGAATTGATTCTCCTCCTAGCAGGTACCTCTAGTGCCCCTAGTGGCACTGAGGCAGAGCGAAGCACTCCCCACAGAAACCTGCTCACCGCTCCATAAGAGCACAGGAAGTAGGATCTGCCCCTACATTACGAGTTCGAGTGGCCGGTCATATAGTACATTTGGTTAAGGAGGTGGCGAATTAACCTCGTGACCCCCAAAGACACACACACGCACCCTGTACATGCATCCTACAATGCCCAGCTCCTCCCAAACAGTGGCCCTCCCCGCCCCTGGGCAGTGCACTGACCTGATGTAGTTCGGCTGGTCCTTGAAGTGGTCACACAGGGGGTTCCTGTCTAGCCATATCTCCACCAGCTTGAAGCCTTTGATCTTGTCCAGCTCTCGCTCGGTCCTCAGCTGCCCAGGAGGAAAAGGCCGTGAGAGAGGTGTCAGACATGTGAGCAGAGGCAAACAAAACACTGTTTGGGGGGGGGGGGGTGGCTTTACAAACACAGAAGAATGCCAGCACCACTCACCTCATTCTGTGAAAGGTTTAAAGTCTTCAGGTTGGGCGCTTTACTGATCAGCTCTGCCAAATCATCCAGTTTATATAGCCGATTGTTGCTCAGATTAAGACACACCAGCTGAATGAGAGAGCGAGAGAGAGAGAGAGAGACTAAATCCAAACTGGCTTGTTTGGTCTGCAAAACCAGACCAAACAAGCGTCTTCTGAATCCCAATTTAGACAACTGCCCTGATCCCTATCTGGCACCATCAGGGTACAAGAAGTGACCAATGGCGGCTATTTTAGGTCATTTGTATGCAACTGAGAACAGGAGTGATGGCAATTTTTTAAAATTTAGTATCAAAATTCATTTTGCTCTGCTTGTTTGCTGCTCATTGAGCCACTATAGCATACTAGTTTGTTGTAAATCACTTGAAAAGTTACAATGCTCATATTTGCTCCGGTATGATATTTGCACAAATGAATACAATACAATCATATCAAGTACAGCAAAGGAAGAGCAGCAGATATTTCACACGGCACCGGCTGTCTGACAGCTTACCTCAGGAATGTTCTCCTCGATGATCTTGATAACAGCTTGCATGCAGTTCTTCCGGTTCAGGACCACATCAATATTCTGAGATACCAGGTCTAAGAAACGTTGAGATAGAGTTAGAAGGCACACAGCACAAAGAGACGCCAATGGATTCATGCGTTTGGCGTGATGGACAGCACCACTGAAAAGCTGTCGGGGTCTATACATACCTGGGTCTGTACGAATGCTGTTCAAATCCAGGGCTTGCTGGGAGCCGTCAAAACGCTTCGCCATACATTGCTAGGGAGAAGAAAAGGATTACTCATTCACATCATTCAAAAACCATCCGTGTGCAAAATAACAAACCAGACTCTTCATCATCTTCCATTTTTTTGCTAGTGCAACATGAAAAAGGATAAAATTCTTCAATTATTCATTTTCATGTTGGGACCAGAAGATTGTTCTGGGACATTGCCGAAGGTGATGGTGTATTTATAGAAAATCTAGCCATAGGAGTAGCCTAAACAAAATGGTCACCTGCTGTAACGAAAAACAAACCTCATGGCATGGCATCTAAATAAACAGCAATACAAAAATGTCACCACCTAGTTTTGGGGGGGGGGGGGGATTACTAATCTAAATTTAGCCTCATGTAAATGTGCAAACTAACAGAAATAAAGCAAAATTCTAATGTAGAAAACATTGGATTTCTGTACGCAACACTTGATATTTACAAACAAACAGTCTCCACACTGAAAACAAATATACAACACTGGGCAGAACACTGTTCTGTACGGCTCAACTACGACAACACAGGGCTTAGATAATTACATAACATAGGGCCAAAGACAGCCCAGGTAAAGGCTTACATAACATGTTAACAGACTTGCTGAATTCTTTAATCCTGCCTACGATTTAAGCTGGTCACTTATCTAGTGTCTCAATCTTTCCCAAAATTCTTTATGTCGTCCAAATTTACCTTCAAGTGCTCCAGGTCCTCTGGTTTCAGTTCTGTCTGGATAAAGGCTGGCGGTGGGCAAGAGTTCATCAAGACAGTCACCTTAGAGGAAGAGGGAACAAAGGGGAAGCTGCTTACCATTGTCAGGAAAGCTCACATAACCTTCCATTGAAAGAACAGCAACTTTAGCTTTTCAAATCATGCAGCAGTACCTTGTAGCCTTCAGTGTCCGTGATCTTGCGGGAGACTTTTTGCAAAGCGTTTGCTGTAGTAGCATCCTCAATATAGAACTGAACTTTGTTACCCTCTGTCTGATACTGAAGAGAGACAGAAATAATTTGAATTTAAGAAAGTCTTGTCTTTTTACACAACAAAAAAAATTACTAAATGACGCTGACAGCCTTTACGATAAGATTGCTGCTTCGAAAACTGCTAATTCTGATGTTTCAATGCCAGCTCACAATATCTTAAACTTCAGGATGGTTTCAAGTCATACTTGTTTATCAGACTTATAAATTCATGCCCCGTACCAATAAAACATTAACTGGACTCATCCATGTTTTCAAGGTTAGTTAGATTGAGATGTGCTATGAATCTCACAGCCGATAAGAGAAAACTGCAGCTGGCAGAAAGTCACCGCGTACATGAATTGGCGTGAAAGGCATGGCACAATTATCCTTTAAGACAGTCAGTAGCCACTTCTTCTCATATTTCTTTCCGTGAGGAATCTACAAAAACACAGAAAATCAGAGTCATACTGGTGCAATTGTACAGCGGGCATTAGATTACATTAACCACCACCCAGGACACTGGTAAGCCACTTCAGGGGAGAGGATTCCCTAATGTCACAAGGACAGCAAAGGGACGTCATGCACAGAAATACAAATACAGTTGCCTGGAATCACAGATCGTACCAAACCCTATACATACACTATGTTTTTTCTTATATCTACATACTTATGATAATTTATAGATTAAACTATGCGCAATATGAGACAATATATAAATGAACATAGGGTTACTTGAACATAGCACTGCGATACCATAATCTGATAATGGGTGGTTAGCGTACACAGCATGGAAACGCTGGACAAAGGGATTATTCACGTCACGGCCAGGACGATGCGAGATTTCAATACACCCCTCAGAACGACGGAGTGGTGGCTCTGAGGCTAGGGATCTGTGTCTGCAACTGGAAGGTTGCTGGTTCAAATCCCATGAATGTAAAGATAAAGATAATCTTTATTGTCAATGTCACTTGGACAACTAAATTTAAAATGCAACTCGACTCAATGTGAGGCATAAAAAGAGTAATAAATATTAAAGATATACAAATTGCACTGAATTACAAACTGCACAGAATACTGCATTGTCTATGATCCTACTCCACTGGGCCCTTGAGCAAGGCCCTTAATCTGCAATTGCTTCGTCCTGGGTATGACGTCCAGCCCTGTAAGGAGGTCCTCCATCTTACATGGAATAACTTGGGGGTTGGTGGTAGGATTGGCACTCAAGCCACGGGAAAAAATCTCACACTACTCCACAGGTGTCAGACTCCAGTCCTGGAGGGCCGGAGCCCTGCACATTTTTGGGGTTCCCCTCATTTAATACACCTGATTCAACTTCTTGTGCCAATTACCACATAGCTGTTGAGTTAAATCATTTGTGGTGGAACAGGGAAAGAACTAAGCTACACAGGGCTGCGGCCCTCCAGGACTGCAGTCTGACACCCCTGCGCTAGTCCATTCGGACTAGTGTGGTGCTGAGGTATCACCTGCCATGTGGCTGCACTCACGTTCTCATCCCTGAGGTGGTTTATCATGTGGTGGGTGCAGCAACGCACTGTAATCAGTGCCTGCTCCTTACCTACCTCAGAATGACGTGCACTTTAAAACTTACACTGTTTATTCCTGAAATTTTCCATTTAAAATTTGCAAACCACGATTAACTGAAACCATGGAAAGTGAAATCGCAGATAAGGAGGGACCACCGTATTACTAAAACTGAGAGAGTGGATCAGGCCATACATGGTCCAATCCAGAAAAAAAAACATTACCAACACGATCAGTATCAAAGATACTATTTAAAAGAAAATGACAGGACTCAGTAAGTCTAGGTTCCTCATTCTGCTAACAGACATGGGCATCACGACCAATCTTTTGTACTCACAGTCATCCTGAACCAGTTCTTGCGTCCTGCTCCCCCTCCTCCCCCACCTCCTGCAGGTCCACCTCCATAGCCCCCACCTCCGCCTCCGCCTCCCCTTCTATCCCGATCAGGTCGGTTGTGCCCCCTGCGGTTTGGCCTATCGTAGGGATTACTGTGGGTGGGGAAGACGATCATTAGTAAACTGCATAAATCGATCTGAAAATGACCATAAAAAGCATACAAAAGATTGACCGGTGTCTGCAGGTACTCACTATCTACGCTGCGGGGTTCCATCCTGCGAGCTGTCGTTCATAGCCACGTCTCCGTCGTCGTCTTCAAACCGAGTCCTGGGGTTCGGACCGCCTCCCCCGGGGCCCACGCGATTCCGTGGCCGCCCCACCTGCTCACTGTACATGCGGCCTCTGAAGGGGCCCCGACCCTTCCTGTTGCGAAACTGGGGACCGCCAACCCTGTCGTCATGCTCTGGACAAGACAGAATTTGAAATTACATGTTTAAGTATCAACAGCCAAGAATCAGAATCATTTTTATTCACCATGCACATTCACAGGAACCCACAAGATGTTTTTCCAGTTGCTGATATTGTACATAAAAAAAACTTACATATAGATGCATCATATGGCAGAAAGTTAAACCTTGAGACAAGTGGATATTACACATTTCTGCCAGGTAATCAGACTTAGTATCATGGCTAAAGAAGAATGATTCTTTAAAATGTGCTCCCCCCAGTGCCAATACATGCAATAGATTCTGGCCAATAGAAGTTATTCTCCATAAGCCTTAATAGTTTGCAACACTATGATCCCTTAAATTAGATATCAAAGGACAAATCAGATTAACTTTATTGACTCCAAAGGGAAATTCTTTTGTATACAGCAGCAACGTACATACAGCACGGACGAATATACATTTAGTGCAAAACAGAGAAAGTGCAAATACAGCACCCACAGTCCACTCCTGTTCAAACCGGACAGCATCAACGCAAACAAACCGTGTTAACGCCCTTTCCGGAATAATAAAAATGATGGGAAAATAAATCCTTCCCAATCCCAGTATGCCATTTAAAACCAAAAGTTCCACATTGAAGCCCTATATCAATGACATCTTACAGGCGGCAAAATATTTGCATAAGGGCGTTTTTACATAATTTCATATCAACACTGTAGCATCCCGTTTCCAAAACAACGTGTTCCCCTACATTAATGTAGACAAAAAGCGCAGCTTGCAGCCTAATACACACGTACTTAAAATCCCAGGTCGTAAATCTTGTGTAAATGTATGTTAATGTGAAAAAATATGTCACTCACAGAGGTTTAAATTATAGTTTGAAAGGCTACCAGCGTTAAAAAGAAACAATAGAAATCAACGTGTACTCCGTGGAGCGAACGGGGCCCTGCTAACACCACGAAGCCAGATACACAGCCTAAATTACTTCTTTTGCGCACTTTCTTGTTTACTGTAGCGCTTGAAGCGACAGGCAGGGCTCAGATTCTCCTCGATTTACCTTCAAGCAGCCTGCCATTGCTCCTGACCTCTCTCTGGATGAAGGAGACGCCATCACAATCTATGGATACGGGGAAACTCCATTTTACTGCTAGTTTTAGTAAGGAGAAAGACCCAGGGACACTCACCGTTGTAATAGCGGGCATCGTCCGCTGTCGCCATATTATACAAAAACACAAGCTTAAAACAGGTTGGACACCAGCAGATGATTAGTCGGTCGAATAAAGGTTATTTGTGAAATATTTATGGACTGATCTGCGGTTATTTGTTTTTTTAAATCGTCTTTCCAACCTCTCCGGTATCAACGACGGCGCGGCCTCGTTGCAACTGGAGAGTAGTGCGCATGTGCAGAGGACGTCGATCGGGGCTGTAGTTCTCGCACCGCCCTGCAGAGGCCGTATTCAGCGCGTATGCGCTCACTTAATGGGCGCTTTTCCAGCGCACTTTTAGTACGGAACTTTCGGTACTATCCCTTTCAACTTTGGTTAGCTGGCTGGCGTGAGATTTAATCGTAGACGAGTCTGCACACTCATTTACATATATGCAATCGTTATATTACATTGTAAGTAGTGTGTAGGATTTGCAAAATGCCCCAACGGTTCTGATGTATTTAAGTTTAGGTTTATAATAGAATAATATAGATTTGCCGTAAGATTTCTTGAGTGAGCGTGAAAGTCTGAGTGTTACGCCAGATGCGTGAGAGCTGGCAACCCTGCAATAGGAAATGGGATGTACCTTAAATACCGTACGAAAAGTAAGATACCTGGGGCCTGTACTACGAAGCGGGGTTACTGGCCTATCGGGGTAACTTGTCGCATTTAAGGTAGTCTGGGCAAAATGTAACGATGGAACGAATATGAAGTCCATTTAAACTGTGGTACCTTAAATCCGACAAGTTACCCCGATAAGCCAGTAACGCCGCTTTGTAGTACAGCCCCCTGGTGTGGCAAAGCGCCCATAGTGCACTGGTAACACTAAAATGAGCATTTCAGATCAGACCAACGTGTGTAAAGAAAACACATTTACATTAAAAAAGTTTCCTTGATGGGATATGACTTCATGGACACTCCATCCATTGTGTTAGAGTCGAGCCTCAAGTTCGTCGCACTCATAACTTGATGTTGAATCCATATTAAAATCGGATCACTGACACGCTTATAAAATTCCCATCTATAAAATGTTAGATTTTTTTTATGTTTTTTGCCATGCGACTATTAGACCCCATACTCACATTGTGATAAACGTTAGTTGATACTTTACCGTTTGTTCATAGTAGTCCCGTCTAGTAGCACAGCCTACAATTATACTTAACTGCATGCATTTATAAATATTTGTGTAATCGATTTAAAACACACAACTTTAAATATGAAAACAATGTTGCATAACTATTCTGTAAAATTAGTCGCGTAACAATCTATGAAAATTAGTGTACAGCCATCTAAAGCTGGTTAATTCGTAACTAGCAACAGCTGATGTTTGTATGTCAAAAGCTAATATTTTCCCTTTTCTTTGATCGGTTATATTACAGAAATGTTTCTTGGAGGGGGAAAAAAAAGTTTTTTTTTTTTTTACCTTCATCTGGGTGAATATAAGCTACCACCGCGAGGTTGTCGTACCGCTTTCGAAAGAAAGTCATCTTGCTATCCAATTAACTGGATTCTAGACGTTGGCAAACGAATGATTGCAGTTAAAAGTGATTTGGGCGCCGGTAACTGTGGCAACCTGCCAACCTCCCGCCGGTTTCTAAACGAGCTGGTAGGTCACTAGCGGGCGCACGTTGGAAGATGGCGCGCAATGAAAAAATTACGGCAATATATCACGGCTGTGATTCGGTTGTAGGCACGAGGCCGCGGATTATCACACCCTGGCCCGGATCTAGACTGCTCAGGTTGGGGCGGGGGGCAACTTCACACAATGGACTGTGACTAGAAATATAGGTGGGGAACATGGATATTTTCATATTTCATGTTTGAACTGTTTATTTTCCCTACATTATCTTCTCATGGTCATCAGTCTAATCTGGAAAGACAAATTATTATTATTATTATTACCAACAGTGCTTGAAGTGCGAAAAAATAAGTGCAGGAACTCTAATTTTCTCGGGCCACTGTCGCTGCGTCGGATCAGTTTCAGTAAGTACCGGAACGCAGAAAAAAGTGGCGGAACCCAAAAGACGAAAATACAGAAGTTCCGGAACAGCGTTCCGCTGCGTTCAGGCCCACTTCAAGCACTAATTACCAAACCATATTGTGGTTTGCACTGTGTTGGTGTGTAAGGTGTAATATTACTGCCTGAACACTATAAATTACTTGTTCTTTGTGTAGTTACATACCTATGATAAAATTTAATCTATAAATTACACTGAGACAGTGGTTACCAAATCAGTGGATAAGGAGGTTCCACTGTACTGTTGTAGTGAGTTTCCTAGATCTTCCTAGAGCTTCCTAGCTAACAGTAATGTTAGCTGGCTAGCTATCTAATAGTTAACTAATCCATTACTAGCAAAGATCCTAATTCAACACAAAATTACAGCAACAAAAGATACATTTTACAAGAAGGAGCTTTAATAAGAATAAGGTAACATATCCCTCCTCCACATTCACAGGTGACGAATGAAATAAACGTGAACATGAAATTTTTAGCCATCTACAAAATTACCTTGGGTATAGTACCATGATCTAGAATAGAAGCTTCTTCAGGGAGATAGATGTATATCAAGGATTCCCAGCTTAATAATTTAAATGCAAAGGTCTATTTATTGGGGGGAGGTGGGGTGGCAAGTGGAGCCAATTTAAATATTGGGGGGTACTCATCCCCCCAGTTCCTATGCACCTGAATTACATGATAAACCAAGGATTGAGAGTGCAATAAACTGCAAATGACATTATGACCGGTCTTGTTTCTTCCACTGGCGTCCATGTTTTGGACTGACCACATCAGGAAGGACACTTTGAACTACTTCAGGTTTTACAAAATACTTAAAAACTGAGTGGTTCCTGTGCTTGGCTAGTTTGGTTCTTCTTGTGCGTTGACTGGTTTGTTTTCATCTGGCTAATTTATATTAACATTTGTGATGCATGCAAAGTTATAGCAGACTGACCAATCAGAACACAGCAAGAACTCAGTGTTTAAGTGAAATCCAGGACTTTTTAATTGAAATGGTATTTTACAAATCCTGCTAATCTCAAAGAATCCTCTCTAACATGGATTATCTGATCACTCTATGTCACACTGATGTTAACTAATAAGAACAGCAGTAGATCTGAGACATTACACAAATACTTTGTTAGGCAGTTTGGGGAAGACACAGAATGTACCATTTATCCAAACTGCTAACAAAAATATCCAAAGGAAATGAAAATTAAAAATAACGTCTCTTCTTTGTCCAGCCTATTTATTATAGACATAACTGAACTCAATTTAACACCTACATGAGATTTTGCCCATTTTCTCATGCTTTTTTAATTCAGCTGCTTAGAAACAGTCTTCCTCTCATCTCAATCAGCCCAAACCCTTAAAATGCTATTTTTTCTCTCATCGCACTGATCTTAATTTGTCTGAAATAATCAGTTCTTGAGATAAGATCCAAAAGAAATCTTGATTAGCATATAAATGAGCCTGCACAAAATCAGAAATTTGTCTCAGTGATCAAATTCAAATCTCAGCACTGTATTTTATCTGTTCAGCACAGTAAAAGAACTCATGCTAAACAGGATCATTTGCCTTAGATTGATTATTCTTTTGCTCATTATTTCACCTAAGTGGGGGTTTAGGAGAAACAGGTCAGAGTTCCTTAATCTCCAGATAAGACGACAATATTTTTCCTAATGAGACAAAGAAAAGAAAAAGACCATTGTGTGCAGTAAAATTTTCTTCTGGGTATGGGCTCACATATTACACACATTCTCCAGTAATTAAATCACAAAAGGTTTTACTGTCGTTGCAAAACAAAAGTAGTAGACTAGAATATTATTTTCTTAACTGCAAACCTGATCAACTAATAAGGCCCATGACCATATTTTCTGGCATGTAGGTGGCGTACTAGAACAAAAATGTGCATAGACTCAAGGGGGGGGCTGAAAGCTAGGTTGAGAATTTCTGACATAAATGAATTCAGTCAAATTACTTGAATTGTTATAGCACATTTAATCTGGTTATACAAGACATGGACTGCCCCATGGCTAATGATACAGAGTTTGCAGCTCATTCATTAGTTTCAGATACTACATCATAATGGATTTTATAGTCATACATTAGCCATGGTTTCCTTTGCCATTTACCTTACATATTATACTCTGTAATGAACAGTTATTGCTACAAGAAGGGGGTTTGTACAGCATGCCCTTGTACAGCCCAGGCAAGGGATGAGATTAATTAAAAGCATGTATATTCAGCTGCCACAATAGGAAAACCTGTTGCCAAGCGTCATTATGCAAGAGTTTGGAATAGACAGAGTTATACAGTCTGGTCTGGAATTAAATTCAGTTTAAGAAATCCCACAACGTTTGTAAAGCATAAATTTTACTCACTGCATAATACTGTCCGTTTTCATGCTACATTTATTGTGTTTTAGTTCCATAATGCCTGGCCATACAATCCCACATTTCCTGTGATTTCCTACAGTATGGTTTTCAGGTATTTTTTCACCGAGAAGCTAAAACTTTATTTAAAGCTGTATACCTGAGCTGCCAGTAAATCACTTAAGATTGTCCAGATGCAACATAACTTTGCAAATTATACATTAGTGATGTTCTCTACTTTACTTTTTTTTTTTCCTAGTCCTTATCCACTTTTGCAACAAGTGGAAAAATTTCATGTTTGGAATGTGAGAAATCCAGTTCTGCCATTGCATTGTAGGGAGCCTGATTATCTATACATTAAATGGATGTTTGGGTCGTAGAAGCTCCCCTACTGCCATTGGCCTCCAAATGGACACAGCTAAAAACCTCTTCTAGCACAGTATCCCTAGCACTGAATGCAGGTGCAGATTGAGATATCTCCTGCATGACATCCTTTGTCACTGACACACAGTGCGTCTGCAGTTCGTGTTGTGTGTCAGTACTACAGTCGCACGGGTTCAGTTTTTCAGCTTCCAGGAGAGCTTCCTTCACAACCGAGGTTAGGCTGGCTAGGCCAGTAAGATATCCATCTTCCTGATTACCCTCAATCCAGGGAATGTTGTGCTTGAGGTATAGACCAGAGTCAGTTGGGAAGGTCTTCCCAAAGTCAATCATCCATATGTTGGCTTTACTTCTGCGGTCATGGATGAACAGGAGTGAACTGCCAATAATCTGAATAAATTTGGAAATAAAGAATGGTAGCACTTTACTTGAAGGGATAGATACCTCATTTATGCTTTATAATGGTCAACATAAGAATTAATAAAGCATTTACTGACAATCATAAATCATTATAGTGTTGATTATTATACTTCACAAGCTAAAATGAAACTCCCATTTATAATGCACTATAGATACGTTCATTATTGCATTATATGCATTATAATGGTCGGTATAAGAATTTGTACTGCATTATAAAGATATAAACAGTGCTATAATGTTATGCATTTTTACTTAGATATTTATCCATGCATATAATTTTTTATGAATTCATTATAATGTATTATGAATGTGTTCATAGACTCTTATAGACATGTCAGTCATAGAATGTGTTACCAAAGTACTGTAAATAGGAGAAAGGAGATAAACACAATTCATGCACGGACTACAGTTTCTCTACTGTGATCATGAAATATAAGCACAATGCTGGTGTTTTCACTGGAGATGGACTGACCTCATGAGTCTTGAAAAACTCAGACTTCTTCAGAGCTTCATCTAGAGCCATGAGTCTGGAGAGGTAGTCTTTCTGAAACACAAAAAGATAAATTATTATGCAGCATTGAAGACTCTATTCTCAGTCACTGGGACCATAACAACCGTAAACTATTATTTTAAGGAATAAATAGGTGTTTTTCTCCTGGTTGAATCTCTGACCAGAATGTTGGGCTGTTTCTTGGTGAATGTTAACACAGTGTCGGTCACTTGAGCCAGAGTTCGGGTCATCTTGAAATCACGTAGCACCTTGCCATTTTCCTTCTAAGACAGGAGAGACAACAACAAGATTTAATATAAACATTCATTCATTCATTCATTTTCCAACCCGCTTTATCCTATTGGGTCGCGGGGGGTCCGGAGCTACTGTATGATGTAGGAATAAATATACAAGCTGCTTTGCTTAAATACACTATTTTCTCTGCGAACTGGCAGCACAAACATTGCTTCTGCAATAGACAGTACTTTGTATGCTTCCTGTCGGTGCAGTGATACTCTGAATCAGTTGGTTATGTCTTGGAGTGATACTGCAGGAGTATCCAGTTCTCTGATAATTGAGTTCCCAGGCGTTACTTCATTGTGTCATTCAACAAAAAAAGTTTCCAGGCCAAAAGAAAGAAAACATTTTTACAAGTAACTATTAGTGAGTAAGTACCATTGTTTTGTACAACTAAATATTTTCAATCAGCTTGTGAATCCACACTCAGATGCAACTAGATCTCCTTTTTTTGACATTGCCTAACCATTCAACCCAAAAGACATTTTCATATTCATTCTTACCAGTAGGGAATACTTTTTAGGACAGCAAAGCAAAAAGACTTTGTAGTAACTCATTTCATAAGAAGATGCTGCAAAAAATCTCTAGTTCAGTAACATTTGATAAGAGAACAGCAGTCCATGACACTAAAGTGTCAAGACATAGTACCGTGATCCCTTCTATCCTGAAGCCTAGAGTTGAGCTGGAGCTCAAGCTATCCCTCCACTGCAGGTAGCGCGACTTTGTCACAGCTCTCAGTGCGTGCTCTTCCACCGTCGGTGCTGCTGGGTCTACTTTCACCATCTTCCAATACATGTCACTGCGCAAGGAAGCACTGTGCTGCACTTTTGATAGGTCTTTCTCTAGGTAGGTCCTAACCAAAAAAAAAAAGGAAAGATATATATGTTCATACATAGAAAAATACACAAATAAATCAGGCATGAAACTAAACACTTGGGCATCTAGACCATGTACTAGAATAGTTTATATATAAATTTTAATCCAGATGTAAGCTATATACATTTAATATGAATGACTCTAGGTTTACTCCAAAACAAGCTTCTCTTGGACTCCATAACTACACTGCATGCACATCTGCATACCGAACACCCATTTTGCAGTCCATTATGACAGGGAAGCTCTTCCCACTGAGCAAGTCCTCCAGACGCATGTATCTCTCATTCCCTCTGCTGGTCACTCCATAGTACTGTGGGACGAACCGGCACAACGAATCGTGCATAAGGGCTTGTAGACAGGAGCTCTCGACAGCATTGTACTTTTTCAGCACCTCTCCTCCCTCACTGGGACAAAAATTTCCTGGCAAGATATAGGAGTGAGATACATATTAATACACTGTCATTTTTCCCTCATCCATCTCCATCTATGGCCCTGTTTACACCCGTTTACAGTTTTAAGCTCGTGAGTCCCAGGCTATTGTTTGGTGTGCATGTTTTATTTCCTTTAGCTATTTGGGATTCATAGAACCTCATAATCATAAAAACCAAACATTATTTTTTTGAACAATTAATAGTTTTAAACTAAAAATGATATCCTTATATGAGGACGTAGGGTCTCAGGAGGTTAAGACACATGTTGAGTGATTGGATCACAAGTGGATACCCGAGTCACATTGCCATTAACACCAGTGTCCATCATGTGTTTCCGAGATGTCCAGCTGACCGCCTGTGTTCAGATTTCGTTACTAGCTATGTCACTTGACTGGCAGGTCAAATGGCCTCACGCACAGTTATTGTAAAGTCCTTGTCAGGGACGCATCAGGACACTTTAGCATTTACACTACAAAAGTGTCCCAGACCACCTCGTTAAGTGATCTGATCATTCGAATCACAACACGGCCATTTACACTTCTATTTAGTTCTGTCCACTTGTGATTCGATCACACAAGGCACATTTTAAAACCAAGTGTAAACAAGGCCTATATGAACACATGCACAAGCGTCATACAGGAGGGGCATCTTTAATTCAGGGGCACTTAAATGAGACATGTACATGCCTGGATGTCCTGCTAGTTGTACCCATGAACTCCTTCTACGTGCTGACCATTGCATCATGGTCAGGAAGGTCCTCCAGGAACAAGCCTGCCAGGAGACACGGGTAAAGTGAGAAAACCCAGGAACCAGATATGTGCTACACTACTACTCCCTTCTACATCGATCTTAGTCCCCATCTTCTTTCTAAGAATAAAAAAAGCACAAATAATGACAAAAGGGTGAAACTTGGCAAGGGGATTTGATGCATTTACTTCTTCCCGTTCCCGCTGAAAGAGTTATGCAAATAACTTCAGTGTATTTATTCAAATATATTTACGGTTTTGGTTATGAAAAGGAGCACGCAAATCAAGAAGAGAAAGGTTAAAACAACTCCATCTGCAGCTCCATCTTTACAGGGTTAGATAACATCACTGGTACATTCTAGTATAAATGTAGTGAACGTACAATTGCTGCACTCAATAATTCCAATAGAAATGGAATCTGATGTGTAGTGAACTGCCGCTGGGAAATTCGACCACTGTTACATCGCTTTGAGTAAGAACATCTAAATAAACTATATCACAAAATGAGCCCCATTGGCTATAGATCGATATAAGGGCAATCTTGCTAATAACCAGCTTAAAAGAACAGCTCACTGATGAATGCTAATGTTCAAACACTAGACAGAGTGACCACCATTGAGGTGTAAGCAGTGGGCATATCTGACTTCTGTGCCACCGGCAATGACGTTGCAGACGGGATTCCGCATCCCCCACGTACCCTCAACACAAACACTTCCTTTACCAACTGCACTTTGAACTGTTGCTCACCTTCTTGTTAGTTATGCACTGTTCCTTAGTGGTTGTCTCCTCCTCATCACTGAAGACTTCGTCACTATCCACAGAGGAGTAGTTGAAGGAAGACGAGGTGGAGGAAGAAGAGGAGTTCAGAAGTATGCGGGAGATTGTGGGATTTCGGATGGAGGCCACCTGAAGCAGCGCCTCTGCTCCGTTCTCAGCAATCTGCGGATCTTCTTCCTTGCTTCCCCTTTGGGTCCATCTTTTCCTCCCATCTCTTTCCATCTCCAGCCTCTCTTTTTCATTTTCTTCCTCCACACTACCCTTGAGTCGCTGTCTTTTTTGCACTCTCCATCTCGCCTTTCTGTCATCCCTTGCTTTCCACATGTCACTTGACTCATCTCTTCTTTCTTTCTCCATGCCCTCCTGTTCTTCCCTTTCTGTCACACAATCTTCAGTTCCCTCTCTTACCATCACCCTCATTGACCCCTCTTGCATTTCCCCCCCTAGTTGGATCTGGTCAGGTCCCATATTGCTTAATCCCTCTGCTTCCCAACATTTGACTTCTCTGTCACTTGTAGCGGTTTCTCCTAAACTTGAGGCATATTGTCCACCTGAGTAGAAGGTTGCTTGTACAGGGCGTTGTTTTCTTGGAATTTTATTCATTCCCACTGTTAAGTCAGAAATAGACCTGGTCCAGATAGACTCCTCACACAGACTAGATCTTAAAATGTTATTTTGTTTTCTATCTTCTTTTTCATCTAATTCAGTTCTTTCTTCCTCCTTTCCTTTGTGTATATCCAAGCCCTCCTCAACTAAAGCTGAACAATCCATACTTTCACCAGTCCAACAGAACTATACTGTGTAAGGCTAAGATTTTTGCTCCTGCGCCATTTCTTATTTAACCGCTATCCTTACTCATGTTTGGAGAATCCACAGGATTACGTTTTTCTTTTAGTATGTAGTAAATCTTGGCAAGATCTGCCTGAATACAGATGGTATTTTCTTATTGGATAATGAATTCAACGATTAAAACAGTTTCTATTCCTGTATGATACCGCATGTGCCAGTAGGTCGGACAAGACAGCGAAGGAAAATCAACCTGAAATTCACAAGTGAAAGTTAAAGTTAAGGAAAGGGATATAAATGATAAAGAGGTAATCGAGAAAAACATAAAATCCTATAAAAACTGCAAGCATTAAATAAACACATTTGGCATGTACTGGGATTCTGCGTCTGGAAAAGTTACCTGCACACAGAACAAAATATATACCCAAAACAAATATTTACCTTGCAAGATCTTCCGGGAACTTAGAAATGCTAATCATAAATAGTTTCTCCTGCTACATTAAGCTATTAACTTGGTATTTTAATTAATTTTAAAGTCACAGTATACCTGTCTCAGGAAAGTATTCCACGTCTTGTGTTTTTCATGTTGAAGTATATTTCCAAAAAATTAACAAGCGCCACACGATCAGATGCTGCCTAGCTTGTCCGCGAAGTCGCGTGGGCAGAGCAGGTGCATCCAATTGACGTAAGTGCAATTTGCAAGCGAACTTTTATAATGTAAACATTTGTCATTTTTGGGATCAGTACGTCTTATATGCCATCTAATTCTTTTTGAGTTTATTCTTTTCGAGGCAGAATTAAATAATTACTATGATTAAATCATTATAAACTCTTTAATTGCATTGTTCTGTTTCGGGTAGTTGTACCTGCCCCTGGGATAGCCCCCGTTACCCTAAATAGGACAAGCAGTTACAGAGAATGGATGGATAGTTGTGCATTATTTATATGGCACACGTTATTCAAAGTTACAAAACAAGGTTGGAACTGTTGTGATCCCATAAAACAAAATAATTATGGATATATTTAGAATGTAGTTGTAGAGGTAATTAGAACAAAATACCCTACTGAGCCAATATGAAAGAGGTACCCACTTACTTCATGCAACTAGAGCACTTCTTGAGAGATAGCAAGATTTATTTTATTGGTGTTTTTATAAGCAGTTCAGGACCCAGTGGTGTGGTGGTTCAGTGCATGATACTGTTGTCTTATACTTTCAGGGTTGGAGGTTCGAATCCCCCATGTACTTTGCGTGTATGGAGCATGTCTGTGACGTGATCTCCTCTGGGTACTCCAGGTCCCTCCCGCAGTAAGACGTGCCAAGGCAGTGCCGGTCACACACCACTCACTAGAGTGACATATTCCACACCAAAATCCTGCATTTGCCTAATTCACAGCCCAGTGTCCTATTACTCATGCATGCAGTTTGGAAATTTGGCATCTCTGCATCACCTGTAGTGTGTAGGATCATGTCCCTGCCTTTGGCCCTATGCTGGCCCAGAGGGACTCCAGGCCACCAATTATCATGTCCATAATAAGCAGTGGAATGAGAAAGGATGGCTTACATCAGGGGGTGGCCAATCGTATCCGCAAAGGGCCGCTGTGTGTGCGGGTTTTCGCTGCAGATCCCTAATTAGAGCTTCAGCGAGGAGTCCTCACACCTGGGTTTGAACAGCTGACCTACACGTTACCCCAAAAACCTGCATACACAACAGCCCTTTGTGGATAAGATTGGCCACCGCTGGCTTATATGCTTTCTGGGATTATAAACAGCTCACTATGGATCAGTAGTTACTGAAGCAAATGGTCGGACAGAAACATAGTAACATAATCTCTAACACAAAGTGCTGCAAAGGCACTTAATAATCATTACATACATTAATATCTAAAATAAACTGACAAATTATTAGACTCATGTATGTACTGTTACACCATATAAGGAATATTCTGTCATTCACATATATACAGTGCCTTAAGTAAAGCAACCAATACTTACACATACGAAATCAAAACTGAATGCCAAAAATCAATTTTATTTCTCATATAATCTGTTACAATTTTAACACTAACTTTCATGATGTGAAAAATAAGCACCCCATCAAAGTTAATCCTGTATAAGAATACAAAAATTCTTGTCATACAAATTCATTCTTCAGAGTTTTCTACTGAGGAAGCTTTCTTGCAAACAAAACATTCAGTAAGTCTTTGGTGGATTGTCAGTTTCAAATTACCCATTCATATGTCCACATAACATGGAATCCATGCACCGTTTCATTGTGACCCAAAATCTGATACCTTTACACTTCACCATTTTTTCCCCAAATCCAAGGCAGTTGACTTAATTGGACAGGAAACAGGACAGGTCATAGCTTTCACTGACAAAGCCACGAGTTACAGAGAACGGATATTAAATAGCTTTGTACAAAAATGGTTACAGTGTATTCAAGAATGTGCCATGGGCGCCTGAGAGGGAATCGGCACACGCGCTAAACACAGGAAAATGACAATGTGAGTTATTAATGTCACTGTTAAACTCTACAAAGTCAACAGGGCTTGAAGATATCGTCAAAACATACTTATCGTTTGACCCATTTTGGCAGCTAGAAATTTAAACAGAGCAAGTTGAGTGATGGACACTGATCAAGACTACTACAGCAGGATCCATCCGTCATCCAAGACCCATAACCTTCCGGAGGCAAGTCTGCATTCTTTACAACTATGTCTCTCATTGCCCAGGGTGAAAGGCTATTGTATTTAACAGATGCTTTTTAGACACCAGTCTTGGTCTTGATGGCCCCCTGTGCATGCTGGCTTTTGTTGCAGCTGAGGTCTTTATTTATTAGCTTTGATTGGACAGAAAGAAATCAACACTCTGACTAGCCATTATTCCCAGCCAGATTTCGACTGTTCTTATACAGAATATGTAACTAAGGCCTCCTCTTAACTACAAGAACGTATTACATCAGAATTACCTACACACATCGTTTCCTTATTTAAAAATATCAAAATAGAAAACTTTTTCTGTACAACACATCTGCTTAAAGTGCCGTAATTAAACACAAAGGAGGAGGATTGCTGCCGGTCCCTAATACAAGCTCGACTCACATCGTAAAATAAACTGATGTCCCCCGATATATACGGTATGATCCCGTATTATCAGGGATGGGTGGCAGCCATACAAAGAAGGGTCACATGGATGTGTATGTTTTTCCTTCAAAGCACATTCCATTTAATGTTACCGCCAGATGAAAATAATTAGGTCCAAAGCATAAAGTCTCATTAATTATGAGCCTAGGTCATCACACATGTCCAAGGTTCGTCTGACTGGGTTTAAGTGGATGGGAATGGAAATGCACCATTGAGAGAGAGTGTGTGTGTGTGTGTGTGTGAGAGAGAGAGACTGCTGCTGAGGACACCCTAAATTCCTGTCCCCTTTAGGAACTCCTGCAGGCCCCCTGGCGCTGGCGGAGGATGGTGGCCGGGTCAGACGGCTCTGAGGCACCTTCCTGTATCTCTGGGGGATCGTCCTGTATCTCTGGGGGATCGTCCTGTATCTCTGGGTCAGGCTCCTCTTCACTCACAGTGGCCTCTACAATCTCAGGGGCTTCAAACAGAATAGGTGCGTCTTCTGAGGAGAAGTCTAACACTTTAAGGAGAAGAAACAGAGTCACCTCTGGTCATTTGTCTGAACATTCACACTGTTATGACATTATGCTACGCACCTCCAAAACAAAGATTCTTCTTTTTTTTTTTTTAATCACACTTATTGATCCCATGGGGAAATTCTGTTTTTGTCTCCCATATTGTTCTCTGTAGGTGAGAGTAAGCTTGGCAGGGAAGGGCAGCCACCTGTAGTGGCACCCAGGGAGCTGGGGGTTAGGGGCCTCGCTCAAAGAACCGCATGTATGCCGAGGCCAGGCTAAAACCGGCAGCCTTCCGATCACAGGCACAGAGGCTTAGCCCACTGAGCCACACGCATTCTTTAGGGCTGCTGTTTTTGTTCTGGTTTGACCAGTACAGGGTTTAATTCTGGTACTGGGAAACACTCTGTGTGTGTATACCTACCCCCGGAATCATCTGGTAAACCGGTACCTCTGTTCAGGGAACCGATGGTCTCAGGCGATTCAGACTCAAGATCGCCTATAAAACAAAGACAAGGCAGTGAGACAGACCTGCTGCCCACACTCTGGCAGTATAGCCCCCCACCCAACACAATCCCGCCAGCCCCTCCTCCGCTGACCTTTCCTCGGGGAATCTGCAGGTGTCTCAGGAGGCGGCCCATTGGCCGGGTCACTCCCCTCCACCACTTTATCGCCTGGAATGAATCAGTCAGCCATATCATCATGAGAAAATATTAGGGATCCTGCAATTAAACGTAGCAATCAAAGGCAACTGCTATGTCAGAAAACAATATTTAATAAAAACATAAAAATCTGCATAACCTGTTGTATTTTTTTGCACAGCATGGGGGTGCAGTGTGTGGTTCAGCAGGTTAGGGCACTATGCCTGCGATCGGACGGTGACACGGTCAGCAGAGTGATGTCACTTGTGGGCCCTCTTCTGTATGCACACGGGGTGAGGGATGTAAATATCATCAGGAGTGTCTGTGCAGATTGTGTGTGTGCACCCCAGATTTTGGATCTATTTTTCTGTACCGGTGTGGGTCGAATGCACATGTGCAAGGAAATTGACTTGGTGTTTCCAGTAGGGGGCAGAAGTAGTAGTTGAGGTTATGGATGCTTCTGATAAGCAGCTGTGTGAGGAGAGCTGGAGATACCTGCTTATACAACTCATCATTGAAGGAGCACGACAGTGCATGACTTCGTGGAATGGAATCACCCAAACACGGGGCAAAGAAGTGTATTTCTGCAGGCACACATATCTAACTGCATTCAGCTGCCCCTCCATATTTGCAAATTTGACATTTGCAGTTTCGGTTCTTTGCAAGTTGGCCACGAACAATTAAATGGGAATATTTTTGGAGCTTGCTGTAAGATCGCAGAAACTCAAAGAGGACGTGTAAGCCAAAACTATATAAATAATTTAGCAAATGATGTGGATCACATAAAATCTTATATACTAGTGTTATATATTTGTTAGTGTAAATGTATATACTATATCTTTAATATTAAAGTTATTCTTGGTTAAAAAACACAAAGTGTGGGATCTCTGCATCTGGATTTGGGTACACCACACATCTCGTCTCTGCAACCAGCCGCACTCTCATACTAGCTGTCTTTGACTGTGGGACCTTGGATTTCGCTCAATTTTGTATTTTTAATAATGGTTCACAAATGTAATGCTCTCATTGTATTTATAGTAGCAATGTTGCTTGTTTGGTAGCATTTCAACATGAAATTAAAAGAAAATATCGTACAATGCAAGTACTGTATAACGAAACTCGCAATATGCAAGTTCTCAAACTGAAATACTCCTATACTTCTGCTAATTTCTGCTGTTTGTCTCCACTTGTCTCGTGTTTTACCCAGTCATTAACCTCGTTTTGAAAGGTGGCTGGGAGAAGCTGGAAGCGCTAATTATATCCATCACAGAAAACTTAATTCCGTGTTGTTACAATGTCGCTGAAAACTGCAGAGTTTAATGACTAAAAACTTTGGTGAGAGCACTCGTTGAAAGGTTCCTACTGCTCATTCAGCAAAATTTTCATTCTGTCCACTAGGACTGGTATGGTAAAAATATGAATCTCTTAAAATATTGTGGAATACAGTCCCTCCTTAAAATTGGTAACCTAACTGTTGGCAGCCAAGTACGCTAGCAGCTAGTGCTAACACCTTACTACTGTATGCCGTCTATGTGTTCACTTTTTATATTTTAAATTTTTCAGTAAATTTTTACCTTGTCAGTATATAGATGCAATATAGCAGTTAATACACTGAACAGGAATGAACTGCACTTTAAAACAACTTTGTTTTGATCAAATTTGCATATTTGTGTAAAAATTTGTTTTTGTAACATGAAACCTGTATTTGTTCATTTAAAAAACCTGTTTGGCATAAGTTCTTTCATTCATTCTCACACCTTAGGCTACTTATTTTAAAAAGAAATCGATGGAATATTAATGGAATTATAAAAATAATCAATAGTTACAGTGCTAATAAATAGACTTTTTGCCATTATTGTTCAGGCTAAAAGACTTATGGGTTGAAGTTGGGGGCCCCACGTATGATTTGAGTGCATTTTCCAGCCGTAACGCTCTCGATTGTGACAGGGTCTCTGTATTAACATGTCCTGCTCTATAAGAACACTGCATATGCAATGCACTTCAGTGTTTTTGTGTATTTGCATTGAACATTTAAGTTAATTTGTTATTGTTCATTTTGTCAGATTACAATTGTTTATTAACTGTAAGAACTAGGCTTGGGTAGAATCGAATTTTTCATACTGTCAGATGTTTTTCAGACAGTAACGGCGTGTGGAAAAGTGAAGCATGAATGAAAGCTTTACTCTCCAGTTGCTCCAGGGACCGTCTGGCTCTGCTTTCTCAAAAAAAAAAGCACCTGCTAAATAAATAATGTGATGTCATTTCCTGCGTGTGGTTGTTGTTCCCCCTCACTGTGACCTGAGCCACAGTTCACACACACCAGCATAAGTGCCTCACCCACTGCATTTGTTTTATAATAAGTCGCATGTAATGCGTGCCTGATGTGTCACTCTTAGGATGTACTCACCCTAGGCGATCCATGCCATGCCGTACCGAAGCACAATTGACTAGTTTGTTTGACTAGTGTGATTGCGCCTCACCATGCCCAGACACTCTTGGAAAGGGCAGTCTGAGCACGGTTAACTTAACTCGGGCAAAGTACGCATAGTGTGATAGCTAACCGTGCACGAGCATGGAACACAGACATGACATCAGTGATGTGACTGGCACATGCATGTGTACAGGTACACTATACATGAACTGGACCTGGAAGGAATGGATCAGGTAGGCTGCACAGATCAGGTAGCAACAAACATTTAACAAACACGGCAGCAAAGGGATCACTTTGGTCTATGGCAGAGGTGCAGTGTCTGCTGGAAATGTGGGCCTATGAGAGTATCCAGGAACGACTGGATTCAACATACAGAAACTCATAGATATTTGGTAAAATACGGAACTCTGCTTACATGTGCAGTACGATTAAATGAAGATCTCTGCGTTGCTTCCTCGATAAATCAATAAAAGGGAAGTTTGTCATCGCGCATAAAACGACTCCAAATAAACCACAAAATAGGGACATTATTCACACACATTTCTTCCTACATTTCCTTAATACAAAAACTCACATGGCAATGTCAAAAGTGTGTTTGAGTCTGGAATGTTAACTGCAATTGCAGCACAGACCAGCAGGGGAGTGGGCAATCGTGCTCATGCAGAGAACAAAGCAACCAGGCCAAGTGTGATTACGCCATTAGTGTCTCACTTACTGTTGATCACTCGTCTCTGGGCCTCATCACGTCTCTGCAGGCGGCGAGTCCTATCAGTCATCGTGACCTGACATGAAACGCAGACACAGAACCACAGCTCTATAGAAAGACTGAATACAGCACATTCTCTGGCGGACTGAATATCTATGACATGAAGAAGGACAGAACACGCTCAACAAAGCATCCCCAACAGAATGACAGAGAACACAGCGGGCCGAACGGGGAAGTAAGGCCTTCATGGTAACAGTACGGAGAAGCTGGCTCTCACCCTGACTCGGACTAGTTCTGGGGGCCAAACCCCACCCCATATGAACTGCAGGTAGCTGAAGAGCACAAGGACACTCAGGAAGATGAAGTTGCTCGCCACGCCCAGCACCGCAGACGTCAGCGGGAAGTTGAAGAGCAGATACCTGAAGCCACAGGGTCAGCAGTATTAGGAAGAACTGAACCGGACGCAGTAGCACCACTGTGGAATTCACTCTTACATAAAATGATCAGACAGTACATAGATAAAATGTCCCAGGTAAAGACAAGGAGCACCTGATGCCCGTGAAGTGAGCGTGGATCCGGAGCTGAGCTGAATAGATCTGTACTCTCCGAGACTGAATCTCAATCACTGCGCCTGTGGTGGGCAGGTACTGCAGGAACCACACCAGTGAGCACCGCACCAGTATGACCGAAAGGACGCCAGCACTTCTACTACTGAAAAATACTAAAGCAATAGCAAGCTGAAAGTCTCGGCTAATCATCAGCACAGCACTCACTATTCACTCGGCCGTTTCTATGTGCATAAGAGAAAAACCAAAGTAGTGAAACTGGTAGTAGTCAAAGACCAGAAACCTCCATATTACATGACTGTAGGATGTACTGAAAACCATGTTAGCTGCCTTCCTCAACCAATGTACCCCATCATTTACCACAGTACATCACATATTTTAGGAAAACCAGGATGGGAATGCATCACAGGGTCCACGCTCACCGAATTCTCACTGTACGCGGGGTACAGCTCCACTTCGATGAGCTGCTTCTGCTCCGACATTCCGGACAGCAGCAGCGGGGAGAACAGCAGGGTACCGAGAGTCTGCAGCAGGCTGGAGCGGTAATGCAGCATGGCCTGATGGGATAGGGGGAGACTCAACACCCTGACAAGCCCCGTGACTACAACACTGGGCAAACCAGCGGTTTGGGAAACTGGGACTTGTGTAAAGCTCACATGTAAAAATGGTCCTCGTGTGGACGGATTTCAGCGCAGGACAGAAGCAAAGCAGGTGGGGGGGAAAAAGGGCAGGTGGGACAGAAAAGCATGTCGTGAGGAAAGGGGATGGTGTACTCAAAGGGTGAGACCCGGAAGAGGTGAGGTGACTACCTTAAGGCGACGGGAGAGGAAACAATCGCTTGGACCATGTGAAAGATGTACATTTAGGGTATGAGAGAGCAGATTGTGGACAGGGCAGAGCAATGTAGGCAAGGGAGGATTTGTGGGGCTAATTTTTCTGGTGAAGAACCAAGTCCAAAGTGGTGCACCACATGGTGCTTACAGAACTGGGCAAAACGTCAACCTCACAGTCTCCGTTTAAGGTGAAACTCGTGCAAGACGGCACCTCTTCATAATTATTATTCTTCATCTCAGTACTTCCATCTTGTCAAGTTGTAGATATAAGCCAGATTTCCTAATTATTCTAACACAGGCAAGCTAAGGAGGACTGGATTCCCCCAGGACAGGTGCTGCAAGTCAGCAGAAAATTCACACTCACAGAGCGGGAGATGGTGGAGATGATCTGTCCCTCATTAGTGTAGCAGCTCATCTTGATCATGAACATACCCAGGTCCTGATTGACTGGAGACTCTGGCATCTCCATCTCCAAAGAGATTCTATACGGCTGCCCATACACCATTATCTGGTAGAAGAGTGTCATACAGGTTAGCAAACATTAATTCACATTTAGCTAGCCCAGATCCAACTCAATCCATATTAAATTGGTTATTTAAATAAATAAAAAAAAAAAATAGAACTCCAGTCTCATCATGACCCTACACAGGATAAATGGTTATGGAAGATTTATTTGATGGAAGGAAATTCCATCAACTATAAATGACAAAGTGAAACATGTAAATGTAGGAATTACAAGAGGCACGTACATAAAGTTAGCATACGGACTGAAAACATAGTATAAGTTCTTACTTGGTCTCGCCCGTTCTTCAGCAAGGAGACATTGGCCGTGGGGAAGGAGCAGAGCACGGAACGGGAAGATACACAGTCTGTCCTGAGAGTGAAAAAGCCACATGGACATGTATAGCATAGGAACGTCTATTACAAGATAAATCAATGGTTTTGACTTTAATGCAAATACGATTGCTCATACAAATAACATTCTTTGTACGGACACTCCTCTACTTACTAACTTTCAACTTACGAACTTTCAGACATACGAACAAAGAGGACTGTAAGTCCAAATTGTGTTAGTTGGGCTCCCATTTCATGTCCACAACATTTTTTTTTTTCTGCACGTCAATTCTGCCTAGTACGACTTCTGGCCGCTACTCCCAGCATCCTACTTCTTTGTACTTGCGTATACCCTTAAAATTATGTTGAATAACGACTTACGAACATTTCCAGTTACGAATGGCCGTTCAGAACGTAACTCGTTCGTAAGTAGAGGAGCATCTGTACAATCATCATCCATAATTACATTCAACAACTACACTATTTCCCTAGTACATAAACATAGCAAGCATTAAATCAATCTTTTACGTTTTTGAAACTAATGGACCTTCCAAGAGTAATACCAAGTTCCATTTCCTACCAAGGTTCAGGCAAGTTAGGAAGTTAATTTATTGACAATTACTTTAAAATGAACTTCTTAGAAAATAACCTGTCCTTGTCTGACAACATAGCTATGATGCAGTGGTAAATACAGTCAGTTATACAGGTGCAGTTTAGGGAATGTCCAATGGATGAACCCAGATTATAGTTCTAAAAGAGCTGTTAAAAAGATCATTGACAAGTAGTCTTATTAGGTGTTTTTTTTTTTAATTAGTAACACCTCTACAATAACATAAAACACCAAAAATTTGATTTTTGTATCCCTTTGGGAGCCAGTGACTACAATTGTAATTAATAGCAAAATGGCAAGAACAGAAATGAATGAATCAATCAAAAAGAAATTATAACGCTTAATAAAAAGAAAACATCTGCGTGAAGATATGTGCAGATACATTAAACATTGCCTGTCAAAGGACTTATGAAACCAATACATTTGAAACATTGACAGAATGAAGCAAGTGTCCTAAGGCTTTCTGTAAGCACCATATATACACATATACAAACAGGTATAACGGGCCTCAAGTACCTGTAAAAATAGTGTACTGGGGTGCTGAAGCTGGCAGTGGGCATGTAGGAGTAGTAGAAGCTGCCATAGAGAAATATGGCCACCCATAAGAGGAGGAACAGCACGCAGAGCAGGATGGCGGCTTGCAGGAACGTGCGTCGGGCCCGCAGGAACATCACGGCCGCCACGTCCTGCAGCCACAGCAGCGTCGGCCCGACCAGGCTGCCCATGTCCCCTGACCGGGGGCCACCGTCCACCTGGCACCCTCTACTGGCGTCCATTTTCAGTCCCAGGGCCAAACTCTCTCCTATTAATCTTCGTGATCAGCAACTACCGCTGGAATATTTCACTTTCTCTTGCTCACTGCTCTCTCATACCAAAAATGCTGCAAACTGTATTATATCTATACGTAATCAAACTGACTTTTTACATCTCTTTCAGTCTGCTGTGTACAGTCTGCTAAGCCCAATCTTAACTAAACGAAAAAGGTCATGCGAGTGTCTGGACATCTTGGGTCTGTTCCTGATACATTATATTTCAGTATCACCCTGACTGTTTTCCTCAAGCTAAAGAATTTTAAACATCCAGCTGTATCGCTGCACTTGGTCCGGCATCCAGGCAAAATGAAAAAGGTCTTGACGTGCCAAAAAGTAAAGTTGCTCAAGTTGTATTTCCCCTCGTTCACACAATGTTCCCAGTGTCCCTCGTGCACTGACCTGTGAGAGAAAGTACATCAAGTACAGTACAGACAATTTTTTACTACACAATGTTACTGTGTACGCTTTTTGCATGCTGGTTTGGTGTATCACTTTACATGGGATCGCCCAAAAATCCTAGAAACAAAACTTTGTGAGTGAAGATCATTTCCCACAAAAACAGAGAACCCAGTTACAGAAATGAATCAGATTAAACATTACATTTATATTTGTTTTACTGGTGGACTGTGGACAAAATTATATGTTTACATAAAAAAATCTATTGGCCATTACCACAGATGTATAGCGATACCTCTTAGACACATGCGTAATATATGTAATATAAAACATAATAAATACATATACAATCCATATGAGTGGGAGGGAGATTATATACAGCCCAAATGTTCCATTGAGTGTGAATCAGAATCAGACTGGTTCTTTAAGCACTCCATTACCAATGGGCCATTTTCCTAGAATAAGGAGAATCAGAACAACTTGTTAAAAGAGTGTGTAGGGGGGTCAGAGGTGCTATAAAGGGGGCCTAAAATAATGTGGAACATAACTGAATTGCTAGGGGCCCAATATCACATGCTGTCATGGGGTCCAAAATCTCTAGCGGCTCTTGTTAATATTCCATCACTCATGATAAATCCAGGAATGAGGGTGTATGCAGACCACAAACTATATATCAAGTGTCCATTAAGTTTTACATCATTTTCAGAACATTACAGTAAAGGCTTAGTGAGTGACCATGGTGACAATCCTTCCCAAGTATATGAAAAAAGGGAGATGGCCCGACCCCATAGATCAGGGCTGCCCAGTCCTGCTCCTGTAGGGCTACCACCCTGCAGAGCTTAGGTGCAGCCCTGATGTAACACACCTGATACAACACACCTGATACAGATAATCAGGCCCCGCAGATATATCTCAGTATGAGAACCAGCTTAACTTCAACATAGCTGACTCTAATAGTGAGATATAAATGAAGGGCCTGATTATCTGTATCAGGTGTGTTAAATCAGGGCTGCACCTAAGCTCTGCAGGGTGGTAGCCCTACAGGATTGGGCAGCCCTGCCAAAGATCAATATTATGACAAACGCTAAAATCCCGACAGCAAAATTGCAGAAAATCCGTTTGCAACAGAGAAAACCCAACCTTCCTACACAATAAAACATATTCATGCTGGTATTAGAAAAATACAAAATATTACCATTCCGAATTTTTAAATAACTAACAATAAGTATGAATGTGAACAAGATTAACAACTATATACAGCAATTGTAATGATCAACACGCGCAGTCGCACTAACTGAGCTAAGTGCCGTCTATAAAAAAAGGCTTTTAGAATGTTTTATCTATACAGCTAAAGCTGATGCTGAACTAGAAAGTCTACCAAGGAAATAAGCACACGATCTTGCGATTTGTACTACATACATGTCTAGGTAACTCACCTTTTATTCTCTCGATAGTTATGAAAAATGCCATTAAGTCTTTGACTAAAAGCGGACTTGATCGTTTTTAACAGTGTAATTTCAAATCACCTTTGCATGAACTTAACAGTTTGAAGCGGCATTTTCCGTAGCTACGCACAGCACGGCGCTTACTAGCTCAAAGTATGGCAGCCCTAAAGAGACAAGCGTCCTTCGCAATTTAGGTTTCAACACGCCTTCCTGCTGCGTTTTTACTTTACCCAAATCGCCCCGTTTCTGCTCTCTTCAACTAAGTAACGAATCTATTCACGCAGTTTTACAAATTAAACATTACGCTTTGCTTTACTGGCGAATTGGGAACTATATTATATGTTTGCATTAAAAATCTATTGGCAATTACCGTAGATTTATGTATAGCGATATATCTCTTAGACACTTGCCGTAATATATGTAATGTGAAACATATAATATATACATATACAATATATATGACTCCAAAGAGATGGAGGAAGAACCTGTTAAGAAAAGAGGTTGGGGGAGAAGCACTAGTAGTACTGTCAAAGACAAAGGGGGAGGAAGCCATGGCAGCTGTTCCCATGGTAACGGAACAGAAGGAACGGGGCATCTGATCAACCACTGAAATGCTAAAAGCATACATGTTTAATGCATTTAAGCACATTACCAAAAGCAAATTGCATCATGTTTGACAAATCAAGGATCATTGTGTTTCGTATATATTTATGATTGCTTTGTCTTTCTGAGATTAACTGTCTCATTTAGAAAATCTCTTTTCATTGTAACAGCTAAATAATTAATGACTTGAAATCAACATGAGATGCTACAAGGAGAAACTATTTTCAGTAAGGAGTAGTACTCAGTACCATCTACATCTTTCATTTCCCTACCATACAGACCACAGAGATGGTATATCCCAGCCCAGCCCAATCCAAACCAGAAATTGACTACGGTGTACTTCCATATTCATCATTTGGCGCGTTCCATTAGCCAGAAAAGGGAGGTTGTGCAGCAATTGAGGCACTGCAATACAATGTAACAGAACTGCAGTGCGCTGGAGTGTATGTGAGTACTGTAACATCAGCTCTGTCTATGAGGGTGGGGTCTGGCTGAACTGGAACCTCAGACACCGTGAGAAAAACACCAAAGGAGCAGGAGAGCAAAGGAGAGAGGAAGCACCAGGAGAGGAAGACGACAAGGGTAAGTGAGGGGGGGGGGAAGGAGGGAGACGACAAAAGGATTGCCTTTCATTATCTGTCTCGAGCCATCCTTCCATTTCTCTTTCTGCTTCCCTTCTGTTGTACTTGATCATTTTACTAATGCACAATTTCCCATTAAACCACAGAGTGCTCTCTTAATTTCCATTTCCAACTGTATTAATTTGTGTATCTATCAGCTCGTGTGTGATTTCAGACATAGGGTGAGAGGTGATTTAGGATGCTTGCTTACTGGAGGTGGGCAGTGCAGATTATTGATTCAATGTGGATGTTACTCGGATAAAAAGCCTATGATTTTACACCATGCTGTGCGTTTTTGTTGTCTGTAGCATTGATCTCAGTAATAAATCGTATGCATCTGAATGTCTATATGGTGACAGGCAAATATACCAAACCAAAAAATATGGTGTACACACTGGAGTGAACACATTCTTTTACATTCAAAGTTAGATTTACACATTTTGCAATTCTGAAAAGCCTGGCTGATTTTCTATGTGATGTTCTTGCGAACCAGCTGTCTTTGTCTGAATGGCACCATAAAATCGATAGACAGTATTACACAAAATGTATTTAATGTTAGCAAACAAAATAAAATCATGAATATTATTGTGGTACACAGTGTAGATCTCAAAGTACAACCATTCACAACAGTCATGTATTCTTTGTGCATTACACCCAATTTCTATTTTAGTATTTCACTGGAAAAAATGGTTTTCTGGGACAGAGGGCTTTTAGTATGAAGGAAAATGACACCAAAAGAATTGTCCTTGGAGGGACAAATTGAGAAATAATGATTGAAGAACATGTTGAGCACATTTTTCAGTGGGTCAGACTTCAACCATTCAAGCCATTTGTTGCATTTGGTGAAACATTGTGAAATTGAACATTAAGCTAGTTTAGAAGTTCATTCAAATAATTTGTAGCGGACTGAAGACAGCTCAATTTAAATATGTATGAAGCAAAAGTGATCAGTGGTGAGGTAGAAATCATTAACTCCTAATGCTATAATATTAATAATATAATAATAAAGATTAATTAGAGCAGTGTTTCCCAACCCAGTCCTCAGGGCCCCACAGATGGGTCACATTTTTGCTCCCTCCCAGCTCCCTGCCAGACAGCCCACATTTTTGCTCCCTAGCTGGGAGGAAGCAAAAAGATGCACTCTCTGCAGGGCACTGAGGACCGGGTTGGGAAACGCTGAATTAGAGCATTGCTTCCCTTGGTTGTTCAACTTATGCCAAGAAACCTGTCTGACACGACAGAAAAGGAAGATTTTAGCAACGTGACCCAATAAGAGAAGTAGTACTATTCAATAATGAGCAACTTCACAGGAGATGAATATACATTAATACCGCCTAGCCATACATCAAGACAAACTGGCAGAGAGTATGTCAAAATGGAAACGTCATTTCATTTGAATAATTTCGCATATGTAATATTCCAGGTCGATTTGTAGAGCTGTTGCTTGTGCATTTTTAAATTACACTACAGGGAATGTTAGAAATGTATCATAATGCTTAAATTATTAGTAAAATAATACAATGCTAGGTGTGAATGTGTATGAATGGTTTTTTGTGCGCTTTGCGATGGGTTGGCACCCCATCCTGGGTTATTCCCTGCCTTGCACCTGTAGTTTCCAGCATAGGCTCTGAGATCCCCTCAACCCTATATAACAAGCCCGTATAGATAACAGATGGATGGATGGATGGATGGATGGATGATAGTGTCTAAGGAGATGTAACTTGTATTCGCAAGTTTGTTGAAAGGGAGCTGATTGACTACATCTGAACTTAAAAATACAGTCCATAGAGGAGCATCATGCCCTTCGTGTTTGTATGTGTGTGGCAGGATGAAAGGAGACACCCCTGTGAATAGCACCATGAGTGTTGGTCAGGCCAGGAAGCTTGTGGAGCAGCTGAAGATTGAAGCCAGCATGTGTCGAATTAAGGTGAGTGTGGGGTGTCTCTGCCCACCGGCGCCGTATCTTACTTAGTATGCTATCACTTATAAGTCGCTATTCCTTCATCCTTCATCTGGGTCACACACTTTCCTTTCAGCCTCATTCCCAGCAGGCATTAAATAAATTAAGTGAAACACATGCAGCTCAAGCATCCATCCATTGATCTACCAACTGTGTATCAGTACAGAATCACATAACGGCTCAAGCCGTAATCCCATAAAGGGGATTTAATAGGCTCAAAAAAGTTGTCTTCACCAAAACCCTTTAATTTATTTAACTGTTTATTATAAATTCACAAACAGGGTTTCCTGTTGACATGCCACTAAACCCAAAATCTATCTATTGTTCCATAAGCATTTGCCCCGTTCAGGGTCATGGCAGGAGGCAGAAATCCTTCTGTAATAATTACAGGGCTAACATGTAACAGCCATAGCACAGCGTAGCACATGCACAATTACCTTATTCCTCTGGAGTCCCGAGTTCAGTTCTCTACACCAGCATTTGGAGTTTGCATGTTCATGTTCTCCCCATGTAATTGTGGCGGTTTCTCCTCACACAATGATGTGTGGGGGCGGGGGTAAAATTTTATAATTCAAAGGTCTATTTTTGCAGGTGAGGGACAAATGAAGCAAATTAAACATTGGGGACCACATGTCCCGCCTGGTTCCTATACCCCTGTACCCACAGTACAAAAACATGGATTATTCTTCTTGTCTGGGAGGGGCTCTGTGACCCTGTTCAGGACAAGCAGTATGGAAAATGAATATTAAGTCTTTTTTGGTAAAAAAAAAAAGTTATACTTAATAGTTGTTTCAGATATCCACTGAAGCACTGTAAGTAGGAAATTTGGTTTATGAGCTGAAGGTTCAGGACTCAGTGCCTCTGGCAACAATTTTACAAATCAGGTATTTCTCTGAATCTCAAGTCCTGCTTTATGATGGTTCAATTTATGATTCTTTGTTCCCACCTGCAGGTGTCAAAGGCTGCTGCGGACCTGATGGCCTACTGTGATGCCCATGCCTGCGAAGACCCCCTCATCACCCCTGTGCCCACATCCGAGAACCCCTTCAGGGAGAAGAAGTTCTTCTGTGCTCTGCTCTGAGAGACACGGGCAGATGACAGCACATATCTACACCATGGAAGAGCAGCCAGATGGAAACAGGGGGTCTGCCGGGATGACAGTGAACATATGTGTAATTATCTACAGCAGTGTTTCCCAATCCGGTTCTCGGGGACCCGCAGACGGTCCACGTTTTTGCTCCCTTCCAGCTGCCTAGGAGCTGAGAGGGAGCAAAAACGTGGACCGTCTGCGGGTCCCTGAGGACCGGGTTGGGGAATACTGATCTACAGTTTTGATATTTATACACTCAAAGGTCAAAATACTTTTGCCAAGTCTGATTTTAAAAATGATTTTGCCATTGTTTTTTAATCCTTGATTTTCATATATGTATTTATTTAAAATTGGTCAGTATTAATGCACACGGTGGAGAGCAAAGAAAAGAAAAAACAACCACTATAAACTCAAAGTATAATTTGCCACTTTTACAAGTGAAACTGTATTTTTGCATTGATAATGTTTTTGGATTAGTTTGAGATCAGTAAGTTTACTAGGCCTGAGAGATCGAACTTTGTTATTTGAATAAAATTGGAATTTTAAAAATATTTACATAATCAACAGCTAAAATCTACCTCCTGTACCAGCACAACATGACATTTTCAGTGATTGGTACTGGGACTGCCAGATTTATCTCTATCATGACGACAATATTTAATTGTTACAAATTTGGTCATAGTGTCTGATATAATGTGTATTACAACCCAAAACCATGCATTTACCCATTGATATTTATAGCTATCTTCCTGGAATACATTTTATACCAGTCTTTTAACTGTTAAATATACTATTCTTTAATTTACCACTTAAGCACAACACAGAATGAAAAATGGGGCAATACACATTTTATCATCTATCTTTAAGCTAATGTTGAAATTTTATCAATTTGCAATCTGTTTCCATGAAAAGCGGCAATTCACACTTTGAGACACAAATGTACACACGGTTAAACAGTGAGAAAGTGAATGAGGTGAATTGTCATAGCTGTGTGTGCTTGTGTATAAATTGTGGAAGAGATGGCCTGAAAAAGCGTGACAGTGTGTGTCTGTGTGCAAAATCTGAGGGGGTGGGTTGTATAAAAGATCTTAATAAAGGCCCCTGTCACCATTATCTTGTGGAGAACAATTGATGTTTGTGTCACTTTTGTAAATGTAGAAACAATAGATAACACACAAAATGTAGCTAAAGGATTGCCAAAAGCCTACATATTAAAGTATCAGTAAAAGCAAGAGATTACATTTATTTAGCATTTGAAACATGTAAAATGTAAAATTTGATAAATATATGTGAATCTATAGGTGTTTATACCACTTACCGTCAGCTACAAAAACAACCCAGCACATACCATCAACTTAAGACCAAAATTCTGGGTTAATTACCTAGCTTGGTTGTCTTCAATATATGTTTTGGAAACGGAGTTATTCCTTTCGAAGGCAAAGGCACTTGTAAATATGGTATCTCAGGTAACGTTTAATATCAGGCTTCCAAGCCTGTCTGAGCTGCCCGCAGCACTTACCTCACGTGCTTCTACACCATCAGCAATGGGGAGGTGTTTGCGTAGAGGAGTCACCAGTATTACCACGCTAGACCACTACTACACTTCAATTTGTAATTCCCCTCAATTTATTTTGAACGCCCAGACTCCCATCATCGTAAGACACGTTACTACCTGTAGTATTCAGCATAGAAAGAAATATGCAGAGCTTCCATTTGCTTGCCGAAACCCAGCTATTTGGTAGTTTACACAAACACTGACACATTATGACAATTATTCCCATGGTATTGTTGCCTGTTTCACAAACAGACATCCATAGACCATTACAATACTTATAATGGTAACCTGTTGTGCAACTCTTGAATTAACAAAGCAAGCATCAAGCAAGCAGAGTAATTACAAGTTACGCTGAATGGTGCGTACACTGGTCAAAAGCAAGTATCATACTTAGAAATTCAGAAAAAATACAAACCCTGGAAAACATAATTCTACATAAACAATCGTTACACCTACAACGTAACTCGTAGCACACAGAAAATTGATTCAAAACACTGAAACGTTGCTAAATATGAAAAGTTTACTCAAGTTTGCAGAACAGACAGACAGTTAAATGTACAATGTCAACATTCGCAGTGTCTAGGCCTGATAGGGTAAGTGATGCTAATCTGGACCTATATACAAAAAAGGTATATCATAAGATTCTATTTACTAAAGTAATCTTGTAATATATAAACACATACAGTTACAGCGTTCTGTAATACACTATAATAAAACTGTAACTTTAAAACTTCCTGTCTAGCGTATTTCTTTCGCAGTGAAATGGTTAATGGCAGGGATGAAATATTTTAACTTATATTCTACAATTATTTATATTTATTTTTTTCGTACCTGCGTACCAGACTTAAGCACCTAACCAGCAGAAGACATTGGACTCCGGTTTAAGGTGGGTAAAAATGACGCAAAATATAAATATATTGGTCTTAGCAATGGGGTTTTACTCAAAGTCCGCACAAACAACTTATGTTGCGGGAAGCGCCATCTTAATTCGCTTAAATCCCCGGGACAGATGGGAGGAAAACGTCATGCCCCTCCCAAGCCCAAAAGCGTGTCAAAACAAACGCGGCGCCGCAGCCGTCAGTCTGGGTAGGACGCAGTCCGAAGTGGCCAGATCGCTTAAATTAAAGATCAGAAACCCACCGCTGACTGATCTCTTGTTTCTTTTATTTCTGCCAAGATGGAATCGAAAAACCTGCGCGTATGCTACATCACATGCTTTATAATGCTAATTTTTAATGCTTTAGTTATGGCCCTTGATGGGTCTCCGGAGCACGGTGTTACCGGATCACCCGGTCAGCCGGTTCGTTTGCCGGATTCCGACCCCGGTTTGCAGAAGGCAGTAAGGTTTGCAGAGGGACGGTACAACATGGGATCCAACGGAATTTATCTGCGCAGAGTTATAAAGATCATCTCCGCCCGTAAACAGGTATTTTAGATTCAGATATTATAAGAAATAAACCAAGTAGGAATTTTGACAGTCACCCACATGTCTTCATAAATTAGTATTAAACTTACTAGACGTTATGCATTGTCGCTTATTTAACTGTGAAGAATTAAAAGGTAGTTAAATGTAAAGTGTTCGACAGGCAATGCATCGTACGTTGCGTATGCGCTGAACTGTGTGACGAGCATGTTAATTATCCCTGTTTGTCATCTTCAGAAGCACATAACGATACACCCTGCTCAATAAAAATAAAATACTTTTTAGTCGAGATGGTTCTTCATTAGATCAGATGTTGCAATTAAACGTTGCAGCTCTTCACATTTTGTGTAACATTGTGGATTTGATATTGAATCGTGAATGTTATAACAATATTTGCTAATAATATTTTAAATTCTATCGAAACATTTTATGTTTTATAAATAATACAAACTGCATAAGATTTCTAAAATCTGAATTGCACGTTGAATGTGGTTATTAAAAACTGATATTACCCCAACTGACAGCAGCAACGCAGCACGAGTTTAGTAACGATCGTACCTTGTCATTTGTAACGGAGCTTGAACGTAACGTCCGTGTAGGATTTGGATGGCTGGGAATGATGGTGTGTTTTTCTGCTACAGCTGGTGAAGGGGGTGAAATACAGCATTGTGGCCGAGCTGGGGAACACTCTGTGTAAGAAGTCGGAGGTTTTGGCTGACTCCGCCGTTTGTGACTTCCATGCTGAGCCCAACAAACTGAAGGTGAGACAAATGATCGGTCGTCATTGTGGAGACCCTTCTTACTTATGCCAGCACACATACCTACCCAGCTGCTGGTAAAGTCACTGGTGGTATGCTGATTTGGTGTGGGTCTTTCTCAATATAGGATGCCTCAATATAAATATATTATGTATAATGACATCTATTTTAAAATACTTTTTTTTTTTTTTTTTAAATTATGCCATTTTTGATGGGGTAGGCCTATAGAGGGTTTTCACATGCACCAGGTGCTGTTTGGTTATCTCATTGGTCAAATAACAAAAATTCTAAATAAACTATAAGTTTTTAAGTTCATATTTTGAGTGTGTCCTTTCAATTGCTATCCACCCTATCATATTGGGGTAACTGGCCCTTTAAGAAACTGACCTTTGACATCAATCACATCACAATTTTACATCCTCAATGGAGTGAGCACAACTCCTGCATCCCCAGTGCTCATTCCTATTTTTCCTGGCTTTCCTCATATTGTGTCTGTGGTTGGCTGTGGTTTAGCATAACACATCCATCCTGGCATTCCGCCATATCCTCATCCCCTCTACTGTGTTTCCTTTGCTGGGTGGACAAGCCTTTTATGGGGTCCCAAAGGCACCCTGTACTAATAATGCCCCATATATCATTTACAAGCAGAAGAGTGTAAGTGTCTCAGTCGGCCTGTCATCGGGTTTTTTTGTGTGTGTGTCTACCTCCAAGTCTGTACTTTTCCACTTGAGGAGATGGATGTTTGATGTCTTCAGAACTTGGGCAACGTACAGGAATGTTTCAAGAACATCTTAAGGCTGAGCTAGTTGTGTTTCTGCTTTTGTCTGGATGCTCATCAGATTAATCACAAGCTTTTCATCACATGGCTTAGACCATCTGACTCTCAGGCACATGATTTCAGGCCAACATGTAGAAACTCCTCATCCCAGACCGTATGCATCAGTGCCTGTTTCTATCAGTTCTGTTTTACAGTGCAGAAATCTACCTAAAGCCATAGGTTCCATGCATTAAAAAAAGCCGGGTGATTTAAATCGGCTCTCTTCACTCACCTGGTGTATCTTCAGGATTCTGGTCCATATTCTTTTGGTGATATAAAATTTTCTGCCCTAAATTTAAATGCTTTTCCCCATCATTAAAATATTGAACGATGATAATTCTCTGTTCATGTCTTCATGGTGCTGCCCATCCCAGACGGAGGTGTGTGCGTTCGAGATTTGGGACCTACCGTGGTTTAGCACGACCACTCTGCTCAAACAGAAATGCCAGCCAGACGGTGAGTGTGAGCCTGTCAGTACTGCTGGGTGGGAGGAGTTCCTCACCGCTTAAAGGGGACCTGCTATACGCTTCCGGTTTTTCCCTTTCTGTTAGCGTGTCTATGTGCATGTAAACGGTCTGCAAAGTCTTAAGGCCCAAAGTCCCCCGCTCTTCATTAATCTGCTGGAAATGCCTAGTTAGAATTATAGACCTATCTTCTGTGACATGGTGAGGTCACCTCGTAACACAATCCTTATTGGCTCCCTTCCTGCAAGGCTCTGTCTGCAGACTACAAGACAGGGGCAGAACGTGTAGGGCAAGCTGACCGGTTGGGCAAGCTGACCAGTCAGAGCACACTAAGCTCATCGGGGGTGGGGCTTAAAGCTCTAACAGCACATTTCAGTCAGTTATAGGCAGAGTGAATACAAATGTCCAGCATGAGAAAAATAATATGCTTTTGGAACATTGAAACACATAAGGGGTGGTACGGTGCTGCAGTGGTTAGCATTGTCACCTCACATCTCTGGGACACGGGTTCAGGTCTCTGCCAGGGTTCCATGTGTGTGGAGTTGGCATGTTTTCCCTGTGTCATCATGGGATGTCCTCTGTGTACTCCCGTGTCCCCCCCACAGCCCAGAAACATGTTGAGGTTAATTGGAGTTGCCAGATTCCCTATTGGTGAGAATGGTGCGTGAATGTGCCCTGTGATGGGTTGGTGCCCTGTGATGGGTTGGTGCCCTGTGATGGGTTGGTGCCCTGTGATGGGTTGTTCCCTGCCTTGTGCCCATAGGCTCCAGACCCCCTGCAACCCTGAATAGGATAAGCAGTGTTGGAAAATGGGTGGGTGGATGAATCATGTAAATCTGTTCTAGTATACCCCCAAAATAAAATCATGAACAGTGGAAATGAGGATAAGAGGGCTGCTTTAATTGACCTCCGATGTTATTGTAGTGGTTTGAGGCTGGGTGATTAATCTGAACTGATATGAGTACCATTCATGTCTTCTTTAGCTCCCGACACCGAGAACAGTCAGATTGATGCTGGGGCTCTCTCTCCCAGCGCCCATGACAAGGTAATAGAAAACCAGTATATCTGCCTGCTATTGTCACTTGATATACAGACTCGCCCCAGGTTACGATGGTCGTGTTACAATATTTTGACTTTACGATGCATAAATGTTTTTCACTTTCAGTACATTATTCAACATTTTCTTATAAAATAGCCATTGTGTTAATGATTTCACCCAACTGTAGGCTAATTAATGTAAGTGTTCTAAGCATGTTTAAGGTAGGCTAGGCTGGGAAGTTTGTTAGGTTAGGTGTAGTCTATTGGAATGCACTTTTGCCTCACAATATTTTCACCTTACAATAGCTTTACCAGAACGTGACCCTGTTGTAACCTGGGGAGAGGCTGTATTTCAAGCTTGTTTGTTGTAGATCTTGTCCATGTTTATTCACCTGATAGTGCTAGTAGTTCAACACCAGGATTGTGTGCTTGCATTCCTGTGCGTTTGTATGGATGTTTTCACATACATTCTCTATACTTCAGTTAATGACTCCATTTTGCAGTTTGCATTTGACTCCCGTTGACTGAGGTCCTGTGCAGGTTGCGCCTCACCTGCACATTCAGCTTAGGCTCCAAAATCACTGCAGTGTTCACATGATTAGCACCTGCTAAAGCTGAACTCACGGATGGATCTTCAGTGGATGGATCTTCAGTGGATGCTCAGCGACGTTGTGCTTTTGCTCTCCTTCATTTGCTTTTTTTTGTCGCAGAAATCTGTGGAGCTGTTATCCGAGTTTAAAGAGTTTGTAGCCAAATACAACCGCAGTTACAGCAGCCAGGAAGGTGAGAGGTGGTGCTGACGTTCATTTCATTATTGGCCATCAAATGTTTACCATTATGGATGATTTTTTATTTTTCAAGCTGTTGAATACTTAAAATATTTGACAGGAATTGCTGTGGTTTATGTGTGTCCAATATGTAAGTATTGAGTCACAGTATACAGGTGAACAAGACATTGTGTGTGAAGCTCAACACCAGTGGCCAGTTTAATGATCATTTATGTTGTATTAGCCACATATACTCAGAGTTTGTGTAAAAGGTTAGATGTTCAGCTATGGTGTATAAAACTTTGGCCCTGTTATGTCACACGGTGGCACAGTGAATGAATTCTTCTGTGTATGAATCATGCGGATCAGAGCCGCATACTGAAGGCTGAGTCAGCGAAAGGCTACAAGTCCTGTAACACTGGTTTTCTCACCTTGACAGAGGCTGACAAGCGGCTGCGCATTTTCCAGAAGAATATGAAGACTGCGCAGACCCTGCAGTCGTTGGACCAAGGGTCAGCAGAGTATGGGGTCACCAAATTCAGTGACCTCACAGGTGTGTATTCATGCAAATATGTCTGTTTTCATTCAAAGCTACTATTTTTCATGCTTGTTTGCAAGCGTGTTACTGATTTCATTAATCATGGAGTTTTCCCCCGATGATTTAAATGTGTCCTGTGGGTCTCTATTTCTGTGCATAGAGGATGAGTTTCGGTCACTGTACCTAAATCCTCTCCTGAGCCAGTGGAGTCTCCAGCGGCCCATGAAACCAGCACCGGCAGCCATCAGTGCGGCCCCACCCAGCTGGGACTGGAGAGAGCATGGGGCCATTAGCCCAGTCAAGAACCAGGTGACAGGAAGCAAACGAACATATGAACACAGCCATTAATATCTGCTGCCCCAGTTTCCCAACCCGTAGACAGTCTACCGGGAGCTGGAAAGGAGCATAAATGTGGACTGTCTGGCAGGAAATTAGGAGGGAGCAAAAATGTGGACTGTTTGGGGGTCCGCAAGGACCGGGTTGGGAAGCACTGATCTAACCTGGCGATTTAGATGACTGATTACTCCATTATCATGCTAGATAATATATACGTTATACATTTAATTATATTACACCAGGAATACCCCGTTTTTCCAAAGTTCGCTCTTCGCCACTTCACATTTATGAAAGACCGACATTAGTACCTGTTTTCGCAAACCGATCGATATCCAAAAAGGATTTTCACTTTTCCGAAAAAAGGCGAAAATCGCATTCACATAATGAAGTGGAAATTTTTTTATTTTTTTTTATTACATAATGGGGTATTTGTAATTTGTTATTACGTAATGGGGTATTCTTACATAATGAATTGTTACAGACTCACTGTATGTTTTGTGTACTCTTGTTTGTACTTACTGCTTTAACTGGTGTGTTAAATTGATACATCCTACCATTATCACAGTGTTGTTAATACAGACGCTCCTCTATTTACGATCGAGTTACGTTCTGAACCGCCGTTCGTAACTAGAAATATTCGTAAGTCGTTATTCAACATCATTTTAAGGGTACACGCAAGTACAAAAATCTAGGATGCTGGGAGTACGCACGCTATGCTGTTGTGCAGCAGGATTAGCAGCCAGACATTGTACTAGGCAGAATTGGTGCACAGAAAAAAAAATTGATGTTACGGACAGGAAACAGGAGCTCAACAAACACAATTTGGACTTGCAGTCCTCTTCGTTCATATGTCTGAAAATTTGTAAGTTGAAAGTTCGTAAGTAGAGGAGCGTCTGTATTGTATAATTTCATCCTCTTTCTTGCATAAGAAAACTCTGTGTCTGTGATTAGAAGGCACCAGTTCAAATCCCTGGGTCAGCAGAATGATTTTGCCGTTGAGCCCTTGACCAAGGCCCTTAATCCCCAGTTACTTTAGGGACTGTCTGACCCAGCTTTCTCAAAAATGTGTTGCTTTGGAGAGGAGCATCTGCTAAATAAATAAACTGTAAATGTGGTTTTGATCACCTGGTGTTGTGCATGACATTAATATTCTGTGTATGGTGTACCTTGGTCCAATGCTGTACTTATGGTTGTGTGACAGGGCTTATGTGGATCATGCTGGGCATTCTCAGTCACCGGGAACATCGAGGGTCAGTGGTTTCTAAAGAAAGGCAAATTGCTGTCTTTGTCTGAGCAAGGTGAGCATCTGAATGTCTGTTTCCACTGTCATGCTGTCCTTTTGATAGTGGACCCCCGAAATAATACGTTTCACTTTGTGTGTCTCTCCGGCAGAGCTGGTAGACTGTGACCGCCTCGATCAAGCGTGTGGGGGTGGCCTCCCCTCGAATGCTTATGAGGCCATCGAGAAGCTGGGTAGGAGGAAGTGAGGTGGCGGAGGACTGGAGAGGCGCAGACACAAAAAATCTGAAAGGTTGTCCAGCTGTTTTCTCCAACCCCCGTGTGTGCTACTGATTTCAGGAGGCCTGGAGACTGAAATCGACTACAGCTACATCGGACACAAGCAGAGCTGCGGGTTTTCCTCGGGGAAAGTGGCGGCCTACATAAACGGCTCTGTTGAGCTGCCCAGGGATGAAAACGGTGAGAAGCTTGGGAAGATAAGGCCAAGTGTGGGGAAAATGGAGATGTGAGGGAGAAAGGAGAAGATCAGGCAGCCGGAATGAGCGTGCATTTAATTGTCACATTCTGGCGGAAGTTGAAGTTGCCTTGTTTGTGCATGCAGAAATTGCAGCATGGCTGGCAGAAAATGGCCCAGTTTCCATCGCTCTCAATGCTTTTGCAATGCAGGTATGTCCTCTGGATCCGCCCTTGTAGGGAGCACAGCCTACAGCTTTTCTCTTCATCCCTGACATCGCTCATACTTATGTTTCCCTCGTCTTCTCTTTCACTGCTTCCCTGTCATCCCTCAGTTCTACCGCAGAGGAGTGTCTCGACCCATGAAGATCTTCTGTAACCCCTGGATGATTGACCACGCGGTGCTGCTTGTGGGATACGGAGAACGTGAGCCTTACACACAAAGACACACGCGCACACTTTAGTGTACAAATATGCAATGACCTTCAACCTCCCTGACATTGCTTTCCCCTCCTGTATGCAGGTAAGGGAATTCCATTCTGGGCCATTAAAAACAGCTGGGGTGAAGACTATGGAGAGCAGGTGGGAAATGCTATTCTGTCAAATGTCCACACACACATGGTTATGCATGTATAGCCATCTGGTCTGAGGTTGAGGCTGATCGTGAGCAAGTACTGGATAAAGAGTTGGACGTTGGGTGGACAGATAACCGTAGTAATCCGTATTTCTGTGAGAATTCTGTCCAAATGATGTAGCTCCCTTGATTGCCACCTCATCGTCAGACTTTCAGCAAGGTTGTTTGCTAAAACTATTGCTTCCTAGAGTCATCTTGTCACATGCAGATGTGTCAAGAGCTCATAACAAACCAGCTGAGTCTGTACTTAAGAAACTAAATGAGGAAATTCTGTTGCCCTGAATAATTTCCTGAAAAAGTTACCCAGATAGCAGTAGTGTACAGTCATAAGACTTTTGCTAGTCATAATAAAATATTTCAGATGGTAGTCTGCATCTGAAAACCGATGTAATGGCTATATTAGTAGAATCATTAAAACTATTCTGCATTAGCTCATTTTTAGACTCAACACATTTCATTATTATTTTTTATAGTAGTATATTTTTAGGGCTGCTCGATTATGGCAAAAATCATAATCATGATTATTTAACACAATTAGTCATTGTGGCGGCATGGGGGGTGCAGTGCGAATCGCCTCACATCTCTAGGACCTGGGTTCAAGTCTCCACCAGGGTTCCATGTGTCTGGAATTTGCATGTTCTCCCCATGTTGTTGTAGGGTTTCCCTACACAGTCCAAAAACACGCTGAGGCTGATTGGAGTTACCAGATTGCATAGTCAGGTGAATGAGTGAATTGGTTTGTGAGTGTGCCCAGTGATGGGTTGGTGCCTCAACCTGGGTTGTTCCCTGCCTGAATAGGATAACTAGTTTCAGAAAATGGATGGATGGATGACTCATTCACTTTGGAAAAATCTAGTATTTTTTATTGTCTTTTTAATAGTGGATTTCCTTGAACTCTAAATATAATTCAACTGAGAAACAAATAAAAAAGGGGTGTGCTTGGTTTATGACAAGAGAAAACAGGGGCGTTACAAAATGATACGTGGCACAAGAATAATTCTGTCTGGATTAGTAATAATTGTTTGGAAGCCAAAATCTCTCAAATTCATTTAATTGTCCAGCCCTATGTAGTATTGTTGGCTTATTAATGTGTTCGACTGGTAACACTCGTCTGTGTTTTGCAGGGTTATTACTACCTCTACAGGGGCTCCAGGCTGTGTGGGATAAACAGAATGTGTTCCTCGGCTGTGGTGAACTGAATGTTCATCCATGACAGTGCAGAGTCTACTGAGTAGCATTGGAAAGAATATTCCCACCCCACACCGTAACACACAAAATGGGGACAGAATAGCTGTTAAATGAAATGCACCAAAATTAAAGTGGTCAGAGGAAACATTAAAAAATAAAATGGCGAAAATATTATTTCATTTTGCTATAAAATTCCTTGACTGTTTTGTAGTTTGTTTTAAATAGACTTTTATCAGGATATTATAGCACAGTTGAAAGGTCACATTACATAGCATATTTTGATTTTAGTGTTTGCTGTAACAAATTAGATTTAACCTTTGTCACATTTAATCTTAAGGTGTGGAGGTTTTTACAGATGGGTGCAATGTAACATCAGCAGCCATATGCTAGAATTACTTTCCGAGATAATCACATGCTTTTCCATTAATGTATTGATTCTCATTGATTCCTCTCTGTAATGGCTGGACCAGTGATATAGCGTAGCTCATTCTGGATTTCAGTAAAAATGCCATTTGATGGAACTGTTTAATTATTTTGGATATTCGTGTGATATGCATTAAGGGTGTATCAGTCATTTTGGCGGGAAAAACATGGAATAAAAAAACCCCCTGCATTTTCCTCCATTACTGTGTTGCTATTGGGTTTTCTTTAGTTAAATGGCCTGACAACTATAAATCAAAAACTAAACTACATAATTTGTGTAGTAGCCAGAGGTGGAGAGTTCAGGTCCAGCAAGTACAAATCCAGACCAAGGTTTTGTTTTAACCAATCAGTTGAGCATAGTCACAGACTTCTCAAACTAGTTGGTTGCAACAAAACCATGGTCTGGATTTGTACTTTCTGAACCTGAACGCTCCACCTCTGTTAGTTGCTCTCCTAAAAATATTCAGTATCTGAGAGAGTGATACCCTGGGGTCACTTAACTGACTTCAGATTCCAAGTTGAATTATAGGACTGGCCCTTAAATACAAATCAGCCAACAGATAATGCATGCAAGAAAAGTTCATATTACAGTTCTGTTTATTTAAAAACAACTGAAACATAAAAAAAAACCATTGGGTTGGGTTTTAAATAAAACTTGAGTATTTGTAAAGGATTTTTAACCCCATTTTCACAGTCACAAAAGAAAGCTTACCCAGTGTCAGTTACTATCTTCTAGCTGTTTTAATCATAACACGATAGCAGCAAACTCCCCCTAAAATCATCATACAAGTCAAAGGTTATATTTCACTTTATTTAGTAGGTTCTGTGGGCCTGGGCTTTTTCCAATACCTCTAAGAGCTCAGCATGACTTTGGAGTTCTCATATCACAAAACAGGACTGCCTTGCAATTCTTTATTTAAAATACAACACTTACATCAGGGTGAGAAAATCCAAGAAATGACCAATTAAAGAGTTACCAAATATTTCATAAAACTGTACCCCAAAGTGAACATGTTTTAGGATATTAAATGTTAAATTCAAAATAAAAAGAACGATTTTTCATGTTGTAGTTAAAATATTCCATCTTCGGGTTCAATAGTACTAATTCCATCATATCCATCTGTATCAGTCATTCCTCCAAAAACCAAAACCCAACATACACATTGTAAGAGGTACTGTGTGCGAGGAACAGTCTATACACAGTGTAGGAGAACGTGGATGATATACAGATTTGTGGTGGCAACTCGAGCACTGGAGACGACGTGGATGAGACTGTGAGAAAAGGCACAGTGCCAGAGGGTGGGATTACAGGAAGGAGTCACACCATTCACGTAGACAGCTGTAGCAGTCGCCCTGCTGCTTGGCGTTAGCGCCACAGGTGTCCTTCAGCCAGTCACGAAACAGTTCCTCATCTTTTTTTAGCACCAAGAACTGGCCCAGGACAACATATGCCTATGGGAAGAAATATCAGTAGGGGAGGCTATGGAGGAGACCCAACATTCAATAAGACACATCAGTACTATGCGAAACAGAAGAAAGCATGCTGGCATACATGAAGTAGTGCATGCCGTAAACACACCTTATCGAAGCCTTTCTCCTCCAGTCGTTTCCCCAAAACCTCCCCGATTCCTGCCAGCGCCATCACAGACTTCTCGCCCATGGGCTCGGCTACGAATTCCTTGTGTTTTTGGGATGTCGATGACATTCTGGCTGTCTGCTGTGCCCTGTGTCAGCTACACAAAGCGGGTGGACACAGAATCAGTTGTTCTTATTTAGGACACAAGGTGAAAGCCAGTGTAATGTATATTAGAAAGCACTATGCAGTCTTAAAACCCTTTTTAGAGAAGCAAAATGAACCACAAAAAATAAACAATATTACATGACTGTTCCCTCTGTGAAATTAGTACACAAATACAATCTTGTATTATCATCAACCATTGAAATAATGTGCTCTGCACACCCGACTTCATGGAAAATAGGTTGGATATAGGGGGAACTAAATGGAATTAATCTTCTACTCATATAACCTCCCCTTGTAATCAATAAAGTATTATCTAAAAACACAAAACACACTTAATTTGGTCAATAAGTTCATATGCTCTGACGGTTTGTATTTTTTACGGTCATATTACTTAATGTGAATTTTGCAAATATCATTAATGAATTCTTAATCTGCCCCATCTAAGAACGAACTTGAGCTCAAAACAAACAGGACGGTCCCACATACCGCACCCATTTTCATCTCTGCTTTCAGTTCCGAGTCAAAATACCGCGTTAATTATAGTTCATTACAGTAAACAGCCCGCCACCATGTCCATTGGCGATAGCTATGTGGGACATCAAGAAATAAACAACGGACGTTTCCCAGTCGATTATTTAAAAAAATCATGAGCCACAACCCCTATTCGGTAATGTGCCCACAAATGCTTGGCAATTAGATCAGCTATTAATATGTTACATAAACAGAGCGGATTATATCGTAGGCGTTATATCAAAGGCAATACGCCACCTTTAGAGGAAGAGATTGCAGCTACATTATATTGGCGAGCAGGCAGCAGGAAATCTCACAACTTTGCTGATCAGCTGTTTCATCGCATGAATTAAATAATGATATCGGATGTGTCCTCAAATGACATCAGTTTTATTGTGGTAGCAACTGAAAACTACATCTTTTTAGCTAGCATATACATACAACCTAATACCTTCTCACGAAGCAAAAACGAAAGCAATACCTAACTAGCCAATTTAACTAATTTCGCCAAAATAAAGTTATAATAACTAGAGATTATATATTTGTCATTGTGAGACCATTTTCTAACACCAAATATTCTACCATCCACTTAGTTAATTCAAATTTAATGTACCATGAACAGTTAACACGATAGTGACCCAACATCAGTAACGTACAATTTATTAGTAAGAAAATCAATGAAAACATAAAACAATGTTAAATAATATGAAATAAATTGAAGAGCTACCTGTCTTTCTTTCTTTTTTTTTCTTTCAATTAATCGTGGACAGGCGTCCGTATATCGTCTGCAATTGCGCTCAGGAAAATTCTAATACTGTTTCCGGATCCCGCCGCCAATTTTTAAGCGCTTCCGTCATAGAAATTGTACAGGAACTGGAAGGGAAACGCTAGTCACTGGTAACTGCACTCAGTCTGAACTATTCTCATCAGCGAGTGCGTAACGTCATCTGCGTACGCGCAATTTCCCATTCAGTTCCAGAAAACCACGCCCCTTGTTTTTGATCTTATTGTAAATGAACCTGCGGCCTGTACTACGAAGCCGGGTTACTGGCTTATCGGGGTAACTTGTCGGATTTAAGGTACCACAATTTAAATGGCCTTCACATTCGTTCACTTACATTTTGCACAACGTTAATCAATTCAATCGAACCCTAGATCGCGGCTGGAGAGGGTTTGCGACAAGGGGGCGTGGTTTACTGTAACTGCGTTGGAAATTGCGTACATACTTATCTACTAAAGCATAAGTAGCACCATGCAAGTATTGTGTATTCCTCACTTAATTTACCAAATTTATCCTGAAGTATTTTCCCATGTTGTTTTCGGCAATAAATATTTTCTTACCTGAAATGATCAATTCGGTTTTTTGTTAGGTTCAGATAAATTTATTGGCGTAACTACAACACGGTGCTTGCTTTTCTAGTTCCATTATGGTTTTCTCGGGCTTCCCTCCATTTAAAGGGTCTTTCCGTTAGCGCCCTACTTGCGAATTTAAATGTAGTTCCAGTGAAACAAGAATGTTAGCACATTGTCGAAAAACAAACATACACGACTGCATATAATATCTAACATTGAAATGCCACTATATATTTGTATATTTCTTGTACTTTTATTACATCTAATTTAAAATGGTTAGTGCACTCAAGATTTAGGAAATTATAACACTAAAGTTTAAATTAGGTTTTATATAAATTAGGTATTTGTATATTGCACTTGAGTCCTAATGAATTTGCTTAATTCTAACAGGAACGTTTACAATATATGTGGGAAAAACTAAAACTAATACAGAATAAAATGCTATTGATATACATAATTTTAACATATGGGACATATATAAACGACGTACCGGAAGTCATTGCACATATTGGCACGTGTGCTTTTTTGTACCGAGAAGGTATCCGTTTTTCTTGAATAACATTTATGAACATCTTCTCGGAGTACACCTTAGTTGCGAATTTCACTGGAAATACAGCTTTTATTAACCTTAGTTCTACTTTCAAGGTAACCTAAAATATTTCTGTCTAATATATTCAAAGTTGGATTACGAGTCACCGTGCACTACCTTTACTGATCATTGTTGACGTTGGATAGCTAGGTAGTATTTGTTGGCTGTTCTATCGTCGTTTATATCTCAGCGGATCGCTGCAATGCTCCTAATAAACCTTTAACTTAATCTAACACTTCACAGAATTTTGAGGTGATGTCAGTGCTAAATTACAATAGCTAGCTTGTTATTTTGTGGCTGAACAGTACTCAATCAACTGTGTGAATATTATCTCCTATTCACTTGAGATAGTTGTTAACTATCCATTCTTTGTGTAAATGTAACTAAATATGTTTGGATGCGTATGTACATTGAAAATAGCATCTTACATTAACTGACCGTTTTGATCAGCATTTATTTTTACATGTACTTTTCTTTACGTGTGCAGTTATTGTTTAATCGTGTTTTCTCCACAGCTGGGGCAAATATACATAGAAGAATCTCTACGCATTTTGCAGCCGCCTACGTGAAGTTCCATTGAATGCTGTTGTGATGTCACAAGCCACCAAACGCAAGCACGTGGTGAAAGAAGTGCTAGGCGACTTTATTACGCCTACAGAGAACCAACAGATTGTTCGAGTGCGTTTTCATCGTCATTTTTATGAATCTAATAAACATATTTGAATATTGGAGTGGGGTGGGAGCTGTAATTTTGTGTGTGTTTAAAACCATACGCTGCCTATTGGTTATGAAGATGTTTGTCTTTATCGTGTATAGTAAAATTTCATTTTTTTGTCTGATGTATCGTGTGCATGTTTTTTTTTAATTCGTAGTTTTCTGGTGATCAGTTATAAATTTGGATGGGGTGGTGCATTTCACATTATTCATTTGTGTATAATTCTTTTACCTGTCTCATGTCACAGGTTGTTGGTAGCCCAGGAAATAACCTCCATGAGGCAATTACAGCTCATGGTGAGCGCTATCTGGTCAGCATGCCCACCAAGTTCCGCAAGAACATCTGGATAAAGAGAGGTTTGTGACAGAGCAGATGCAAGGTCCAACATTTTGAATAGTGCAATTCATTTTAATTAAAAAAGGGTTAACTGCAAGGCTTCATTATAAACCGGAGAAGTTCTTGCCATTTAAACGTTTTATGCTTTATGCATTTAGTTTGGCTCAAATTTTTTATTCAGTATTCATTTAATATCATGTGGCATTCAGTAAATCACTTCTGTATTGTTCTGATATATACTCAGGTATTTACGAGGGCGTTCAATAATTTATCTACTTGAGCATGAAAGAAAGTAGCAAGCAGCAATCATTAGCCAATTTGACATTCAGTAAGGATTTCTGTCAATTCTAATTTCTGACAGTTGTTCAGGAAACATTGGTGATATATTATTCTTTCATCCAGGAGATTTTGTGATTGTGGATCCTATTGAGGAAGGGGAAAAGGTGAAGGGGGAGATCAGTGCTATACTCTATAAGGATCACGTTCGGCACCTACAGGCAGTGGGCGTTTGGTGAGAAGAGTTCTTTGGATTTATTTTTTCATGCTTCTGTGTGCTTGCTGGCTACCTCACAACTTCTCCTGATTGTTTCATGTTGTTTTATAATTACTTTCATTCAGTTGATTTTACCATTTTATTTGGGATAATAGAATAGAATCATTTAGATAGTAGTATCTTTTAATTACTAATATGATAACCAGCATTTCTTACTTTGTTATATAATGTAAAAGCCTTAATAGGAAGTAAAATACTCCTTGTGAAATTCCATGGGTATATTACACATGTTCTATTTTATTGGAATTAGGATTAGCTGCCTTTATGACTGAACAACTGTAATGTAATAGTTGAATTATAATAAGAATTATATGCAATGCATATATTTTCTAAAAATCAATTGAACTATGGCAAGTCAAGATAACATTAAAGATTTGCTTAAATTAAATAGGTCATCCAGTTTAACTTAATGGAAATTGTTCAAATTCCCTGCACTTATGGTTTTTTTGTATTTTCTCAGGCCAAAGGGCTTCTCACAGGATTCTGCTGTGGAAGAGAGGAGGGAGGAGCAACAGCAGAGAGATGGCAAAGCTGACCAAGAGGAAGAAGAAGGTGGAGAGACTAGCAGCTCTGAAGATGACACTGATCTTTTTGTTAACACAAATCGCGTGAACTACCAATATAGCGAGAGTGAGGAAGAAACTGATGAGGAAGAAGAGGAGGAAGAAAATGAGACTGATGAAAAAGAGGATGAAGAAAGTAGCTTGGACAAAACAATCTGAGATTTCTCCTTATTTAATGAATTGATAGAATGTAACATCTGCAAAGATAAGGATCCAAAGTGGCATTCTAAATATATACACCATTATCTAATGTCTGTGACATGCAAGAAATACAGTGAACAGAAAGAATATCACTCCAATCACAATTCACTTGGACCACGATGGCTATTGAGTGTGTTCATGTAAAAGTGCTGGGGTTTAATTTGTTAAATGTCTGCCATTTCAAAAATAATTGATGTACAATAATTGGTGTGAGACATTTGCTCTATTATTCTTTATGACAGTATATTTTCTGAATAATAAAGTATAATTTGTTAAAAATGTATCCCTTTGTGTACAGTAATAAGTGTACTAAATATTTAAGTAAACGCTCGTGTTTGTGACTAGGAGCATAACAGGAGTCAAGCATTCACAGTAATGCTAATTATTGTTAGCCAAAAATGGGTCTATGATAACCTTGTAGTTTAGCTGTTACAATACAATTTGCTTTTGAGATCTGTACCAAACCTTTTTAATTCATAAGAAGCCTTAAAATTATATTGACAAAGTACACATTACCATGCAAAGTCAAATGCAGACATTTGGAACATTACCATCCACAGCATATAATCTGTATCCAAACAATGCTCATACACATTTTAAAATGCAGTGATTTGCAGTCTTTGGTTTCACACTGGGTGACTTGCATCTTAGAAGTGATGGACAAAATGAAGTCAACCATTTGCTGTATTTTTTGACCCCACTAGATGGCGCTCTTGGTTTGCTATTGGACATGCTTTGTGCCCTTTTTTGAACAGAGCACCATCTAGTGGAGTCAAAAAATACCGCAAATAGTTCATGAAGCTTCATTTTGTCCATCACTGCGTCTTAGGTATCATCATGACCTTCACACCTGCTGGTGAGGCTCACAGTAGCAGTGTGTTAAGCAGGTCAGTAAGGACCTTTTTCCAAGTCCACAAACTACCTTGTTCTGTTTGTCTTACAATGTCCCTCTGTACCCTTTCATAGAGGGTAAGCCCAGGAACTGTTCAGAGAAATCATAGTTTGGCTGCTTATACTGTTGATCTTAACATAGGAACATGGGTTGACAAGTAAAACACAAGCTTTAATTTAGCCCCTGCTTCACCACCATGGGCCTACTCAGTGCCCACAAAACTGGATCGATCAATGGATCAATCTCACATTCCATCATACCACCACTCATGAACAAGATCCTGAATTTTTGTAATTCCTTCACTAAGGGCAAGCTCTCCCCCACACCTGTAAAGATGCGCTCCTTTCTGAGGAAGCACCGTGGCCTCAGATTTGGAGGCTCTGATTTTATCCCCATGGCTTCACACTTAGCATCAAATCACTCAAGTGCTTCCTGTAGGTCCTGGTGCTGTAGAGCACATAACCTGCAGATAACAGATATGTCACTTCCCCCCATGCCATGCGCCCTTTCAGCCACAGCTGAACCTTGAAAATCACAAACAGGGGTGAAGACAAGATTTACCCCTGCCAGAGCTGAATACTCACTCCAAACAACTTTGATTTTGTGACAAGTATACAGACACAATTATAGCTAGACTTATGAAGGACCCAAATAGCATGCAATAAAATTTAACGATTCCAGAGGGAAATTCTTGTGCATACAGCAGCAAGGTACATACATACTGTATGTATGGATATGCAAAACCGAAAAAGTGCAAACAAATGTTAAAAGGACACAGTAGGCAAATAGAATATCCTGAAAAAAAACGACATTAATATAAATATAATAATTATGGAAGCCCTGTAGAAACGGGCTTCCATAAATAATAATAATAAATTAGTGCATTTTATGTTAAAAAAATGCAGCTGACTTTTACTGTGGCAGAGAAGGACTGTAATAGTGGTCAGACTTTTATTATGGCAAAGAGGGACTGTAATAGTGGTCAGACTTTTATTATGGCAAAGAGGGGCTGTAATAGTGGTCAGACTTTTATTATGGCAAAGAGGGGCTGTTATACTGGTCTCTTAGAACCCTGCAGCTCCTGTAGCTCTTCCCAGTAGATGTGGTGGGGCATGAGGTCATATGCCTTCTCCAAGTCCAGCCACGGGGTGGCGTCTCCTCTCCAGTACCCCAGTACTGTACAGCCTTTGTCATGAAGAATGAGGAGTATGATTACCCATAAGGAAAAATGAAGAGATTCCAGGTTACTGAATCGTGGAGACTATGGGTGAGTGATGATTATGAAGGGGGAGGGGAGTGGTATGTGGCTCAGCAAGTTAAGCCACTGTGTCTGTGATTGAAAGGTTCAGATTCCATCCATGGCAGAATAGTCACATGTCTGCTGTGCTCCAGAACCCCTGAAATGCTCCAAGGACACGAAGCAAAACAACTGACCCAGTGCTCAGACCCCAAGCTTTGCTCTCATCTGTCTTAATGTTTCTAAGGAGAGTAAGATGGGATATATGGAAAAATTCCTATGTACAGACGCTCCTCTACTTACAAACTTTCAACTTACGAACTTTCAGACATACAAACGAAGAGGGCTGCAAGTCCAAATTGTGTTCCTTAGGCTCCCGTTGCTGTCCCGGATGCTGTGTCGCCAAAGGTGGGGCCCATTGCTAAGGTTGTCTCCACCAACCCACTTCACACTGATCCTGGCCCAGTTACATGTGTGGCCTGGCCACAAGGTCCATGCTGGAAGACCACCCCTGAGGCCGGTGTCAGGGCTTGGTCCTGCTAAGCTTATTTCAAGCAGGATATTCTGGCTTTTCCTGGTGTCTATTATAGGGGTCTTTGTTGGATTGTATTTAGCCTATAAACCTGTTTAACAAGGAAATTACCAACAGGATCTGAAGCTTCTGGTAACATGCAGTGAATATAAACATTCTACACACCTTTATTCAAAGTGCAGGCTTGTCTAATGCAAATCAATTAAAATGATGTCAGGCATTTTTCCATCTTGTCCTTGCAACTTACAATGAGAAAACCAGGTCTATTGTGGTGCAACCGGTTGGCACTTGGCCCACTGATGCTACAATATTTGATATTTGGAGATAGTCATTATCCTATCTATCTTGCCTGGAGTCCCAGCTGAACAGAAGCAGCTCCAAAGCACAGCCATGCCTTACAGTAAGCAGATATCCCACCTGTCCCTGCCCCTAACCCTAACCCGAACCCACTAACTATATACAATATCCCACACATTTGTTTCTTAGAGAAGATGCGCAAGAACAAAGACTCTACAGCTTATCTAGAATCTCTGGAGAAGAAGAGCGGATGCTATTAATATGTGGGGGATTCCTGGAACTTCCAGAAGAGGTGAGATGTCTGAGCAAAGGTGTTTCCACATGTGGTCCTTTTTAAACGAGCCAAACTCAATCACCTTAAAATGAAGCAAAAACTGGATCAACAGAAAAGGGACTCAGTTCTTTTTGCGGTAACACTTCACTTGACAGGGCACAAATATAGTATTATGCTATTACCTATGCATTAATTAACCACAAACTAAGTCTTACAGTAGTTACATACTGATCTCATGTTAATTCATCATTAATGAATCGTGATGCATGTTTTATCTCAAGGAGTTACTATGCTTGTTATATCTGTTAATTCTGTAAATCTTTGTGAACTTCTGAAGGAACTACTGAAGGAAGAAGTAATGAATAACACAAGTGAAACGCTGGTCTCATCTTTGTTCATCATGAATGAATCATGACGCAAGTACTTACTATATTTGTTCATGTATATTTGTTCACCTCCTCACTGGTAAGCGTAGGCGCAACCATATATCTCCAATATTAGCCTCGCTTCACTGGCTACCTGAGAGGTTTAGAATTGAGTTTAAAATGTTGTTGTTTGTTTTAAAGCTCTAAACAGGCTGGCACCCCAATATTTCACTGAAGTGTTACACTTTTATACTCCGGCCAAAGCACTTAGGTCATCTTACCAGCTTCTGCTCAAAGTCCCCAAGACCAGGCTGAAGACCAGAGGCAAACCGAGCCTTTGGGGTGGCAGCCCCTAGACTTTGGAACAGCCTACCCTGGCATGTTAGATCTGCCCTGACTCTGGAAATTTTTAAATCGTCCCTGAAGACGTATCTTTTCTCAATGGCTTCTAATTTAGGCTGAGCTGGCAGACTTCTCTGTGTCTGTTGTTCTTTGTTTTATGTTTCGTATTTTATGTCTTTCATTGTTTTTCTTTTATTGATGTAAATCTGTACAGCACTTTGGTCAACCTTGGTTGTTTAAAAGTGCTCTATAAATAAATTTTGATTTGATTTGATGATTTGTACATCAGTAGTAACTGAGTTACTACTACGTACTTGTGTACCCTCAAGTAAGGAGTTACCCTTTTTGCACTCACAGTGTGAGCTCATTTGAAAGAGGACTCTGTTCCCTCTCTGGTCCATTTCATTTCTGATGGGGCCTCAGTCCTCTTTCTGTTCACACAGTCATTACCTACCATTCAACCTATTTGTTGTTGTTTTTTGAGCTTCCTAGTGCAACAGCATGTGACCTATCTCCAGCATCTCCAGCAAGTCTAGGGGGCAAAAAAAAAAACAATAGCGACAGGCAATGCCAATCTGCAGGGCTTTGTGTTCACAAATGGCCAGGATAAGCAAACCGCAAGATGGACTTGAAGAGTTCTGGACTGAAACCACTTCCGAAGGTGGTCGCATTTCAGAGTGGTTGGAAAGTTCACATATGCACAAAAATGATGACTACTCGCTCTGGGGGCTGAACGGGACCAAGTGTGAAAACACCCTAAGTATCGTTTTCTTTGACGATGAGCTGTGCTGTCTGTGATACTGAGCTTTATTTGTGCTACTAATTATCTATTTGTTCTTTTTTAATTGTGTTATTTGCACAATCACTTTTAAGTTTGACCCACTTAATTTTGACTTCTGTGAGTTGCTGAATCATGAAAACCACTCTGCTACACCAAGGTCACGGTCCTTTGAGGCATTTCTGACATGCTTCACTGTCAGTGTGAGCTACTCACTGACGTGTGAATGCTAGGAAAAGCTGGAACTGATAGCTGATATGAGTGAAGCTGATATGAGACGATCTGCATTCATTTACATGCTGTACCTTTTTATGCAATTATGCAAATGTCAGTAAGCATAAATGAGAAAACTGGAGGATTTGTAATACATGTTAGCTGGCAAACAAATGCATCTTTTTTATTATTCAAATGTGCCTTTATTGAAATATTTAAGGCAGGGGTGGGCAATCTTATCCAGAAAGGGCCGCTGTGTATGTGGGTTTTTGCTGCAACTCCCTAATTATATTACTAATTAGAGGACTGATTGGCTGAAGGGTTCTCACATCTGGGGTTGAACAGCTGACCTAAAGGTTATCTCAAAAACCTGCGCACACACCAAGCTTCTTTCACCAAGCTTGCCATTATTTATCTTAATTATATTATATACACTGGTGCTTAAAAGTTTGTGAAGCCTATAGAATTGTCTACATTTATGACCTGTAACATCATCAGATTTTCACACAAGTCCTCAAAGTAGATAAAGAGAACCCAGTTAAATAAATGAGACAAAAATATTTCACTTGGTCATTTATTTATTGAGTGGTTCCCTCACACCTCTTGGACCAGGGTCCACCATGGCTCCATGTGTGTGGAGTTTGTGTGTGCTCCCTGTGTCGTCATGGGTACTCCTAGTGGGTTTACCACTGAGCGTCATTCGTCCCCTCCAACTGATTCAGAATGCAGCTGCTCGGCTTGTTTTCAACCTTCCCAAGTTCACCCACACCACTCCTTTGCTACGCTCACTACACTGGCTTCCTGTGGCTGCCCGCATCAGATTCAAAACACTGATGCTCGCATACAAAGCCAAAAATGATCTGGCTCCATCCTACCTAAAAGACCTCNTCGCATACAAAGCCAAAAATGATCTGGCTCCATCCTACCTAAAAGACCTCATCATACCCCGCACTGCACCACGATCTCTCCGATCCTCCAGCACTGCCCGACTGGTCCCACCACCCCTCAAGGCACAAGGAAGACACACCTCTCGGCTCTTCTCTGTTCTGGCACCAAGTTGGTGGAATGAACTCCCCCTAGATGTCCGAACAGAGTCACTGAATGTCTTCAAAAGACGACTTAAAACACACCTTTTCCAGAAATACCTGAATTAGCACTTCTGCATTATACTCTGTTTTTTTCCTTTTATTAAAAAAAAAAAAAACGCACTTTCCCAACAGAGTATTAGATCGATTCATAGCCTTGGTTTTATTGAGCTAGTATCGGGAAAAATTCATTGTAGAGTCTTAAAGCACTTATGTAAATCGCTCTGGCTAAGGGCGTCTGCCAAATGCTGTAAATGTAAATGTACTCCGGTTTCCCCCCACAGTCCAAAATCATGCTGAAGGTAATTGGAGTTACCAAATTGTTTGTTTGTGTGTGTGTGTGTGTCAGTATGTATGTGTGTTTTAGTGTGTGTTGTGTGTGTGTATGTCTGTGAGTGTGTGTGTCTGTGAGTGTGTGTGTCTGTGAGTGTGCCCTGCGATGGGTTGGGGCCCCATCCTGGGTCGTTCCCTGCCTTGTGCCCATAGCCTCTGGCATAGGCTTCAGACCCCCTGTGATCCTGAACAGGATAAGCAGTAATGGAAGATGGATGTAATGGGTTTATTTGGTTTTCCCCTTAGCTGGAAAAAAATCTGAAAGCATAAAGGTGGAGCTGCATCCTAATAGAAAAATATAATACATTACAGTCTCGATTATCCAACCTTCGCTTACCCAACATTCCGTATTATCCAACGTCCCACCGGAAAAAAAAAAACAAACAAAAAAAATTGGCAACAAGAACTGCAAGTTGCGAGCATGAGTGTGGTCTATTTTTTGTTGCTCCCGACTCTACCGCAGCTAATTAGTTACCCCAACTGTACAGTACATACTGTATTTAACTTAACTTAACGTAACTGTAAGTTCATTTTTTCAGTTCATTTTTTCTGTTGTTTTGTTGTAAAACATGGTTATTAGGTTTGTAATGTGTAAAATTATAACTAATAATTATAATTATAACCTAAAATTATAATTATAGTTTGACATTTAATAGGCTTTGTCTTAAACCCCCCATTATCCGACATTTTCGCTTATCCGATGTTCTGCCGGCCCGTTTATTTCGGGTAAGTGAGACTACTGTATAAGCTTAGGCATGCGTCAATACATCAACGGCGGATCATTCTTTTTGTAGAAAAAATGTATTTCTTCTGGGAATGTCTGATGTCTGTTTTAGACAGTCCACCTGTATGTGCTTTAGTACATTCCACAAACTTAATGTCTCTTCGGGACTCCGTTTGTGTACCAGTAAAATAGAGAAATAGGAACATGGATTGTTTGCTTCCTCCTTTGGAAAGTCAAAGGTCAAAAATCCAGGGTGACTCCTGGGGACAATACCTAATTTGTAGAGGCACATGCCCAGGAAGACGTCATCAATGGGAAAGAGGTGCACCCTCTTAGAGACCTCATTGAGTTGCATGACCAGAGATCCAGAGTACACAACCCCCCCACCACCCATATAGGGGGGATATTTCCCTGCATAGAAGTCCTGTGGGATATAGTACTTTTCATCAACCTGACGGATTGGGAATGCATCATTAATCACATCCCCTATGACAAAATCCAAGTTTCTTCCTCTTGCTTTAGACTGCTGCTCCGCCTGTTGTAGGACGTCAAGAAGGGCAGGTGTCCTCACAAACACATCATCATCGCCTTTAAAGATGAAACGGGCATGAGGACAGTGCTGTAAAACCCATGGCCAGAAAAGCACATCCTTCAGGGTTAAGTTATAGAATGTGTCCCTGAAGTCCCATTGGAGGATGTCTCCATACTTCATGCTCTCCTCTGCCAGGTGGTCATTGGAAAGGGGGCAGGACTGCGGAGAGCGGTCCTGTCTGCCCAGCAGGAAAACCCTATGGACCACTCCGCCTCTTCCAGCCTCACCTGTCACCAGCCCCGTACTTCCCCACGTTTCCCGGATTGCCTCTCTGTTCCTAATATTGCACTCTTTTGATTTGATGGCTAGCAATAGCAAAGGAGCTTCTTCGCTACACAGCCTGGACTGGTCTATTATCAGCGGGTACTCCCTGAAGTGCATGGACTGCAGGAAATCCTGGATATCTTTTGGGAAGCTTTCCTTGACCTCTGAAATGGGACCCAAACTCTGCAAGCCAATTCCAGGACCTTTCTGGAGCCCAGCTCCTGCTGCTCCTCTTGCTGTATCCAGCTGCCTCAGGATGGGGTTGCACTCACGGTCCAGAACATGCTGGAGTCGGTTCCACAGGGCACTGTCGTCGAGTTTTACATTCCAGAAGGGGCGTTCAGCCAGCAACGTTAATGGAGAGACTCCCGGGGCAACAAAGTGAATTGGCAGTTCGGTGGGGGTCGGATTCATTTGGTAGTTGATCGTTACAACGACATACAAAAAAAGGTAAACCAAAAGAAAGAGAAACAAACAGAAACACATACAACAGCGACGGTAAAAAGCCATAAGCTGGCAGAAAGAGAAAAGAACAGAAGTGGGGGAAATAGGTGAGCAGAAAGAACAGTCATTAATAAGATGACATGATTAATTTTCCATCCATCTGTCTTCCAGCCAGTATAGGGACCCTACCCCAGGAAAACTATGTAGGAGACGCCAGTCCATTACAGTATTATGTTACCTAATTTTTTTTATTTATTTTTTTTTTATAAAATCTCACTATTTCTCATAACCTAATGTTGGAAGGTATGGAGGTATAAAAAATTATTTATACGCGTATTTTGGTAACTCTGCAATGGACTGATAAAGTCCAGTGAATTCTCCAGTGTTAATTTCGTTGACGAAAATGTTGACGAAAAATGGCCTGAAGGTGGGTTTTTCTGTGACGATATCTAAAACAAAAATGTGACTAAAATATGCGTTAGTGATGATGACAAAATAAAAGATATTATTTGTCTGATGAATATAAGTAAAATAAAAATAAAAGCTGGACTTCCTCACCACTCCATCTTTTTCTAATTGTGGCTGCGTCTGAATTCAGGGGCTGCATCCTTTGAAGGACGTGGTCTATGAAGGTGTAGCCTTTTTAGGTGGTGTTCTTTAAGGTTAGACAGAAAGTGTTTCAAATGGGACGGTCTGGACTACAGATAATCTTCTATTTGCATCACCAGCTGATCCTGCCTTTACCCTTGTGCTGCTCCTGTCGTCCAGCCGGGACCCACTTTACCTCCGAGCAATGAATCTGGGGATATGCTGGGCTGTGAAGGATCCATCGGGTGGATCCATCACAATTTGGCAAAAGAAGGACGCATTTCTATACCGCACTTGATGGAGCCTTCGAATTGGTGGAGCTTTGTCGCACTGTTGTGACATATTCGGTTTTCGAATGCAGTCAGAAGGATGCAGCCTCTGTTTGTGGTTCTGTCTGAATTCAGGGGCTGCATCCATCCGGGGCTGCATTCGAAGACTGAACGTGTCTCCGCGGTGTGACAAGGCTTACCCATTATAAACCCCTCCTACCATACCCCTATTATTCCATTATAAACCTAAAATTAGCTACTAGCGTTTGGGTAGTTAACAAACCTTACAGACTGTTTACAAGGTAACAAATCTCTTATATACATGTAAATATGTATGCATTTGTGTGCAGACTTCTCTCAAAAATGGCATGCCAGCCAGCTTACCAAAGTTAGCAGCCCTGCAGATTACCCTAGCTTTTAATAATAATGAATTTTACTTTTTAATAAACATATTGAATCTTCCATTGTTTTGAGGTGGCGGCGTAGTTTGGCTTGAAAATATGTGTGAGATTTAACCTATGAGCTTTTGTGTCTCCATGCTTATGTAGGTCACAGATCTTGATGTGCATTATGAAAGTGGCCAAGAACTGCAGAAGTTTCTGGTCGACACAGCATAGCAACTTGGAATCAGGAACAGGGCTCCGATCTTTGGTGGGAAAGCCCTCGATTCAAATCCTGGCCTTGTTTTTCGTTCTCCCAGGTAGTTAGTTTAATAATTACTGATTCTGATTGGCCAGAGGCTTCACACTTGGCTCACGGGTAGAGGAAGGCTGGAAAATCAGCAGTGCTCGGCCTTTGAGGACCGTGATTTGTGCAGCCCTGCTGTAGAGCAGTGTTCCCCAACCTAGTCCTCGGGGAACCCCGACCAGTCCACGTTTTTGCTCCCTCCCAGCTCCCAGCCAATCACGAACACCGATTACCTGGTACAGGTGCCCTAGGAGCTGAGAGTAAGCAAAAACGTGGACTGTCCCGAGTTTCCCGAGGACTGGGTTTGGAAACACTGTAGCGCATAATAAAAAAGCAGCTCCAGCATGTAACGTGTGGTAGGATGTGCCCCGCAGTCAGATCAGTCACAGGTTTGGGCCATTCAGAGTCACATAAACTAGCGTTTATCTACCGCTGTGAGTGTGACTCCTGAAGTTACTAAAACTGTTCGAAAAAGGCTAATCCTGTTTGGCTAATCCTCAGTAATGTCCAATTTTGCCATTGTCTTTCCTGGAAAAACCCATATTTGATCTGAAGCTGTTCTGTTTTTAAAATAAATTACGCATTTGGAATACTCTGTGAAGACTTCCCATTTTCAATATAATGTATTATTATTATTATTATTATTATTAATAATAATAATATGATTATTATCGATAATAATAATAATAATAATGGCTTAAATAAGGCTAAAATTTATTTTAGACAAAATTATCATAATGATCATTTTCGTAATGTTTTTGTTTTTACTGAAATATGACTAAAATGTATTTTAATCATTTGACTAAGACGAAAACTCAATTTAGAAAGGCTGGCTGAAACATGACTAAAACTAAAGTGCATTGCAGTCATTTGAAAAAGACAAATTAAAAATCGGTGTCAAAATTAACACTGGTATTCTCCTGATTTTTTTCCGTGGTATGGTACTAGATTACTAGATGGAAGACAGATAGGATTTAGTTACAATAGGCTAATCATAATGAATCGTTATTAAATTGTGCGTGATTTACGCATAAAAATATAAGTAGTTATTTCTCCATTACACTGGAATTATTTACATAAAATAATACATTTCGACCATTTTCATTATCTCCAGTGGGCATAAAATATATTTATACTTACTTCTCATTCAGCAACCCAGTTAAAAAAAAGCTGCTTCACTCTTCAGTATCTTCTTTTAACTTTCTTAAACGACTTCTACTTGTATCCGTTTCTTCTCCAATGGGAGTTAATAAACAGACGTTGTAATGTAACAACTCCTGCAGTAACGATTCGTATGAAACATATTAGACTGGATTACATTTAAATTACAGATATTAAAGAATATATGAACATTGTTATCACCTAGGTTATACCAAAAGGACACTCGCGGAATTCTGTCTCACCGAGGCCACGAACTTCAATGGTGTTTCAGTTGTATCCGTTTCTTCTGATCGCAAAAAATCCTCTGAAGAAAATCCTTGTCATTTTAACTGAGAATTTTGTCAGATACGCACAAAATGAAATAAAATGTCTCTAAGAAGCAAATAAATACTGTATTAATGCATTTAATGTTACTTGCAAATGCAAGTAACATTCAAAGAGACAATCTTCCGATGAAGAAATATCTGGGAAGCTTTAAAAAAAATCTATCTATATCTAGAAGTAAGAATGAGTTTTTAAACTGCGCTACATTGCAAAGATAACTTTTAAATCCATCGCAACTTCACATGAACTTAACGGCAAACCTAAACATGCTGCTGTCCCTTTAGCAGGCGTGGGCGATATTATCATCTCATAAACGCTGTGTTTCAAAGAACAGTAAGTTATGGGCCACTCGTTTATCTGGAAACTCTTGTTTGACTTGTTAGACTCAAAATGCGTTAACTAAGAGCTTAGGTTAAGTGCGACAGGAATAACAACGAAAGGCAAACGAGCTACGTGACTTAGGCTATACTGATGTTTAAATGCATTTTTTGAATAGATTGAATTTTTACCATTATTTTCGTAAGACTATATTTGCTATAATTTGCTTCATCGTAGAAAAGTGAAACAAAATAAAATAATTTTTCAAGAGGTGATGGATGTACAGAATCTGCACAGCAAGCTCAAAGGGGTTAAGGTGAACTGGCATCTCTTAGTTGTGAATCAGATTTGCCATGAAGATTTTGAACAGCACTACAAAATGGCAGACACACTACAACGGTGGGCTAATTGTGCATTATGTTGCGATTCTTAATGCAGCCACAGTCTTACAGTCACCAGGGTTACAGTCTGGAGGTGACTGTTGCTGTCTAACACACAGTCTGGCCCTACCGCATAGGGATTGTGTCATCCCACAATGACCAAACCTACTCCCAACTCCCTTCATTATCATAACACGTCGATCCTCAATTATGAATGCATTGTAAGCACTTCAGCAGGTCCTGGAAATTTTCAGAAAGGAAGAAGAATTTAATACAGCCCATAAAGAACCATGTAATATCAATCTTCATAAACAGTTTTTTGGCCTTATGTGTGTGTGTGTGTGTGTGTGTGTGCGGGATTAGGATTATATTATTTTGTGGGGATCATGGTTAATGTTAGGGCTGGGTTGGGGTTAAGGTCGTAACGTTGTGATTAGATTTTTCCCTATAGAAAAGAATGGAGAGTCCCCACAAAGATATGATTACAAACCTGTATGTGTGTGCATGTGTGTGTGTGTGCGTATTTCAAAATGCTTCATTTCTTTAATAGATAAGAATGAAGAAAAAAAATTCCAGACCGATGTACAAAATTAATTTAATAAATATATTCCGTGATGTATACTTCCCAGAAACATCACAGGGAAGACAATTTAAACTTCATCCAACTTTTTGATTTGAAGAGGTCGTTTTAGGTTCAACAAGTACAGTGGTCTTAATACAGGATTTTCTTCATTATCGTTAGTGTCATACTTATTAATTCACAGCAATATCTCCAGTCTCTCACACAGTTATGTTTAGGGCTGGTTGCTTAGGCTCTCTCACACAAAGACGACCACCACCCATCTCAGATAGACAAAAACACTTAAATATACTTTGAGTGCATAATGCAAGTATACACAGGCATGTTGGGGCAGACTGCCCTGTCACTGTGTTTTACTACGAACATCAAACAGGAGTGCAACGGTCAAACAGCAACTGCACTACACACCGGCACGCTGGATGCGCTGTGAGCCCAAGCTGAGGGGTTACATGAATTCAATGCTCTGACGTCTCGACAATTGACTCAGCTAAATCAGCATTCATGTAATGTTGTAGCTACAGTACCACACTACACCAATAATAGGAAAAAGCTGAGACAGAGAGAGCACAGTGGGGCCACAAGCTATCACAGTATCATCCGTCCCTTATGTAATTCTCCTACTTCTATTCAATACACTTAGAGATTTGGCACCACCAATGGGATATCAAAAATCAAACAGCAATTGTATGTATCATTATAAAGATACACAAATCATTTGACATTTGTTACAAGCTTTCAAAGCAAATCGTACACATTATACTTAATTTCCATCTGATTCATTCTTCTTTGCACAAGCTGAAAGCATTCAGATTTACCTTTCTAGTCTCTATATTACCCATTTTCACATTAGCGCTAGGGTGGGTTTACTTTACATTTGACTGCCACAGTGAATTAGGTTAATCAGCTCTCTGTTGTTATCTATTGGAAGTTTTAGCAATTGATGTGAACGCATAGTTTTCCAGGCTAACTAGGCAGTCAAGTGATTAGAACTGACAGGAATGTAGACACCAGTACTGAACAGGCAATTCCACACATGTTTATGAACACAGTATTGACAAAAAACTAGGCAAACACCAGCAAAGAACTGGCAAAACCAGTTGGGACCTCGAAGAGTGTTCTTGTCTAATGGACTGAAGATTCAAAGACCTTGACAGATATTTCAGGTATTCTACACGAGTCATGTTTCCTAACATAAACGGACAAATCAGAAAATAATTGTCAGTAATCATTATTATTCAGTAAGCAAATATTAAAGCTTATTACCATTCAAAAGCAATAACTGGCACCTACAGCTGCATATATAAATTATATATTTATATTTTAAGTGTACGCTATATTTTTTGGAAGACACTTAAATGTGACTAGCCAGAATATTCTATATGTTCTGTCATCAATACCATATGCCTTATTTTATAGCTACCATTTCACTTCCACTTTGGAAACATTTGAGAAAGGGGATTTTGAGACATAATTTCCTGACATTTGCCAGATGTGTAATATTCACAGCTCTGATGCCCCTCAAAGCATTGCCAGGTATTAAGAACAAGCACAAGAGCAGCCAACCCAACTAAGACCAATCCTATTACGTTCCTAATTTTTTAGGGCCCCTGTCACTTAGGGGCCCTTGGAAGTGCCCTAATTTTACCCCCAAATTAGATTTTGCTTAAGTGCAAAAATGTTACAATGTAAGCATCACACATACTGGTTATCTTCCCCAGTACAGCATCCTTGTCCCCTGACAATTTGGGGTCCAGTTTACATATAACCTAAAGATACTATTTTACCAACCTAGACCTAGTAAAAAAGTCTCATTGCACTTGCTGTCACATTACACAAGGTCATAAGAATTATATACAGTACACTGGAGACTTCTGCAGATATTAATGCACTCATTATTGCTGCTCTGTGTCCGAACTAAATAAAATCAAAATGCAGTGGTACCTCGGTATACGTCCGCTTTGGAATAAGTCCAATTTGGTATATGTCCTGTTTGGACGCGAAAAATTTTGCTTGGTATACGACTCACGTGCTAGAACTTGTATGGGTCAAAATGAGTCGGAACACCGCGCGCTGCCCTTGTTTACCTCTCTCGAGACAACGCCACCACTGCCCACGAGCGTCAGTACGCCAGTTGCTACCATTCAGCGAACAACCCGCGCCATAACTCTCTGTGGATTTTCACGTGATTTTGTGTTTTTTCCACGTAAATTTTTAGTAAATTCATTAACCATGAGTTCTAAGAAAGTAGGCACTCAACTCCTCTCAGCAAGGTAAAGCGAGGTTAAATTTTCATTTATTTCATGTAATTGCTTTTGTATTTATGTATTTTAATATTAAGCAGTGTTTAAATTATTTTATACAACCCCATCAATGTATAATATGCCAATAACAATAGGATTTTTTTCATGGGGATGGATGAATCATTTTCCCTTTATTTCTTATGGGAAAAATATGTTTGGTATACGTCCTGCATAAGTCCAAGTATCTGGAACGGATTAAGGACGTGTATCGAGGTACCACCATAACAGCTTACTGACCAATGTAACAACTAATAAGAGTCTAGGTCACTTCACCTCATACTTTATTTGATTTGTGTTGCACATCTCAGCTCTTTTATTTTTACAGTACAACTTTCCTTATTTATGACATATTTTATTTTGTTGAATGTTTTTACTTTGCTTTCACTATTTATTGTGGCAGAGTTGACCACCTTGCATTTCACTGCAGGCTATAGTCTGACTGTATACCTTGCCTGTGACAAAAAATCTCCCGAATCCTTGAATCCAAGGTATTAAAAAAAAGCTTTTCATCTCCACCAGGTGTGTCTGTCCCTCCCCTTTTCTGCCTAGTAACGGAATGTAAGTAACACCTGAATGAATTACTGTAACTATGCAACAGAAAAAACACATATATATATATCAGATTCAGTAGCTGGTGCTGCTGTAATACAGTAATGGGACATTAATGAACACATTGTCTCCTGGCTTCAGAAAAATGGGGAAACATTAAAGTACAGCAGCTTCAAATACACAATACCTAGGGAGAATGTTAGTCACAGTGAAATTAACAATAAAGCTTTCCTTAACAGAGTCATTCAAAGTAACAGAATGTAAGAATGCATAGTGTTAGTCAACAAACAACGAAATGGAACAGCCACTTTAGAGAGGTGGTGTAAAGGAATGACAGCTGAAGAAAAATTAATAGGTGTGTCTGCATTGACTCCCGATAATATCTCTGTCAAAAAGAATAATGCGACGTCTTACGTGGTCAAAGACATGACCAGATGCACAGATAAAATGGCTAGTAAGATAAACAGAAAAACACTTATGCGAAAGGCATCTGACAGATTCAGTAGCACGGATAATGTCTCTTCCCTTCAGTCTGTTCACAATAACAAAGTTACAATTTACTTCAGAATTATTTTGCACAGTTTGTCATCTTTGTTTTCTTTCTCTTTAAAACATTCCAGTTGGAATGTTCACAGTACAGGTCTCCACTGAAGTAACAATTGGAATTTTGTGTTCTACCCACCCTCTCACCTTGATTTTTTTGTTTGTTTGTTTTTTTTTTTAATCCTAGAGACTTTGAGAAAACATACTTCAACTGAATGGACAGTCAAATAAATATTTAGTAATGCTTTACATTAACTGTATCTTCATAATGCTTTTACAATGCATTCGTAAAATAATTCAGTGCACCTTCGTAATGGATTTGTAATGCATTCATAGAACATGCACAAGCAGAATGTAAGTATACCACAACATCCTAACAGCTTTAATGTTCATTAATAACAGATATTATATGATAATAACAAACATTATAATCGTATAATCATATAATGTTTGTTATTAATGTATATTACAGTTGTTAAGGTACACTATATGGACAAAAGCATTGGGATACACTCCTTAATCACTGAATTCAGGAGTTTCATTCAGACCCATTGCCACAGGTGTATAAAATCAGGCACCTAGCCATGCAGTCAGGTTTACAAACGTCTCGTTCCTGAGAGCTCAGTGAATTCAAGTATGGCACTGTCATATTATGTCACCTTTGCAACAAGACAGTTATTCCTTTCTAGATATTCCATAATCAACTGTATGAGGTATTGTTGCAAAGTGGAAGCATTTAGTAACAACAGAAACTCAGCTGCGAAGTGTCAGACCGTGTAAAGTAATAGAGCGAGTCGCAGAGTGCTGAGGTGCATAGTGTGTAAAAATCATCAACGCTCTGCTGATTCAATAACTGCAGAGTTCCAAACTTCCTCTGGCATTAAGCCCAGCAGAAAAAGTAGGAGCTTCACGGAATGGGCTTCCATGGCCGAGAAGCTGCATGCAAGCCTCACATCACCAAGCACAATGCCAAGCGTCGGATGGAGTGGTGTACAGCAAGCCACCACTGGACTGGAGCAGTGTAAATGTGTTCTGTGGGTTGACAAATCACACTTCTCTGTCTGGCAGTCTGATGGACGAGTCTGGGTTTAGCAGATGCTAGGAGAACGTTACCTGCCTGACTGTGCTCCAGTGCACAAAGCAAGGTCAATAAAGAAATGGTTAGGTGAATTTAGTGTGGAAGAACTTGACTGACCTGTACAAAGTTCTGACCTCAACCCCACCAAACACCTTTGGGAAGAACTAGAATGGAGACTGCAAGCCAGGCCTTCAAGTCCAACATCAGTGCCTGACCTCACAAATGCTCTTTTGAATGAATGGGCAAAGATTCCCAGACACACTCGCTGTTATAGCTGCAAAGGGGCCACCAACTCCATACTGATGCCTATAGATTTAGAATGGAATGTCATAAAAGTTCCTGTGGGTGTAATGGCCAGGTGTCCTAATACTTTTGTCCATATAGTGTATGATAGGATGTTCACATACACTTACGTGATGCTTATGAATGTTCTATGAATGCATAACAAATGCATTATGAAGGGGCAATGAATGTTTTGTGAATGCATTATAAAAGCCTTATGAAGGTGCAGCTAATATAAAGCCTTATCAAACATTCAGCTGAATGAATCATTAAATACATTTTTTTAAAATAACAAATGCATTTAGTTCAATAAAATGATTGCATATTAACACTGAGAACCAGTAGTGGGGAGGGTTCTGCTAGTTTACTAACAACTAATTAGTGAAGCTAACTTTTTTGTTAGTGAATTAGCATTAACATTTTTTCAAAGGTAAAGTAAATACAGTTTAATGGTCAAAGATGTACACTAAAATCACACATATTTGTTCCAATCTGTTGTCAGCATGTCTGCAACAGTCTATCTGCCACAATGTTGGCTGACTACATGCAAAAGATATAATTGGTCTATAACTTATTGGACTTAAGGTAGTTGAAGCTAAATGTAAGTGAACCAGGCACCCTGAACTAAGCAGAGAACTGGGACCAGTATCACAAAGCTGGATTTCCTCTTAGTCGTATAACTTGTTTGATTTCAGGTGCCCCACATTTAGCCCAGACTACCTTAAATAGGACAAGTTGTCCAGCTACATACAAAATCCTGATTCAGCTCCTGATTATTATCCTATATTTTCCAGCCTCTGATTGACAGAGCTATAGGCCAATAAAGTGCTGAGACCCTCCTTCCTAGTTCTCCATAAACAGTGCCACGTTTGTAGTCCCTAAGTGGCTTCATTGAGGGCAAAATGTCAGCATGAGCCAGTCACGGAGTAGGACTCCAACAATAATGCTTATAGAAAAAAGAAAATCTATTTTGGAGACTCTACAGAATCTAGCGATCCCCAATCCTAAATACCCCCAGCTAATCACTCCAGCCATACGGAACTTCATTGCTAAGCGGGTTAGAATTTCAGCTCTCTAGGTATATTTTAAGAAGCACAAAGCACAAAACCAACCTGAAGCAAAATTAATATAATAAAAGCTAGCAATTCACTTTTATCGTGAGCTTCTGCTAATTTTTTTTTAGCCATTTATCAGTTTAGCGTTATCAAATTAAACTTCGAAGTTAATGGATTAGCGGCTATCGAAATTAACTTTTCGGCTAGCTGTGCCCACCACGGCTGAGAACTGTATATTTTTGGAAGATGTATTCAAAGGACAGAAAGCACAAACAAATCTTAAGCTGTCCATGTGGCTTTACACATTTCCTTTTCGTTTTGCTTCCATCCACATTCACACCTTCACTTGAGGCTTGTTAGATCCACTAGAGTACCAGTTTGGTCACTGAACTTCTCTCCAACTTCCCTGTGCTCTATTTTCACTCATTTAATTATAATTTAATCTAGTAAAACTTTAATGTAGTGTCCTGGGACTCCATACTGGCTCCATTTAACCTAATTTATAGAATTATTAATAGCGATTTATTACACATCTTCAAAAAAATAAATCCCAGTGATAGAAAAATATTTCTTATGGACCACAAAAAAAAACTCCACCCAAAATGCCATGTTTTATGTCCATTCCAAAAGGTAGCAGCAGTTATATAAACTTCAAATGAAGATTTTAATAACCTTACTAGATGATACTATCAATATTGCCCACATATCTCTATTTTTCCACCTCTTCCCCCCTACATTCATTATAATCATCTTAATGTCCCTCTCTTCATCTACGCACATCTTAGTCCTTGTCTCTTGCTCTCTCTCTCTCTTCCTCCCTCCCTCCCATTGCAGCTTTCTTGTTCTTCCCTCCTCTCCTTCTTCTGTGCGCCTATCCCTCCATCTTCTCCCTCCCCCACTCACTTGCCCACCCCCCCTCAGACCTGGGTCTCCAGGCCGCTGAGTTTGGGCGTGAGGATGCGTGGGGTGATGCCCGAGTTGAGATCTCTTTCGAACTCCAGCAGCTGGCCCATGAAGTTGAGGTTGGGCGAGACCACCGGCCTCCGGCTCTTCACGTACTTGTAGGCGTCTGTCATTGTCATGAGGGTGTGCTTCATCAGGTAGGCGATGACGACGGTGGCCGAGCGAGAGACCCCTGCTTGGCAATGTACCAGCACTGCTCGTCCACTCTGGTGTGCCTCCTCTGTATGTGGGGGGGCACAGCATTAAATCAATAAAAACCAGGCTGAGTTACAAGCGAATGCCAAAACAACACAAACACGCAACTGCCACTTTCTCCAATGTTTTATCATCTATGTTTCTCAGTGCTGCCGGATAATTCCATTCTTAATCAGATTCAATCCCATCCTGATGCAGTGTGTGTTCTCTATGACTCTATGACTCAATGTTGTTCAAGTGGCGTCTGTCTTGATAGTCGTGTCATGCTCAAATTTGGCCTCATGCTGATCTGTGTGATTCCGCTGTATAAAACCATAGCAGCCAAACCCACTAGCATCCAACCCACTGCAATTAACTCAGCGAGTGAGCAGTTAATGACACATTCAAGAAGCGCGTACAGCCTGCAAGATGAGCAGAGTCACGCCGGAAACAAACATCATTATCAACCTTTAAAATAAGTGCATTTAACTCCAACCTCAATATTGTGTCCTATGCTGCCCAGCTTGGGCTCCAGACTCACACAGAGGTCATATGATTGGACAATAGATGGATATTAACTCTTGTACTTGACTGAATGCAAAGAATTGTCTTTTTGATACAACATTGACTACAATTAGTAAAATCTGTGGGCAAGATTCGAAAGACAGAAACTGACGCTAAGTTTCCCGATCCAGAAATATATCATGGCATGAACGTACAGTGTGAGCTTTGTGACAGTTGCACGACCTTTCTTTCGTTCGTTCTGCATCTCGCTCACCGATGAACTCAAAGACCTCCTCAAAATACTGCCGGAGGTTCTGCTTGCTGCTGTCTGTGGCGGGCAGCCGCTTGTAGTGGATCAGGCCCGAATCCCGGTGGTAGAGGGGCAGGTGGGTGGTAACGTTCACCACAAAGCCGATGTTGAGCTGCAGCAGCAGGTCGAGGTCCTGGGCGTCCCTCTCGTTCCCGAGGAACAGGCAGGGGAGTATGGGGCTGAGGGGCGCATTCTCCACGTCGGGGGTCATCTCACTCTCCTCGGCAGACAGGGAGGCGGGCAGGAAGGAGGACAGGGGGAGTGAAAGGGGGGGGCTGGATTCATGCACTGGGATTGGGAAGCCAGGGACAGGTTACATGGAAAGAAAAGGTTTCCCTTAAATGGTAGCAATAATTAAAATCACACCAGAAAAAAACTAAATTCCCAAGTCTCCCCGTTTAAATGGTTTTATGAAATTGGGGGTGTTTTTTTAAGAATAAAAAACAGAAAGAGTGACCCACTAAATATTGTCTTTTTCAGAGTTGTTATTGAAGGATCTTTGGAGTTAAAAGTCCAAAAAGAATTCTAACACAAAAAGGACAGGAAAACAAAGCTAAATTGCTGATTTTAGATTTCCCTGCTTTGCAATTTAAATGTGAGAGGAGATTAATCTTCCCCTGCCAACATTCAGTGTCAGCAGCCCTGTTTCCAGGGAAAAAAAATCAAATTAATTCCCTTTTTATCTTCAACCTAATCACCTTCATTCACATTCCCATTATTTTTGCTATTCCTGTCCTCTTTTCCTTCTCATGCCCAGAGTTATAATTATCAGCTCATTGTCCCTGAGTTCTTTTAACACAGCGACATACCAGAGCAGCTGGATATTATGACAGACCCTGGTAACTGTTAACACACAGGATATTTCAAGTGTGGATGGAAACATAAAGCAATAAAGCTAGAAAGAATGATATACAGATACTTAAAGGATATTTATTTTGAAACTGACATGGATTTTTTTCATTCTATTGTAGATTTATTGACATCCAAAGATAATTGTTAAAACAATAGTTGTATCTGTGGTTTAATAAATAGTTATATAATGTGATAATTTGTCCACAAGACATAATCTGGGAAAGAAATACTAATTCTCTGACCAGGTTAATGCCGTGGATCATGTAGCCATTCGCAAGCCTGTCATCTTTGCAGCAAGCAATGCTGCTTCTCTTTGGCAGGCCAAACCAACGATAACGGCCTCGTCTTTACAAAGCTGGGGCATTGCACAACTGCTTACCTTTCCTGTTCTCATCATCTTGATCTCTGTTGAGTGATTTCAAGACCAGCTGGAGAGGCTGTGCCATGGGGAGGGTGTGAGGTGCAGGGTGTGTGCCCTCCCTGTGCCCGGACTTGGTGAGGCTGGTGTGGGCAGAATGTGGAGGAGAGATGGAGGGCGGTGAGCAGGCTGTGGGAGGACAGGGGGGGAGAGGCTGGGTCAGAGTGTTCTCAGGGACAAATCCACTCTCAGTCTCTCCTTCTTTGGTCCACAGCCTCTTCAGGGAATCTCGGCCCACGTCCTTTGAATCCCTTGAACCAATGAAGTCCAGGACTGCCATCTTCCCTTGCTGCAGACAGCGACGTCCCGCATGGTCTGTCAGATGAGAGCGGGTGAATTCTAGAAGATTCCGGCAGTCCAGAACCACAGGGCTGGTCCCGCCGCTCCCGTCCTGCTTCTGGCTGTCACACGGGTCACCAGCCATCTCAGCAGCATGGTGGTTCTGTTGGTCCTTGGAGCGGGTCATCTTTTTCGCCAGCTCCTCAGGCCAGATGGTGCGCACGCTATAATCATCGTCGTCTGCCGAAAACGAGCCAGCCGTGCGCACCCCTCCGCCCCGACCCAGCCCGCCGAACTTCCCCCTCAGGGGGTTGTAGCTGACCACAATGGGGTCACTGCTACAGTAGCTGCATGTGGAGCTGCCTGTCTGACTGCTTTTTGGGTTGCAGCCGCCGACGCAGTTTTGTAGGACCCGGAGCGGGGCAGACGTGGAGAGGGGGGCACACGGCAGGCAACCTCCCACAAGCTTTTTGCGAAAGGCAGTGGAGCTCTGGAAGCTGCCCCCCCTGCCTGAGCAGGACACACATCCCAGGTGCCTCAGGGGCCTAATGTGGCAATCGGACACGGTGCTATTGGACGAGGAGGTGTTGGTGGTAGATGAGGTAGACAGGCATCCTCCTAGAGATTTCAGGCCCATGACTCTGGAGCCACGGCAACCCCCAACCACCCCACCACCACCTTGGCATCCAGAAGACCACCCACCCCCAGGGCCGGAGCGGACAAGCTTGCAGCATCCACAACTGAAAGGCTGGGAGGGGTCAAGGGAGCAGGTCAGGGCCGGGCCGGGGAAACCACCTCCCCTGGAAGAGCTACATGATTTGGAGATTGCATGGAGGTGCGGCGAGGGGCGTTCCCTGGTCCGGGATGGACGAGGCTGGCTGAACTGGTGGTGGAGTGGGGCTGTGGAGTGGGAGGCTAGGGCTAGGGCAGAATATCGGGTGTTCAGCACTGAAGCATGAGGCACTGGGACTGAATTGTGTGGCTGGGGCTGGCAACAGGGATTGAAAGATTGGTGGATTGGTCCCAGTTTGGAGTTCTCCTTGTTCCCTGCAGACGGAACCTCCTGCAGAATTCGGGAAGAGAAGCTGGCTGTCTCAGGGTGTGTCTGAGGAGCTGGGTCTTGCTCTAGGTCCTTAGTAAACTTGGAGTATAGTCTGTTTCCCACTCCAGGAGTCAGTTGGCTTCGGTGGTGAGTGCTGGGCTGAGGCTTCTTCTTGGTCTGGGAATGGTTCTGGAGCTGCTGAACTGCCCCTCCTGTTTTCCCTATGGTTTCCCCTTTTTTTTCACCCTGCCCTAAGTCCAGATGCAAAGATACCTTCTTCTCCTTGTTCCCCTTCAGACTCCCGCTACGCCTCACGCTGCCCCCCTTGTCCTTCCTGGAGATACTGCTCGCTTCCCCGGTCCCAGCAGCCAGGGACAGCTTGATATCTATGGTGTGCGTAGGCTTGCGTTGTCTAGTCCCCAGTACCAGCACTCCGTCACTGTGCTGAGCGCGGTGGCCACCTTCAGCCCTCCCCCCCTTGACTTTCTGAGGCCGGGGGGACCTTCGCCTGTGTTCTGAGGAGGATGAGGAGGAGGTGGAGGAGGAGGGAGAGGATGAAGAAATATGTGGACGGGTGTGACGGTGTTGGGATTGTGGTTTAAAAGATGTTGAGTTGCTTCTGACAGAGGCACTGTGGGATTGCTGGGAGGCCACGTCCAGAGCAGAGCTCTTGGGGCACTGAACGACCACAATGCGCTCGTCGAGGGGAAGGGGAGGCATCTGGAGTTCAGCAGCTGAGTGATAAGGGGGGGAAAGACAGTCAGTCATCATCTTAGTACATGAAGTCTTAATGAAAATTGAATATGCATACTGTTACAGTTCGGTTGCGAATGTCAGTCTATCAAGCACATGTGTTACTGCTTATCAAATGAGGATGCATACATCTGGATCATGAAAAACGTGGCCTTTCCTGCTGCACAACCACAGCACACAGCATCAGATAGGTCATACGTAGAATTCAATTGCCTGAGGATTCTGGAACTTTGAATATCAGTTCTAAATCTTGAAAAGTATATGTGACAGATGATTTGCTGTCAGTCGTCTACAACTGTTTCCAAAAAAGTCGGGACACTCTGTAAAATGCAAATAAAAACAGAATGCAATGATATACAAATCATATAAACCCATATTTAATTGAAAATAGAACAAAGACAACATATCAAAAGTTGAAACTGAGAATTGTTATTATTTTATGACAAATGTATGCTCAATTTGAATTGGATACCAGCAACACGTTTCAGAAAAGTTGGGACAGCATATTTACCACTGTGTTGCATCACCTCTTCTTTTAACAACAACCTGTAAATGTTTGGGAACTGGGGAGACCAATTTCTGGAGATTTGAAAGTGAAATGTTGCCTAATATAGAATTTCAGCTGCTCAACAGTTCAGTGTCTCCTTTGTTGTATTTTTCGTTTCTTGGTGCACCAAATGTTTTCACTGGGTGACAGTTCTGGACTGCAGTCAGGCCAGTCTAGCAACCAGACTCTTCTACTACAGAGCCTTGCTGTTGTTATTATGCACAGAATGCGGTTCAGCATTGGCATGCTGAAATACACAAACCCTTCTCTGAAAAACATGTTGTCTGGCTGGCAACATATGTTGCTCCAAAACCTGTATATACTGTATCATTACGCATTAGTGGTTCCATGCAGATCACTTTTTTGGAAATGGAGTTGTAGTCTGCTCAGGGCCCCCGAAGCCGACAGTACACAGCGTACGGTAGACTGGGCTACACCCTGCATGGGATACCAGTCCATTACAGAGCACATGCACACAGCCATGCTCTATCGGCAATTTAGAGACTATCCTATTTGTTACTACACATATGCACTTGTGTGACAATTAAGCTACTGTTCATTATCATTACACAAAGCATAAGAATTTGGACAGAGTCTAGAATAGTGACAGTATAGGTTAGAAGACCGATAACTGAAAGGCCAGCAATCAGTCTTTTACTCCCTAAATGTTCACTTACAAACAGGATCTTGCATGTCCATCCACACACATACGCAAAGTCACCGTATTCCTCATGTGACAGGCCAATGTCCTTGGTCTCTACATTATTGGCTTATTGGCCCGGCTTTATTCATAATAAAAGCAAACAGTACTCTGTTGACAAACCCTTGGACACTCTACCCTCAAAAATCAATAATATGAATGTTGATATCAATGTAACATTAAAACAAAAAATATTACAATAAAAAATACACTTGCTATTGTGCAATTTGTTGAAAACCTGGAAAGAAAAACTATGCATGGTTCAAAAACACTGATGTATAAAAAAATATAATAATTATAATTGTGTGAGGTAGTTGCATATGGCCATTTAGGCGAGGCACATGTTACAGATATTTTCTACATTAGAATAATGTTTACCCTGAGTTACAGTGGCTGGAATGAAATCTGACATGTTCATTAGGAGTCATTAACTGTTGTCACAGGACTACGCTTCTGGGCTTGCCATTGTGTGCAGCAAAAATATTTGTAATACGGCTGCTGTTGATCATCAGCCGTGTGTCTTTACATTGTGCTTAAATGTAGGATTAATGTGATGAATTAGCAGGAAGACCTAAATAGTAGAAGAGTTAAAATATGCATAATAAATAAGAGGATAGAGTAACTCATAAAGAGCCATGTGGTACGATGGCCCAAGGACATACTGAAGAAACATATGAGGTCTCTGTGCTCGCAGCTGTCTTACAGCATGTGGGCGTCAAAATGTTACTATATTAGTAAACAAAATAAAAACAGGACACGTAAGATTTATGGCTGCAAGGCAGAAAGAAACAATAGTGTAGGGATACTGAAAAAGTGAATGTATGGATCTATCTCTAGCAAACACCACTGACTGTAAACACAAGAACATCTTACTGAAAGCTGATCATTTTCAAGGTATAAGCTGATATTTTCTAAAATAGTACAGGACATCATCCATGTCCAAAATAATTCTTCTCGTGACTGTTGTCCTGAAATGACGAAGAGCTTACATGCTCCAGCGGCAGTGAGCTGCCAATCCAATTAATCGTTACTGAAGACTCCTTTGCCACAGGGGCCTGTGCAGTTTTTTTTTTATCAGCTTTTCATGCTTGACTGTGTAGGAAAACAGGCCAAGGCAAAATTATACAGGCATTTTCTCAGTTTCATGCTGGGGTATATGTCGAGGGTAAATCGGTATATTTATCCCATTGATCCAGGTGTGCTCTGTTTCCCCAAAAGATACTAAACCTCAAGTCAATTACATCTGACCCAAAACAATAGGAAAGCCTTCTTATCTATCTGCACTATTGCCAGATCACATAACACGGTACTTTATTGAAAGATTAAACCACAGTCATCCGTCTTTGGTCTCAAACAATTATCCCTATTTACACCCAATGACAGATATTCAAACTGACCTGTTTACAATGAATGCTTGATTATTATGAATACTGGATTATTGGCAAATTTGTCATAAAGAAAAAAAGCTGACTTTACATATTAGACCTTATTAGGCACTGTACATTCATTATTAATTAATTATTAATTAATTAAAAAATATATTATTTCGAATATATTCATTTGCTTTGTACATATAGCATGGGATACAGCTGTAAAGCTTGTACACATTACGCATGTTTCAGCCCCTTCCTGAACAGACTGGAGATGATGCAGCACCATCCCAAATGACACATTTGGCACCACGTTAAGAAAACTGACACAGACCGAAAAAAACAAAGTCATCTTGCACCCTCAGCTTTTTTAACTTCTTTCGGAATATATAAACATTACATTAAGTCTGTCCCTGGCCTGCCAAAAAATACCGACCAGGCGAATGTCGTTTTCTGCAACGAGTTCAAATATTAATGCGACTTCTCTATTTCATACGTTTCTAAACAGAATTGTATATAGCCTACAACAAATAAGATTACAGACAATGATTTAAATTGGCGAGGTTATAATTCGTTGGGAGAACAATTGAAGCACCTCATTTGCTTACGTTTTGGTAGTGATTGTACATACGTTGTAAGAAAAACACCAGAATCCCACGGCATGAAATAGACACCACACACATATGCATTTACTACATCTGAATGCAATGTGCCTGCAGCATCAGTCTCTATATTACTATACAACTGCCTGCAACGCGTCTGCTACATCGGTGTGTTTATTTACTACACATCTGAATGTAATGTGCAAGCTATACCAGTCTGTGTTCACATCGTTGTCAGCTGCAGACCAAGAGGTCTATACTACATTAAGGTTGCACTGGAGAATGCTGCATTAAGCAAGAACGCAGTAAACGCACAGGCTGCCTATAGAAAGAATCACTGATTGACAAAAAAATGAATGCCCCAGTTCTTTTCATCTGATTCTGCCACATACTTACGTTAAGGTCTGTTCTGGCGGCTTATCGTCATAGTATACGAAGTGGAGAAACCCTTGAGGCGACTCACGTACTTATTTGCGTCCAGACATGCAGCCTATCGCTCCTTACATTCCATTGGGATGCAAGCGACTAAAAAAATGCGGTACCCATATTTCTCCATCACGCCCTGAGTCTTTGAGACTGTGAAACGATCCATTTCATTATCGTTTGTATTAGTATGGATATAAAAGTGTTGAGTAAAGGAAGAGAAAGACCCTAGCAGCAAAACAGGGACTTCACAGCGTCTACGTATACATGCCAGTGTCCGAACGTGTGTGTGCTCCTGTTCGTCAGTTTTTGGGAGAGGCGGAGACTGGGGGATTGGCTGGGGTGGGGGGTTGGGACCTTGACGGGAGGTGGGTGTGGTTTGGATGTGGGTGACATCATTCCAGCCTAATGAATATGATGAATATGATGAGTTTAGCGAAAAAATCTAAAACTTCAGTTTAGTTGGCCGTGAGGAAAGAAAATTGAGAGAAATTGAGAAGTTTTCCAAAGATAGTGGGGGCGCAAGGTATACAATAAATTTGGACCGCAAAGCAGCAAAAAAAAACTTTTAATTAAAAATATTAAACATACTTATTAAATTAGCAGAGTATGTTACCAAAATACATATTTAATTGTTGAAAAACTTACCTATTCAATTGCTCGTAATAGAAATAAGCATGAATGCGTGTTGGGACAACGATTATATGGGATTCTCAAACTCTTAAATGCTAACGGTTGTAGAATATGGTACCTCCCTTAAATTATACACCTAAACATATACTAAACTTTGCATTTACAGAGTTCGGCATTTAACATCATCGGGGTTTAACTGGAATTAAAGATCACCCCTGGACCTTTGCCCATACAGTTTTAGGTGGACACACCACATTTGGGTATGCAAGTCCATCACTCTCCAGAAGTTCATAGGGAAGTTGAGCCTGCTAGGTCTCAGCACATCCCTGTGAGAGACCCCAGTCAGTTCACATCACTCCCAGCACCACTGTGTGCTCAGCCGATTCCCATGCACTCTGACCCATGACTGTGCTGCAGTGTACAACTCTGACACCAGCATCAAGCTTGCAGAGACACAATGGCGGTGGGTCTCATCAGCAAAGGTGATGAGTCGGTGTACAGGTTGGAAATTCAGCAAGTGCCGGACTGGTCTAATAACAACAATCTGTCTCTTAACATGGACAGAAAGAAAGAGATGACTGTTAACTTCAGACTCTTGTACATCAAGGTTTTCACGGTGGCTGCACTTGTCAGCTGACCTCACCTGTTCCCTCAATGCCTCCTCCTTAGCCAAGATGGCACAGCAGCGCCTTTTTTTCCTGACCAGCTGCATCTCTTGCTTTGGAAATTGCAAGCCACCTGCAAGATCCTACAACACTGGGACATCTCTGCTGTCCATTGATGACAGCACAGTGCACATGTAGGACCCTCAGCGATGTGGAGTATATTCCCTACCCCTCCGTTTGTCCCCCTTCTGTCTGGCAGCAGATAACAGAGCATCCAAGCCAGTTCTGACAGACTCTGTAACAGCTTCTACCCCATTTATATCCAGGCTCTGAAATCTTTCATGGGTCCCTCCCCATAGATGATAGAATTGGACGTTACATTAACTCTGCTGTCCACCAGCACTGTCACTTTTACCATTTGCGCATGCATTACTATTGCTATGAATGCCTATTATTTATCACTACTTATTGGTTCGGTATTTATATATCAGATATTTCCTATACCAGCTTGTGCTATTCAGGGTCACAGACTGTTACTGCGCTAAATCACAAAAATGTAGATCCGCCCATTTCCGGTTTACTGCGTTGACGCTACTGCGCGTCAACAACGAATTCGCGCTTGTGATTGGTTCCTGTGCCTAGTACGAAACTAACCCTTGCTTGGCGCGATTTACAGATTGTTGTGATCAGGATTGGCGGGAGATTGACAGGAGCTGCAGCTGAAAGTGAAGCGACACAAGATTTAAATTTTGCTGCAGTTTTAGCTTTTCAAACAAACAGCTATATGCGTGAATTCATATTGTCCTTCGTGTAAAATTCAATATGGACGATTTTTGCGTCTTTGTGGTTTTGGGAGTAAATGAACTGCCACGCAAGCTGATAAGGTAAATTAAGCTGCTTGGCAGCTAAGAAATTGTTTAAATTTCTGATTTCTCCTTAGTAAATATCTGCAGTATTTTGTATTGAGTAGTAGCTTATTGCTTTTTAAAGTGATATCCTTTAATGTTGACCTACTTTAATAACTGAACGTTTCCACATATTGTGCCGGACATAATCGAGTAGCATAACTGTGAATGACCGGGTTTAAAAAGTTGTGCGCTTTTGCTGTAAATATATAAATAACTGATTACTGATGTTTTCCCATGCGTGAAGTATTTGACATTATTTGTAGAACGTGAAGCGTATTCCTCCTTTAAACGTTTAAATGAATCGGTCAAAGTGGTAAAAAGGCTTCTAAACTTGTGCCGCCAACTCCGCAGCTGAATTCACATCACAACGGTAATTTGCGGATTTAACAGTGGATTTCACATATCTGGCTTTTATAATTTTATGTATGACTGTTTTATTTGATGCGTGTATTAGGCATGGAAGCACAATTCCAGATTTGTTGCCCATTTCTCCGTTCTCAGTGTCGACGAGAGTCTGCAGCGCTCTATTGCAATGCCTCCGAATGTCCGACAAGCGGTGCTGTTCTCACATGGAAGATGGAGGGAGCACACTGGCGTAACCGTGGAAATGACTGACTTAGAAGGCGGAACCATCACTTTGGGGAAACTGACACCAAATCACAAGTAAGTAATTTGGTCTTTCGGGGTTTTCTGTCCGTCAGACGCATGCGCGACTTTTATTGTGTTATTCTAAAGGTGCCTATTATGGGATTGCTGGGAAGGAGCAATACGGAGGGGTGTTTCAACCTTAACTGTGAAGATGGAGGGAGGCAGTCTGGTTAGTATCAGTATATCATCATGACATTTACATAAATCTATAAAAAAAAGTGTAATGACTTAGTTTTCATCATTTTTATAATGTTTGCATGTAGGACTGATGCATAAATATTAACATTTTGTGGGTGTTAAACAGGGCAATGAGGAACTTCAATATGCTTCTTATGATGAACTCCAGAACTCACAAAAAGAATGCACTAAGGTGGGATTATTTTATCACTTATGAATAAAATAAATTTCCTTAATTTTGTTTGTAGAATTATACAATTTGACTTAAGCATTAATAATTCTGTATTCTGACATAAGTTTCACAGAAACCCTGAATGGTGTTTCCAGAAAACATTTAGTAACAAAAAGGCAGCTCGTGTTCCAGAGTAATTGTGTGGTAGACCTGCTTTGACCGTTACCTTTTCTGTCACAGGGTGCTGCTCCGCTTCCAGTCTTGGAAGCTCGTGGCAAGAGGAAGAGAGGGCAAGATGTGAAGGAAACCCTCAATAAGGATCAGGAGAACGTCTGTCCCAACAGCTGCCTCTCTGATAGGTCCACACCTCGCCGGAGGGTCAGGGGTGCTTCCCGCGGAGGGCACACTCGGCTCGTAGCCCAGAACGACTCACCGGCTCACATGTGCACTCCTGAGAAGCACAAGACCAGGGGCAAGCAAGCCAGGACTCAGACGCAAACTGGTAATTTCAGATACCTCAGTATATGTCTTATAACCCCTTGACGTTATCATTTCTCATCCTATTTCTTTCCCCTTTATTCTGTCTCTCCTTTTGGAGAAGTCTCTTTGGGCAGACCTTCAAGTCGCTGGGGTCAAACCCTTTGCCCTGTTGACACCCAAACTGCAATTCTTATTGGAGGACAGGGCTCCAGGATGCAGTTCTGTAAAGATCCCATGTGGAAGCTGTGTACAGGTAAGGTGCCTGATTGTGAGTAACGATAATGCATATTAACCAGATTTCCCCAAGAACACAAAGCACTATTCAGTGATCATTAATATGCTGTGTAGGATTCAGGCCCACTCACATGTGATTGGATGGATGAAAATACTACAGGGGGAAAAACTGAAAAATCTATGATTATACAATGAATAATTATTATATTTTAAAATGATATACATTCTAATAATTTTTATTATGTAGCTTTTATATGCTGTTAAAAATAAAGTTTTATATAATTTTTACTGTTATGACGGGCAAATTTTTTGCCTGTGTTCAGAAGGTTGCTGATTGAAACCCGCAGCCGGGAAATATCACTGCTGGGCCAGTGAGCGAGGCCCTTAATCCCAGTTGCTCCAGGGGTGCTGGGTGCTGGCCCACCCTGGACTGCGATTCTCAAACTTGCTTTCATCTGTATATGTGATTTTGTCTCTCAGAGAGCAAGATGGGTTAAGCAAAGAGAACTGTGATGAATAAAGTATCACTATTATATTACATTTTATTCATCTGAATATATTGGCCTTATTGTATGGTACAGTTTGGTGGAAAGATGCTGGGCAGGTTTGAAGTATACAGTAATTTTATTATTTTGAAAATGTAACTAGTCATGTTACATTTATTTAAAATGTTTTATAAGCTCCAGCATATTTTTTTTACCTTCTCTTACAGAGATACTATTATCAGAAGATATTGTTAATAATTAAACTGGGTTTTGTGTATTTCAGTCGTGTAGAAGCTGTAAAACATGAATATTTGTGGACATAATGTGGAAAGTCCTTATCTTCTCTTAGAGGACATGTCGTGGGTGGCAGCGGAGACTTTGGCAGAGGGCCCTACTCCCGAAGGCAGGATAGGCCACACGGCCACCTTCGATCCGGAGTCAAAACGGATCTACGTCTTTGGCGGATCTAAGAACAAAAAGTGGTTTAATGATGTCCACATCTTGGATACCCAGAGCTGGCGCTGGACCATGGTGGAGGTGAGGAAACTCTGAAAGGAGAAATAGTGTTCTGTTATAAAAATGGCACATTGTATTATGGTATTTTTTATACGTAGTACAACAGTTTTTCCTGAGTTGTTAATTGGGTTTCTGACCATACAAAGTATGATATTTAAAATACTACTACTTCTGTTCTACACAAGGCTCAAGGCAAAGTGCCCCCCCTCGCCTATCACAGCTGCAGCCTGTTCCGTGGTGAGCTTTTTGTGTTCGGGGGGGTGTTCCCTCGTCCCCATCCCGAGCCAGATGGCTGCAGCGACTCACTGTACATCTTTAACCCTGTACTGGCCATTTGGTACCAGCCCATTGTTAACGGGGACCGGCCTGCACCACGTTCCGGGTGAGAAATGAGACTCATTTTGGTTTTATATAACTGATTGGGAAACTGAAGAAGAGGGAGGTCTCAGCTCACCTGCTCAGCTTGGTTTCTGTATGAACCAGACTTCCTGCAGCAGATTGTCCCCAGTTCTGAGACTGTCTAACCCTAATCTCCCTCAGGCATTCAGCATGTGTGCTTCAAGGGAAAATCTTCATGTTCGGAGGCTGGGACACGCCTGTCTGTTTCAATGATATGCATGCACTGGACCTGGGTGAGTTGCCCAAATGTGGCTCACAACTGAATTATGGTTAACCCATAACGTAGCCTGCAGATACAGTATCACATGCAGGATTGCCTGTCTGTGTGTGTCAAAGAGCATGATGATGTATACTGGTTGAGGAACCGACCTAGTTGTTGTACCCAAGATTCTGTTACGATATCCAAGTGTATGAATGTAGAAACGTAATATAATGAAATGTATAGCCGTCTTGTTTCTGACTGCGTCCTGTTCGGCCCTTGAATATGAAACTCATGGCCCCAATACTACTTTCTATTTATACATGTAGTTTTTACAGCTGTCCTTGAGCATAGAATACGTTCAGTGTTTATTTCAGTGATTACAGCCTGCAGAGATACCCTGGTTTACCCTAATGTGTTCATGGCAAAATGTAAACAGTCTTTCTTGGACTGTGTATGATGACTCTGTATTCTGATTTTTACACTTTTCACGTCAAATTTTTTGGTAGGTGTGTGGAACATTGCAGTATCTATAGGGTGACCAGATAATCCATGTCAGGGAGGACACTCTGAGCTAGAACAGGAATTGTAAATTACCATTTCAATTAAACGGACCTGGATTTCACTTGAGCACTGAGTTCTTGCTGTGTGCCGATTTGGTCAGTCTCCTATAATCATGCATGTGTCACTAATGCTAATATGAAACAGCTGGATGAGTCTTTCAGTCAAGGAAACAAGCCAATCAAAGTGCAAGAAGAGCTGATCTACTATGCCGAGCACAGGAGCCTTTCAGTTTGAAAGTAGTTTGTAAAACCTGAAGTAGCTCCAAGTGTCCTCCCTGACATAGATTATCTGGTCACCCTAGTTTTTTTTTTTTTAGGCCTGATGGAGTTTTCAGCTGTGAGGACTTCAGGGACCGGCCCATCCCCTCGCAGGTTAGGTTAACTTGCACTGAATACTAACCAACCGTTTCCTCCTTCAAAGAAAACCAGCAGCTGCAAACTTAATGTACCTTAGCAAACTTTAGATAGCTTCAAAGTAATTGACTTGAAAAGCAAGCCTGTCTTTTCCCCTATTTTGGTACTTGTGAGAAGCTACGTCAAGATTCTCTCAAAGGTTGACTTGACAAATATTTTATTATTTTTTCCTTCTCTGCTCCTTCATGAAGTATCACTGCGAACAAACTGCATTACTGCTAAGGGTTCATTGTGAATTATTCCTGGGGTGTTTGTAAGCAATTCTAAAGCTGTATATGGAACTAAACCACAGACTGGGGAGCAGCAGTGTGCTGGTTTTTCTTTCCCAATATATACTCAAGCATTATATTGTCATAATTATTCTTAAGGCGTCTTTAGAATATGTAGAAAATTCTTGTGCAAAGGATTCAAACCTGCTCATTAGCGAGTGAATGAGTCACCATGAACAAACTAGGGCAGCCAAACCATGTGTGGTTGAAGTATTGATCATCAGTGAGTCAGTTAAATAGTCAAATGATTGGAACCTTCCTGTTACAGCAGGTAGGGTGATTTCATTTATCTGTATCACTCCCTCCCCCACAGCTGGCACGGATGTGCGGTTCTTTCTGAGTCAAAGTTCCTGGTCCACGGGGGGTACAATGGGAACAATGCTTTGACTGACTCGTTCATATTTGACACAGGTATGGTGAATACTTTCATCAGACATATATTATTTTAAGTAACAATGGAATGCAATTCAATGGAATGAGGTTTTGAAACTACAGTAAATGCAATTACCACACCCTGTCAGTCACTTGCCTGATTTGGCCCCACTGGGAACCAGTTGAAATAACCAAGGGGATGTGAATTAAAACAGTTGTGGTCAACAGCACATGATAATCCCACCAACTGTGGGTTTTGAAGCTTAATTTTTTTTCTGCTTATTACTAATGGGAACATGGAGACTATAACCAACATGTAATTCAAACTTGATTTCTGGGAAAATGTTGGCAAGTTGATGCATGGCTAACCTATCACATTCCTGTCTTGGTCTGCTATGATCATCTATATAAAGCTTGTCATTAAGATCTACACGTAGAACCTAAAGTTAGGGCAAAGTACTGTAACTATGATGTAGCTAAACAGATCCACATTGAGATATCTCGAATAAATGACCTTTTTCAAGGTGTGTTGATGTGATATGAGCATACGTGTAAATGATGTATGATAAGCACCTATATGTGAATCCATTTTTCATATTTCTTCTATTGCTTTGCCAGACACAAGCTGCTGGACCACAGTTGTTAACACCCAGTTGTCTGCAGTACCCAGAGCTGGACATTCTATTATCACTATGGTAAAACCAAACACAGAGGTATGTCACAAAATACACACGTACACACTGACCAACTGCTAGTCTGTCTGTGCAAGGTTACACCTCATGCAGGATGTGCAGTTGTAAAATAACGTATACATTTATTGCAAATAGCCTTACTGATTTTACTTATGAAAGTTTAGAGCAGTTCACAGCAAGCACTTCATTAGAATCTGTGGAAGACATTGTTCAGTAATCTTGATGAAGAGAAGGAGCTCCTGTTATTATTTTCAGGCTCCTACCAAAGACGAGGAGGAGCAGATGTCTGAAGTTCTGCCTCAGATCCTGCTTGTTTTTGGTGGTGGTGACAATGAAGGCAGCTTCTTTTCAGATTTGATGACTATGATGATCGATGATTTGCTTGATTAAATTGTGTGTGTGTGTGTGTGTGTGTGTGTGTGTGTGTGTGTGTGAGCGGGGGTCAGTACACATAATCTTCCACTTATGTCTTTGTTTCTTGTACACTTTATACTTTCTGAATTTTGTTGTGCTACATTTAAATAGGATTTTCATCTTATGCAGACTTTCTCTATATCTGACACTTTTGTATAATGTAGTCTCAACTTAAAATCAAAGAATTATGTCAATTACTGAAAAGCTGTCTAAAGGTTAATAAAGTTTTAATTTTGAATTTGTGTGTTTGTTTTCTGCACATCTTTTGCAATTGTTTCCCACTTTTGGTATTGTGGTTTTGGTTAATAGTCTATAGGTCATTGCTGTTGACAAGCATTTCTGCTGGATAACATCAGATGTGTTTTCACGTACTACGTCGGTAGGCAAAATCTAACGGGGGGGGGGGGGGGGGGGTTACGCCGGGCGCCTCACGAAATTTATTTCTGGCTACAGGCCTGCATATCTTGATTTATTATTTTTTTTGATCATGCATGTCATGATTAATTAATTTGTTTATAATTTGTTTTCATAGTTATGTAACTCGGAACTTCCACTTTATGACAGTCACTACAAAATTAAAAAGGTAATTATATTACTTTAGTCAAAATTGGATTTTGTGGGATTTGGCGTTAAAAGCACTTTGCAGGTAAGGGAATAGTTAATTCAGACACGACTGAGACCGAAAAAGACCGAAGCTGGATTCCGACGTATTCCCCCTCTCCTCCCTTCCTCACGGCGGTGTAGCGCGGTAGCCATGTTCCCTGGCGCCTGTTCCGGTATCGAAATTCAGTGCATAGCCTGACGGCCGCTGGGCCCAGTCCCGTCCCCCGCTCGTCGCCTGCAGACCCCTACCTTGTCCGGAGGATCGCGTCACCGGGAGAGGACTCCTCACTTCGAGTGTATGCGAGCCCTGTCTGAAACGCTAACGGATCACCATCTCAGTGACCCACCTTCACGGTTAATCTGCTTTTCGCAGCCGGGAAACGACGGCTTTGGAGTCTGCCGAGTTATTCGGCCGTCTCGGAATAGGCTACCGGCTGGTTGACGGACTGACTCGCTCGCCCGCCGTGTCGGGACCAGCGGATTACAGCCGTAGGCAGGACCGCCTCACGGTTTTCTTTTTTTACTTTATTTTCTCCAGACCAAGAGGAAGAAGGTGTGATTTTCATACCTTTAGGTTTTTTTACCCCCCATCTAGCGAAGATAGCCCAAGTCACGCTCGTTTGGCCTAAAGTTTAATCCGCGGTCTCGATTTGAACTGGAAGCAGCTGAGCCGGTCTCCGCTGACAGTCCCCCGGGTTACGCCGGCCGCACTCTGCAGCTGCTTCCTTCCCTCCCCGGAGACAGCAGAATGTCAGCCAAGTGCCTCCGACTCGGCCAAAATCCCGGACGTCGATTTTAAAACCTCTGAAGCAAATATACGCATTTTTCTCGCCGAATAAGTTCTTTGCTCACTTGGTGTTTTCCAGACTGCGGCCGGCTGGCCATATGATAATTTTCAGTGGGCTTCAAACTTTGGGTCCGCTGCTCGCAGCCGCCTGCGGACGTGTATTTACAGAATAGGCACTTTTAACGAAGCGACTTGTTGGTCTCGGTAAACGTAGCTAGCTCGCCTCCGGAGGGAATAGCTAAATATCTTTTATTTTTGCCCCCCGAAGAAATACCGAAGTATAGCTACGTAGCTATAAATGTACGGCCGATTTTGAACTGCTTCGTGTCCCCATCTACTTTTTTTTTTTTTTTTTTTGAAAACCCCACAAAATGTCAACGCGGCCGGCATTGTTAACAGTTATTGAAAATTCTCCAGCACAGGTAAGGCTAAAATTGAAAATATACATTGAATAACATGCGTATTAAACCTGACTTTGTGTCCTTAGTGGAAGGAAGGAAGTGGTACCACAGGGGACAATAATCTAGCGCATGAAGTTTAATACGTAGCTACTGCAATAACATTTTCCACAGAGAAAATAATTGGTAGTTTCCAGCCGTATGACTTATCCTTGGCTAATAGATTAGGTAAAGACAGTTTTCGTTTTCGAGTGGATTTAAAGTTAGTTATCGATCTAATGCCACCCCACGCGGTATTGGCTATTTTACCGTATTTGGCCACTTTAATAATCAGGGATTCAACTTTCTCTGTTAGTAGATGACCTTTTGTAAAGTTTATATCAGTGTTTATTTCTTGCATCATGACACCGCCGTTGGTTATTCAATTGGTTATTCAAGCTCAGCTATCTGTCCACCTGGGTTTGTACAATAACGAGGCAGAGCAGTGCTGCTTTGCGGAAACTGGGCCTTGGTAGGGCTAGGCTTTTATTAGGTATTAAGCTAAGAGGTTACACCTTAGCTGACGAGGAAGAAACTTTTTATAGAATTACTTTGCGTCGATAAACATTCAATATTTCTCTGGATAGATCGCCCCGTTTTAAGTAAGGCAAATCGCAGCTAAAACTAGACAGTACAAGTCGATGCTTTTCAAACCAATGGAGTTTGGCGGACCTTGTGTGTCTACGTGTGCGAGTGTGTGCTTGTTTGTGTGCGCCACTGTAACCTTGCTTGGTAAATTCAGCGACAGTGCTGTTCCTGAAATGGGACTCGGCAGTACTTAACAAAGACATGTAACTGACTGGAATAAAACGCTCTATTGTGTTTGACCAGCGCTTAAGTTGAAAAGGGAGATTTCAGAGCGTCCTCCTGTAAATAACACACTATTAAAACTAGGACTATTAAGTACTTGTGTTTTTTTTTTCGTTCCCCTTCTTTGTGACCTTGGGTGAATGTGATCAGGAGAGTCTACTTATTAATGACTTACTTGGTACCAGTACACAATTAACCATTTAGAAATGCTTGCCAAAGATTTGACTTTGCTGGATGAAAACATTTTGGCAAGCAACCATTTTTATAAGTATGTGTGGAACAAATTAGCTGACTTTTACCTTTTGTAGCTGAATGTTGCTGATGATCTGTTGTTTTTATTTGGCCATTTCGTTTTTGACATTTGGTATCTGTTCAGATTGGTTTCTGTATATCTATAAATGGCGCGTAATCTGACTGACAGTGCAGGTTTAACCATAGTAGAATTGAGTCCTATGTTGTACCGGTGTGAAAAGCACACCCTAAGTGTCAACATTTGTTACTGCATACTAGGCCATTCTAAACCATGACATTAAAAGGGCAACTTGACACAACAGTGTTTTATTACAATACGATATCTTGAAATGTCTGGTTTCTGAATAATAACTGTATATGGCCATCCTAAAAAATTAAGAGGCATGTATTGGATTATTTTCAGTTACTTAGATGTTCAACCTTTCATGACATTGCTGAAGTGATACAACACTTGGGAAACAGGTTTTTTTTCATGGGTTCGGACAGCATTTTTCATTTATTTCTATTCTATATGGCAGTGTCTGTGAAATCCCTTGCCCCATTATTTAAAAATGCTTCTAATGAAAGCTTTATTTCTTTGGTTGCGTAGTACTTGTTAAAAAAGGCTTTATTGATTATACCATGCAAGGTGGCAATAACGGCTGTGGCGTGTTATCTGCATTTGTAAGTTTTTAAGATCCATGAGCAAGTGTGAAAAGATTTGTTACACTACCAGTGTAAGACTGTACAAGTATTGATAGGTGTGGGTCTGCATTCGGATACAGTCTGCCCTTTCGTTTGCAGTTTGGCAACATGTAGCTGTCTGCTTTGTACTATCTGTATTTTGAAACTTGTCATCCGTAGCCTACATAGTTTCAAAGGTGAGCTTCTGATTAAGTTCCTTTAGGTATCTTTATGGGCACAGATGTATATTCAGGGTTAGGTCTTCAAACAAAAAACAGATCTGTAGCAAACGTTTCCAGTTTATCTTTCTGAAGTTTTAACTGTCCTTGAAATAAGCTACTCTGTAAGTATGTGCGGAAGTAGGGTGTTCCCAGTAATCTGGTGATGGGCTCCGAAACTCTACTTTGACTAGTATCAGATATGTAAACTGGCCCATACCATATCTAGTAGCTCCTGATCATGGTAACAAAATGTGACAGAATGTTGGTATTTTAAAGCTTAAAACTGACTTGGCTGTTGCATTCGTCAATCAAATTGCTTCACACAGTTTTCCTGGTTCACCTTAAAAAGGTGTAAGTAATTAGTTGTGCCCTAAATGTTTCAATAGTTAACTGAAAATTAAGTATTTTTACAACAAAAAAGGGGAAGTAGCCTGTTCGCTTAATTTTGGAATCACCCAATCTCATATGAGAACATGATCATACTGTGTGAAATGTAGCCTGTCAGTAATAACTGGCAAAATCCAAGACGTGGGGATTATTGAAAAATCATACAAGTGTGTGTTACAGATAACTTTTTGTTTTTAAGATTTTGTGTGTTTTTTTTTGTTGATTTTAAGATGTTAGCAGCTAATACCTGTTTAGATTTTGGAAGTTTTTTTTTGCAGTTATGTATAGTTAAAGTGTTATAGTTAATTGGTGAGTTATTTACAGCTACCCCATGGATAAGACAGGCAAGAGTACCAGTTAATGGAAACTGATGTTCTTAAGATTGATGTTCTTATTAGATTGCCTTAGAGTCATGGTAACAGTGAGGTAACTTTGATAAGTACAGGTGTTCCTCATAAATCCACTTGCTATTTCAGTAGCATCTTTCACTCATTTAGCCTCCAATTTGACCTGTGGCCTTTGTGAGCTGAAATATTGTGATTTTAAGGATAAACTTTTTTTTTTTGCTGTTTAGGTTATTAAAAAAAAAAAACAAACTTGGAATTTTCATCATTTTGCACTTATATATAATGATATTGGTTATTTGGATGTAATATTTCAAGAGTCACGTATATCAAAATGTTTCCTGAGCTTTTGCTGCACTTAGCAATAGCTGCAAAAAAATCTTAAAATAAGCAGTTATGGAAGTTATTTCTATGTGTCTTAAAAGCTTTGAAATGATTTTGGAATAAAAATCCTCTTTTCTATGAGGTGCTGTTGACAGAGAATTTCAAGCTGTAACTAAAATAGGCAGAAAAGGAGGTGTGGTGGAGCTAAAGGTGAAATACCACTTTGTGCTGTCCAGCTGATATAGATCTGTCCACCCATGAAGAAGTCCCCATGTATTGTACCAACTAAAACTAGGCTATCACTCCAAACTGAGCAGCTGGACAGAAGGAAACTGGTAAGAGGTGTCAGTTTTGCAAGGGCTTGTTGGCTGAAATGTGGGGAAAAAAATGTGCATTGCTCAATCATATCCAAAACACCAAAACGGTGTGCTGCCCAAACAGCACCATCCCTACACTCAAGCATACTGTTGGCAGTTTGCTGGGGATGCACTTCTCAGAAGAGAAGGGAAAGCCTATTTGTAGGAGTATGGGAAAAAATGCATGAATTGTATTGTAGGAAAACTGTATGACAAAAACTTTATTAATGTACTGAAAATGTTTATGATTAGCATGACTGCTTTTGAAGCGCAAGCCTAAAGAGGGATTTGGAGTTGTTCAAGAATAAGAAATGGCACATCCTTGAGTGGGTGGCATGGTGGCTCAGTGGGTAGTACCGTTGCTTCACACCTTGAGAGTCAAGGATTCGAGTCCCACATTAGCTAGATTGTGGAATTTGCATGTTCTCGCTGTGTTGTGTGTGTTCAGCCTGGGTGCTCAGGTGTTTTTATGTACTACAAAGACATGTAGTTGCTATAATTGGCATGTATTAATTGACTGAAGTGTATGATCTTGCCTGTGGTTGTGTGTCACTTGCAATGGACTCTGTGCAGCTTGGGATAGGCTCCAGGCTGCCACATGACCCTGACCGGTATAAGTGGTTGGAAGATGGATGGATGTCTGTGAATGACCCAGTGAGTGTTTTGAATTGTTGGGAATGTGAAAAGACTTAAACTACAGTTTATAATGGATGATTTTTTTGGGTAGAACAGATGATGTACTTTAAATTTGTTCTATCAGAGTTCAGCATTGGCTTGTTTTATATTGTTTTATATTTATTTGCATTTTATATTATTTTTAGAATTTGTGAGTTTGTGTTGTTTGTGTCTCTCAAGTTGAGTCACATCAGAGAACTTTTGGATTTTACTTTTCACCAAACTAAAATATTTACGTTGTTGATATGAACTCAGTATTGCTGGCTATTTTTTCAATTTTGCTAATTTAGTTTGTGGTAATTGTCATTTTCTCAGTTGAATTGTACTGAATTGTAAAAACTGAACACTGACTAATGAGAAATAAAGGGTTAACAAACAAATCATGCAATTACGAATAGTTTTAAGTGTTTAGAATGTAATGCTTGCTTCTCATTGGAGTGTATCACTTTTAAGTAGTTAAACATTCTCTTGCATAATATGCCCAGTAAGGATAATTAAATAGTTATGCAAAAAAATCAGGCAAGCACTTTCTTGCTTTAGGTAAGAGTTTTTCAGTTTTGCAATAACTGGGCATTTCTTAGATTTCACTGCCATAATCAAGTGGTGCTACTCAGTGCTTTTACCTGGAAATGGATGTCTTAATCCATTTAGGTGTGCTACTGCCTATTAGCAGCGTTGGCCGAATGCTTTCACATATATCCTGTTTTTAATTATGCATTCCAGAGTGCAGGTGTAGCCAGCAGAGTGAAAGTTGTGAAACCACACACATGGTGTGTGTACAAGCCAACAGTTCATGTCTTAAAGGCAAGAAAGTTATGGTTATTTATTCATTTGAGGTTTTCCTTAAGCTAGTATTACACTATTGACTTGACTATCCACCTTAGAGTTAGCAATGCACATATAGACGATAAAAGCATAAAACTGTTTTATCGTTTAGTGAGTACGGTGCTTCT